GTATGTCACTGAGATCATGGATCTGTTCACCCGAAACTTCACAAGCGGCCCATGAACATACAGAGCTAAACGCACGATCAAAGTGAACCGGGTCCGGGAATTTAAGAAATGCCGCCAGAAACAAACCACATGGTCGAAATCAGTCATGCGCTAGTACGTAGTGACTGAAGCACTAGCTGGATGAAAGCATGCATTCGAAATTGCGGGGAGCGCGGTGGCGAAGATTCAATTGTCGCCATTTCCTCGAAAGAGTGGCTTCTCGTGAGTGATCTGGATATCATGAGGATCGGGTCTGGTGGTGCGGAGTTTTGCCGAGAACACCATGCTCATTGCAGGGATATCAAATTCGTTTTCCACACACCCGAGATCCGGGACGGTACTTCCGGAGAAATCATCAATCTCAGAAACAGGGTACTTCTCTGCATCCAAACTTGTGGTGATGGCTTCCGAGCGGCAGCGATGGCGGGGCAGGCTAAATTCGCCGCCCTTTGGTGAGCTGGTTCCGATCATGATTCTGACTGAGGCGCATTCCATTACTAGTGACCGGCAGCCTCTAAAAGATACTTGTCCGCCAGGGCTCTCTTCGATGCCATCCTATTATGTGGTATGCTTTCCTCGCCAGAGTAGAGGGAGTGAAACTGACTTCATGTATATATCGGCCTCTGGCACCCTGGCCAGAAGTCTCTTACACTGCTGAAAACCGCTGGATGGCACTTGGCACATCCACCTACAATTGTAATTAAACTTCCAGGGATGGGCAGGAGCTTCCATGCATTTGGTGAGTGCCGATGCTTCGTGCAGGCCAGCACTTTTCCGTTCGAGGAGGACTCACGGAGACGTTACTGGGGCTGGAGTAAAACCATAGTTCTGGCCCATTTCCATGGCGGGAGACCAGGCCCGCCGCGCCCATAGAAGTTCCGGTCAATCCATGCCCACGGTGCTTTAAAACGGACGTGACTACTTCCCTGCGTCGGTGGTGTAGAGGTGGCACGAGCTAACCAGAAACCATGATATCTTTCGCCTCAAGGAGATATCTCATTGTCCGCCACTCTCGAAGACCATCTCTACCGACTCACCGCCAGCAGCAATCGATTTTTTCTGCGTTGCCAGGGTTTTAATGCGAAGGTATAATTCAGCATTAATACACGCCATCATGCGCGAGATTTATTCGAGTCTCGCTACGCCATATTTGCTGATGTAACAGGTTTTGAACTGTTGACGAGTTTGGTATGCCAGCGTGACTGGAATCGACTGCGCGGTCCCTGTTCGAGGCGGAAAGTCAGTCTGTATCTAGAAAGAAATACAATGCAAAAGAATGGTATTTAGCCCAGCATCCGCCCGCCTCCTCACCGTCTCGCATAGAAACCGGGAGGCGGTTTTCGCCAGCAGTGAAACCAGTTGTTGACGGTTACAAGAACACAGCGATGGATCCGGAACCTCGAAGACGCTCGCCGGGGTGAGCACTCAACACTCGCGGTGACCGCCGGGGCAAAAGGTAGATAAATGGGATGATAGGAGGACTTAAAGATAAGTTATGGTGGCGAAGGCATTTTACTGCATATGCACGGCGGCCAACTCTGGCGAGCGTCGATCCATGCCACCATTTATTGTTTATCACCACGTTTCCAGCACCGCTTCACGAGTGGGTATGACTCTACAACCCACCCGCCAAGGAAGCACGCTCTCAGCATTCTCCGATTCCAGCACGATTATTGGATTCCGTCTTTACCGCTGGCTACCAGACGCCGAGAATGAGCCGATTTGCCAATACGGCGGTAAAGTACACTTCACGCATTCTGCAAATTTGAGCCGGTTGTTTGGACCGGTCTCTCGCTCAACCAGTTGCGACGGCGGTGTATTTGATGCGAGGTTTGATTGGGTAGCCGGTGTCGAGATTCCGGTAAGGCGCAATATTCAAACCGGCTGAATTCACGAGTACTGCGTGCTTTCGTCGGCATGCGCAGAATAACATCATTAAAGCGGAAGAAATATCCAGACCAAAACTAGCGCTTGGTGACCATCTACCGCGCTCATACCTATAAGAGAGACATCAATTTCTAATACTACGCCAGACACGCGGCGCCTTCCTACCGAGAGACCCAGAGGTATTTGCGGATTGCTCCAGACGAGATGCTCTTCCACCTCAGTCGTGGGGACTGACTTGTTTGGCGCGCCGGGAAGCCAGATGGACAGAGACACCCTCACAGGGCCCATTTGCGCCTCCGTTTCAATCACCATGACTGATGGGCGGTACGGGCGCTTTGCGTAAAGCACGCGCGTCGCCAGGGAGCTTACCGGATGCGCTGGGAGGAGCCGGAGACCAGTGATTCAACAAAGAACATCCAATCTATTTGGTGGCTGCTGGGGCAGGTAGCGGCGCAGGGTAGGGCCACTGAAATGACGGCGGTTTGTAACGTATAAGTCTCGAAACTCGCACAGACGAAGGCCCGCAGCTGACCGGGTGCCTGTGCGTTTGACCGCAGTCGGGGGCACGACAAACGATTTCCGGACTCAGGCTCGCGCCTTTCCAGGTGGAAATGATTCTCGAGGTGATGATGAAGCCTCCGCTGCGGCGCGTGGGTACTATCGGCGGATAACCACATCTGGTCGCCGGTTTTCGTCCCTAGAATCCCACTGCGACCGGAAATTCACGTAGCTTCTGGAGATACACCCGCTGACAAAGAGTGCAGCGTCGATAGACCGAAAAGATCACCCTACAGGACCTAACCAGCTGTCTATTCGATCACGAGGCAAACCGGCGATACGAGGTCAGGCAGAACCCCTCCACACCCTCGCCTCATCGCCGCCAACCCAGCGGCAGCCCACATCTCATGCAACCTCCTGCCTGAAAGCCAGAACATCGCCAGCTTTCAGAGAGTGATCAGCCAGGGAATTCGAGCACGCTTCGGCAGCGTTGGAGACATCCATAGCTCGATCGGCGCGAGATCGGCTGATCCATCCGGGCATTGCGGGCAGGTAAACCGGTTCTTCCTCCCGGTCGCGGTCGCTTAAAAGCAGGCCATCCCTCGAAGGTTGGCGTTTTATCGACCGGACGGTGATTCCTGGTGGCACACGAAAAATGCGCTTCTGCATCAATCGCTGCGAGCCGGAACTTTGTCGAATCCCCTGGTTTCATCCCTGTGAACGTGGCTCAGGAGTCCACGTACCGACCGACGATCGCCGCCGTTGTCGGGCGTTTCAGCTGCAGATGCTCCGAGGCCTACGTTTTGCTCATAACCTCTACTTCGATTATGGAGATGCATTAAAGTTACCGTAAACGATCGCCAGAGTTGTTGGGAACTATCCACGGATCGAAGAGTAGGAAGGAAGCGTTAGTCTTCCATCATCTGGAGTACAAGAGCCGTTGAAGATCAGAGTTACTTCGACGCTGAAGTCGGGAAAGGATTGATGGTTCCGGAATCCGGTCCCTGGGTACTGAACTTATCCAAATCCTTTGTCCCTTCAATAAAATAAACATCATATCTACCCAATGTCTCCGGTGTCTCCTGTCAGAATAATAAAACTCATTCTTGGAATTGCTTTGGGGCTGAGGTAGGAATCATAAAGGCATTTTCTTTTCCTTTGGTATTGATTTTTTCTGGTTCTCCTACTTATAATCTTCCTGCTTATGTCTGATTTTGGCTTTGGGTAGGGGTCCTTGTCTGGGGGTCTTTAAAGGCGTTTGAAGGGGACATAATACTCGGTATCACACGAAATGGTGGTTGAAGGGCATCTACCACACTCCCCAGACTACGTGGATTCTAAGACTTCCGGGCTACTGGCACTCAGACGAGGGCCTAGCTCAGTCCCAGCTGAAGCCAGACCGTCACGAGGCCTCACGCTCAGTAGGAGGCCTCGCCCGCAGCCAACTTTCTTGGTGGGAGATTGCAGAGAGAGCTGACCATCAAAAATTCCTCAAACCAGAATCCATCGCCGTCCCTACGTGGCCGGCTGAGGATCCCGGCCTCACAGGCAAACGTCCATATCCTTGCATTTCAGCTCACGGGCTAGCTCAGATTTGCAATAATCCGACATCGCCATCCGTATGATCGGGGTCAAATATACAAGCGGTAGGTGCAAGAAGCCCCTAGACTAAACAGTGGAGGACTGAGGCAACTGAGGAGCGCGTGGTGCCAGGCAATATAAAGGCGCATGGCCCAATGGGTGGAACGGCGGGTCATCATTTTACGCGCAGGTCATCACTGACACTTCAAAATCTGGCTGGCGCCTTTGGCTATGTGCGTGGTAAATACATTTTGTCGTGAATCTGAACTGTTTTTACGCCGTCCGGAAGTACGGTCTGCTGCCAGCCGAAGGTGGGGAATCTCATGGCGCGTCCTCCTTAATCCGCAGACATGCGGAGTCCGCGCCATTTTTCAGCTCAGTAGTTTTCAATGTGATTGAAGACCAGACGTACGCTGCGTACGGTCTCAAAGCGGCCCGGCGGCATCAAAGAATGCTCAGTGAAAAACTCCAGTCGCAAAACTCTTTTTCTGCAAATGCTGATCCGAAAACTAACGTGACTAGCCGTATGATTTAAGCGCTGCCCTACCAGTTCAAGGAGCCTTAAAGTACCGGGTCTCCGATAAAGCCGCGAAATCCCAAAGTCGGCGAGGACGTTTTTGCAGGTCAGGAAGCAAACTCAAGATGGCGCTTTGGCGACATTGAGTGGTCATCTGTTGCTTTTAAACCGGCGATGTTGCGCATTGGGCTGGCATATTCTGGCCTGTTCAACTTTTCTCCCGATATCAGAAGATGGCAGCCAAGTGCGAGCTTCCTTGGTCGCGCCCAGCGTCGTCTGTATCTCAGTCTGGCCGTGCGATTGTCATTGCGGCGCTACATCTCACTGATCATGATCATTCTTGGCAGCGGTGGCAGCTCGGGGACGCCATGCGCGGTTAAATCTCCGGGATCAAAACCTGCAGGGTCCGTCACCGTTGTTGAACCGCAACGCGACTATCTGGGCAGTCACGGCAGAGCCTACCGCGAACAATACGCCTCATAACTTTGGTGTGGAAGGATTCTTCCGGCACGGCATGACTCACCAGCTATCTCGAGCGGCTGAAGTGCCCTATGACGCCACAGCCCTGCTCCGCGCGAGGACCACTAAGCCTCAACACAGGGCAAAGGACAGGAATACCCAGCAGATAATGGCCAGCTCCGGGACGAGAGCGTGCTTGAGTGGGTCGATGCCGTCTGGTTTGGCTTCCTGGACGCGACGGTGTCCTATCGAATCCCAGAACCGGTGCCAGAGGATCTCATCAGTCCTTTCCGGACTTCGTAAAGAAGTACCATCTCGGGATGCCGTTATACCATCTTCTCTGCACTTCCGGCGTGTAATGGCGGACATGATCACCTCCACCGTCATCCAATATATCGGGGTCCCCACGCGCCGCACAGGAAAGGAACAAAGGAGCTACATCGTCCCCATCGGTATGTATGCATGCAAGAGCGCCGCGAAACAAACGCTTGACGCGTCTTGAAACGACTCCCAGAAAGTCCATTCAGCGCTCTGGCGGATGGCGTCAGGAAGTCACCGTGCGCACAGTGCCGACAGGACCCTAACTGCTCATAGAACGGCAACATGGTCACCATTCCACGCCCTCTTAGACAATCTGCGGCTTCCCGCTTCAGCGAACAAATCCATCTTCCTCCGGAATGGCAGTATGTCACCAATGCTAGGCCGCGCTCATCAACGACACCGGTCATACTACGGCGGCGTGACGCAGACCGGCGTTGCGGCGCAGGAGCCAATGGTCCCGGGGACGGCCGTTAATGCGCCTGGATGCGCCGAACTGCGAGCACTGCGGCACAAAGCTAGTGGGGAGTGGGTCGGGAGTTCGGAGAGGCGAAGGCTTTACATGGCGAGGAAACAGAAGCGTCTCCATGCCGAACGCCCTGCACTGGCCTGCGAGATCGTCGAGTTTGCAAGCGTACACCCTGCGGGCGAATTTCTGGGCGGAAATCCTGCGCGGAGGGGTTCATCGGCGGCTTCGCCAGGCTCCGGGGTTGGGGCCAGCGTCTGGACGGAAGGCGCTACTTGGCGTCAGATTACTCACGACCTTGCTTTGGGAGTATACGGATGAGATTCTCGAAACGAATGCTTCTTCCACAATCCTTACAGAGTATACTACCTCTGATTACAATACAGTTCTACGATACTTGGTGCCCAATTATTGTTTGGGAAGGTCTCGCTGGTGCGGTATCTAGGCAGGTGAATACATACTATTTATTTCGTCCACTGCGGTTTTGGAAACACTCTTTGTTTTTACACAGATTGGGCGAGAGTAAGAGTACACGAATAATTGCATTAGTTTTGGGAGTTTCTGCACAAATATGGCTTGCTGGTCATAGCGATAAGTAGCGAAGGGATTGACTATATCGTCTTTATGGACAACGTGGCAACAAGGAGCTACCGGTGCTTATACAGGGCAAAATAGAAATTCCAGCGGCAGAGCGAATCCCGAATTTTAATGAAAGTTTAGAAAAGAACAGATTGCTTAGTTTTTCTTATTTCTACTAACCGCAATGTCATTCAGATTTTAATGCCTCTATGCAGGAGTAGGGAACCGCCGGCATTCACCACAGCTGCGAGTAACCGAAATAAAATTATATAACGCATTTAATGGGTCCACATAAATGGATCAATAAACTGCTGCCGCTCAATTGCGTCCCTCAACGGCTGCATACTTCCCTCCTGCAGCGCATCAGTATGGAGGCACTCATGTACGGTTTCTTTCGCCACGCCGGAGAGTAGGTCACGCTTTGTGACCGTTTTGCGTGCTTGAGTCCACATCGGACTGCGGATGGAATCAGTAAATTTAATTTCATTAATTCACGTTGAGACTTACTAGTACGCGGCGGATCCAGTGGATGGCGCGGCCAGGCCTCCCCGCCTCTGCGCTCAAAAGGAAGGTAGCCAGTTACTCCCGCGATGGCTTTGTCATTCCTCAAATGCAAGGGGAAAATCTGGCAACCAGGAAAAAGCAGGCTTTTCAGGACAATGTGAAATTGATGATGAAGGAAGTGCTCCTGTGTGGTGAGTGCAGGCTCCATTAAAGCAGTGCAGCAGTGAACCTGAACCCTCCGTGACGGGCAATAGCTGCCACAGCTCCTGGCCGCCTGCAGTCATCCCATTGTCTCTGGATCGTTCAAATCGCGCCCACATTCAAAGTCAGATCCCATCGATGGAGGCCGAAGTTCCATTTCCGTTCCCATGCAATGAACTTTGATCTAGGCTGGGATGGTGGAAGCAGTCAGGAAAGAAAGGTAGGTTGGGCTGGAGGATTGCCAGGTGTGGGCACTGTCATGGGTTGGCACTGAGAGCTTTTTGCTTTCGGGCATCCCGATTATAGAACTTCTCCGGAATGCGTCTCGGTTTCAAGGGCTGCAGCCTCCCCCAGATGGTTCAGACTCAACCCTCCGGTTTCATTCCTGAGTCTTAGGAATAGCGGGGGTGGAAGGATTCCATCAGTGGGGGGCGTTGGGCCTCCTCATCAGAGCCTGTGCCAGTGTGTGCAAGTCGAAACCACTCCGGGTCCAAGCCGGAACCCGGCCCCGGTCTGCTTGGGGAGTACATTCCCGGTAGTTTCAGGTGTGCAGATGGTCCCTCCCTGCATTCCATTCAGGGATCCGAGGAGGCTCGAAATGAGCACAACAACTGATTTGAGAATGAAATTAGCTCAACAAAGATTCGAGCGTCAGATGGCTTTTCCAGTGCATGGGCTTGCATTTTTTGGACGTGCGGGAGATTTACGCCAGGATGATGGCCTCCGCGGTGGATGCGGAAGAGACTGGCCCTTGGTAATGGGCAAATAAGCTGTAGTTTTGAAACAAAGCCATGGCGGCGCAAACATCGCTGGACGTCTCTATACCTGCATTTTGCGTAGTTCCACCATTAGAAGGTTGTGGGAGAAACTGATTACAGGCATTGGAAGAGGCTTTTGTAGCCAGCTATGTTTTAGTTCCACAAATTCCATAACCCTAGAACTCTAGTTGCAACTTCTAAGTATGAGTTCAGAACAAAAGATAAGAGACTCAAGGAATACCTAATTTATTCCTAGTCAAATCCTGCCATAGATATTCGCTTTATCACACGCCCTATGCTTGGGGCCATCGCCCTCACTGTGCATTTGTGATAGCGGCGCGTGCGAAACAATACAGGCAATACGGTAGCGTGCGCACGTCTGTCACGTAACCGAGGGAGGGCAACACACGGAAGTTTGCACCGAAGTCAGTTGGATACTAGATGTAACGCTGTTTCTTGAAGACCCAATCTGATATGCATTGAAAACTGATGGCTGGCTGAGGTCCACATTCTATCTCTACAGGGTTCAAGGACGAGAGCAATTGAGTGCCACCATATGGTTTGTTATTGGGGGCGTTGGAACGATGCCCACTAGCAGACAAGTCGTAGACGTATGAATGGCAGAGCTGCTGGCAGCGCAGCATGCAATCTATTGCAATATTGCAGGAGCATGTGACCAATTCGGAGCCAAGGATTTCCTGTGCAGCACTGGCAGTGATCCTGATCGAGCGTGATCTATCCTATGCGCGCCAGGTGGCCCATCTACACGATGTAGCATCCGAAATGGCCGATGCCCCGACTGGGAAGAGTTGGTGGGGAGATTGGTGATGCGCGCCAGGTCAGAAGAGGAGCTGAATAGAACAAGTTTCCTGGCGACCGGAATCGCTGCCGCTTGTTTGAGCTGAAATGAGTGGGAACAAGGAAAATTTACAGGGACATTGAGCGCCACCCAAGACATGGTTAGTAGACTCAGAGTGCAATGGATCGAGCTTGTCGAAGGCGCGGTGGGTAACAATTTGCTGTTCAATGGGGTGGGCCCGTAATAAAGGATAAGGCTCGAAAGGTTATGTATACCCATCCTTACCTCTTACTGTAGTCATTCGAGATTTCCTGTTACTGAGGCCGCGTTATTGTTCAATACCCTTGCTGGAAATAAATTTTATTTTGTTGATCTTAAAGTCCATCGCGTAGAGACGCCAATTGCTGTTGTATGTCGGGACTGCCTGCCGATTTTGGGCGATGTAGCGTCGCATACGCAGCTGTAATGACCCTAAGGATGTCTTGGGGATCTAGATCTGAACGGTTAAACTCTCAAAACCACCCATGGCATGGCCAGGGGCATCATGGCCAGATGTCCAGAATAGTCCCTGCATTGCTGGACGACGATGTTTCATCGCTTTGATGCGCGGCTGGCGCGGCATCGGTGCGGCTGGGGCGGAGACGTGGATCACGCAACGGCGACAGCGCTCGAGACGACATACGAGGCGCTCAGAAGCTGCAGGATATACCATTGGTAGATGCTGGCTCGTCCATCCCGGTCTTTGTTGGCGCGATGGCGCGGACTATCATGACGCTATCAGCTCAGGATTTGGACACAATCAGCCGATGGCATGCAGCAGGCATCGCCGAGTATTCTCTCAAATATGCCGTGTCTCGTACTTCTTCGACCTGAGAGGCCATCAATGACTATAATGCCATTTCCAGCTCACTGAGTAGCATTACACCAAAGCAGTCAAGAAACCTCCACAACAGCGGTGCGACAGCAATTGTAGGGGTGGCGTCTCGCTCTTACTCGACCTGGACCTACATGTCGGTCATGAGCCTACACATGCTGTGCAAAACATCAAGATGTCGCGTGGAGGATGGGGATGCTGACAGGTGCCGGGCGAAGGTGCGCTGCCACGTCGTGAATGCAGAACTGGATCAGGCGCTGAAGATGTAGCGACGATGAGTGCATCATTCGGCAGACCGCGGTCAACTCTGTTGACAGCCGATCCGCAGGAATTACCATGCCGCGAATTCAGGCCCAGGCGACGTGTGAAATCCCGCCGAACCTACTGAACGCTGTATGGGCTGGTCCGGTTCAGGATTCGATGCCAATATTTCCGAATACCATGGGACTGGAACCCTACAGGCCCCAAGTCCCGTAAGAGGCGCAATCAGCAGACATTCTACCCAAAAGGCGTCGTGTTTAGCCCAGAGGGACGGCTTCAGCATGGCAGATATCAAGACCCTAATCCGGCCCACCTGGAGGAGTTGTGCGGAGTCTCATGGGCGTGATGGCCTTCTGTGCATCAAGGGCCAGGACCATCATAAAACATGCTGACAATCTCAATCCGGAAGCTCCATTCTACGACCATCTCCAGTGTTCCAACAAGCACTATGCCATGGCCATCCGTGCCCTGGCTGTCCGTTGAGGGCGGTTGTTCCTTGCTTCGGTTTTGGAAGGGGACCAACGCTCATGCCAAATGTTGAGAGCCCGCGTTCCACACAATCCGCAAAACAAGTCAATTTTACAAAGAAGTCGATACATAAGAAAAGGCAATCATGCAGGCCCATTCGTATTCTCAGCACGCTCGGATTCCACTATACCGAGCATCGAACAAATAGCCCGATATGTCAAAACAACGAAGCGTGGACCTGGAGTGAGGGTTTGGCCTGGACCCTCGCTGTAAAGGAACCGCCTTGTAAAGGTCTCCATGCTTACTGGCAAGGAGGGGCTTGTCGAGGATTTAGACAGGGTTGTTGAGGGGAATACAAGAGCTAACAAGGGGCAGACGCCAATGTCCTTTTCCACGGAGTATGCCCGGTGCAGTGGATCATGGGCGTTTTGCGGGACCAGGAGCGCGCAGTATTGGCAGAATAAAGTAGGTGCGACGTCCTGCGCTTGTCTCCGGTCTTTACGCGGAGTCTGTCGGGCGATTGTGGCGGGCGTTATCACCAGCCGGGCCTTCGTGGGCGGCCCTCGTGGTCCTTCGAGGCTTCGCGGCGGACAAGGCCACTCGTCGCGCCTCTGATCGGCGGCGGTGGTAAGGTCGGCCGTGCTGTGGCAATTAGAAATAGCCGTCTACGATCATCTTCTTTGTGCGTGTGGGAATCAGTCTCGATGCGGTTGTTGGCCGCTCGTCGGCAAGAAATAGTAGCCTGTAAACCCGATCATTTCGGCAGAGGATACCATGAGAATGCTTCGTGGAGTTTACACACTAAGCCAGTTCAAAATCCGGTGGCATACTAGCCGTTGAGTCTTCAGTTCGACGCGAGTGGTGTGTTTAAGCCATCTTTTCTGGGAGAATCGTGGTGGCCTTAAGTATGGAGCCCGCCAGCGACGTTATCGGGCGATTACGTTACAATCCTCGAAGCCAAGGGCACTTCTAGACCATGAAGAAAATATTCGCAAAGGGAGTGTTACAGGTTGATGTGGCGTACCCTCACACCAACATGGTGCCCTGTAAGTACTGGCCATATCTATAGAATCCTTGAAGGCATACAACATCAAAGTACGACGCACCCAGGGCAGCTGCATGGATTTTCAAGCGTGACAGGGGAGCAGTGCAATACTGAAAAAAAGATATCAAAGGGTTTCGCCGATATTTACTGGAATTAGAATGCTGCATGGTCAAACGAAATACTCTCAGGCACTGGAGAGTCAGTAGTGACAGCCAAGAAACTCCCTGGGAATTGCGTGTATCCTTGAGATCGGACCTCATCCGGCTCTCAGCTAGTCCAGTCTTGGATGCGTTGAAGCCCAAAGAAGTGAGTTCAGGTGTTCTTTATACCTCGTTACTTTCACGGGCAAAATGATCCTCAAAGGCTGCCTCGACCACCGTCGGTTTGCCTCTGGGAACTGATGTCTGAGCTTGTTTGAATGACCTTGGGCGGTTTCTCCAAGAAGCTTTTTGGGAAAGCAGCCATGCATGACAAAGGATTACCAGCATACTCCTGGGACAATGGGAAGAATCACTGGAAGAGTCTCGTGTCCGAAGATGCAAATCTTGGTGGTACGCAATTGCACCTATTGAGCCAGCGATCTACCAGCAGATTAACAAACGAGATGTGTTAGGAGAATATTCTGCACTTGGAGGGAGATGCCTTGGGCCCGGGGCTTTAAACACGGAAGGCCAAAGAGTTGCTTTAGCTGCCTTTTACTTTTCTTCTCAAAGTGCTTGGCTGCGGCTCTGCGGCTGCAAGCCAATGCCTTGCGTTACTCGAGGAGGTCCAATAATTTCGTTGTCATCAGAGACCATTAATCTTGGAAGAACATAGTCATGGGATAGAATACGGCAAACCCGAGGTACACGATTCCCGTGACAAGGAATTCCGGTGTCGGATGCCAGACTCTGATGGAAACCGCACCGTGGCGTGCCAGCGGTGACGGATCGGCACGGCAAGGTTACAGTAGCAGCTGTGGCGCTTTGTCTTGGCCGAGCTCTCCGTGATAGTATTATTGGCGGTGCACCCCAAAGGGAAAAGGCGGCACCGCCTTCTGGCACCTGTAGATGTCGTGATCTGTACCGCTCGTGCGAAGCTGGCATTTAGCTATTCCGGACGCTTTTGAGCGCCAGCACTCGATCGAGGCGCTCCTTTCGGACCAAGCCGCTGCATCTTGGGCTGCCATTGCAATTATCTCGGATCCCTCGCTACCCAGCTATGCTGGGGGCATCGTACCAGGCTGCCGCCTTGATGTATTGCCTTTGCCTGTAGGCTGTACCGAATGTGAACTTCGTTTCATAAAAGAATTCGTCGAAACTCACCGGCTATCCTAACCACTTTAGAAGATTTTCATACAAAATCAGCTTTTGTGGGCTGCGTGGACGGGGTGAGAATGGGGGCGTGTCGTTGTGCAGTCGGATGGAGCACTTTGTGGTGCCAGATCGGGGCTTGGTCATGAGAGTGCCCTCGAGCCGACACTTCAGTGACCGTGACATGTTCGCGCACGTGGTGTGGGAGAGCGACCCTTTTGGGTATTCGTTGGTATCTTCCCTGCCATCTCAGCCTAGAGGAGGAGAGTGCTGGCGAGAATGCGTATATGATCACTTTTATACTATTGCTGCGAAAAATACTGGATGAATTGATCCACTCAGATACTGCAGGTTTATGCCCGTCCACCACCAGCTCTTACCGTGAATTAACCCGCATTGCTGTTGATGGCGGGCTCTGAAGTACTCTATTGTTCCAGCCAAATCCAATTCCCCAATGTCTGAGGAGGCATCCTGGCAATGGTCGGTAAAGTCTGCAGGGATCGTGGATCTTCAGTCAATCATTCCTCAGTAAGGCCTTGCCAGCGATCCTGCGAGGGGAGAAGTAGACCTATATGACATGCCGAATGGGGGCTGGCATCCTCAAACTTATCTCATACTGATGGAATCCTGTCTGCACTGAACAAGATGTATTGTCAAGCGTATTGTACACAAGCATCCCACATGGAGTCCTGGAGCTTGGTGCTGGCACCGGTCATGCGATACACCCAGCGAATACTGGAAGCTCTTGATGACGTATACTTCTTATTGCTTGACGCAGCTCCAGGTGCTCAACTACAAGACGGTGGGCGGAGGCTCGCTCAGCTCAGCACCGCAGCCTAGTTTTTCAAAGGTGATTGATCTGAAATACGCCGTTGCTACTGAATAGCAGTGACAAGTATGACATAGTAATCGCTGCCAATCCGCTCCAATACAACAAGAATCCACCAGCCTCTTCCGAAAGTTGCCATTTTACGTGAGAAATGCTAAAACCCGGTGATGGTTACTTTATTCGTTAGAAGTCACCGGGAGAATGCCGATGTCGTTGTTGCGTACTTATGGATTGTTTCCCCAGTGGTGGCAAGGGTACGACCAGATGCCCAGGCTTTGGCTGGACATCGCTGGTGGATGCGGCCTTTTGGCTCACTTCTGGGTTTCCGGAATCGACCATATCTTTCATGGTTCTGGTGCATCCAGATAAGATTTGGTCTCGGTGTGTATTAGTCCACACAGAGCAGCAGTGGATGATACTGTGAGCGATGCTTCGAAACCGATGAATTCGACCGGCCTAAGCGCCGCTTACTAGAACTATTAATTGTTCCTTAGAGGGCAAGACACTGCTAGTATCACGCCTTCTCCATAGTATTCAAGAATTCTCGCTGTCGGGTACTGCGGCCACCGTAGTGGGGGCCGGCCCAGGTGGTTACTGAAGGGGCCTCACGAGGGCATTCAATCATCTCCTGGTGGAGCTTGACGAGGCCATTCTTCTCCAGCGGGGCTGCTTCACGAGAGGCTCACCCGGCTTCAAGGAAGCTTGTGAAGGTCAAGCTTTTACCGTCCTTTGGCTGACCGCTGGACATATGTCCAGAGTACAAGTGTGGCGGTTGGAGGCGATGGGGATCAGGGGGACGGTATCGGCGCCCGTTTCTGCAGATTTTGTCGTGATTGGAAGGCATGTCGCCTTCGCGGCAGTTGAGGTCTTCCCTGCGCCTCCGCATTGATTAACCGTGCCCGGCGTTGACGGACGGGCAAACGCTTTGGACAAATGGGCGAATTACGCATAGGACGGATGCACGCGCTACGTATTCCCACGACTGGTTCAGGATCACGACGAAATAAACGATACCAATTCCAGGCATCAGAGACTGTCCCTTCACTTATCCCTCCAGAAACCAATTAACCTTCCAGCAATGACCGTTTAGCCAGCTTCGATACATTCAATTCGATATTTCCCTTCCTTCACTTTGCAGATATGTATAAAGCTTAGTCGTGTCGATGGAAAGGGAAATGTTGTCGGCATTTCTGTGAGCATACCTTATCTCATCAGTTAGCTCAAGTAGACCTGAGAATGTTCATAATCTGGTGACGGAACGACTTAAGCCCGAACGCTTTGCAGCTACTGCTAGCTTCAGTTTATAGACCTACTGTTGGAATCCTCTTCTATCTGGACCTATACTTCCTTTATGAGCCTGATGATGAGTTGCGCGGCTGCTGTCGAGCAAGCGCGCAGGGCTCAACGCACTGTGTATTTTATCACTTCGAAGTGCACCGATTCAAAGGGTGGATAGCGATTACACCTCATGCATCGCAGCGCATGATTGAGCGAAGCGCTGCCGAAGAGATGTGTCGGTGGCATCGTTATCTTCCTCGCGACGATCGTAGTGACTATACTTCGCAATATCTATTCTGAAGAAGCTCGGATCAGACTGTGGGAATTATATCACGTCATTATTTTACAAACCTTAGCGCTTATCGCAGATACCTATGCTCCAAGCTTGTACCAGGTTAGCGGCGCTCTTCCACGCGTAGTCCCGGAAGTTACTTCTTTAGCAGAGACCCCATCAAACAGTCCCATCAGTCTCCCAAGGTAGTGGACTATGAACAAGCCTTGCTCCAATGGCAGGCAGAGTGAGTCTGAGGGCCTACGGCATGTTCTCCTCAGGGCGCTGGAACCTACTGGATGATTGATATGGCAGCACACCGCTTGGATTGTCAATTCTGACATGGATGGCGAGCAGGGGCTGGACATTTTGTTCTTATAGAAACCCACTTGCGTACAGAGCTTAAGCTCGAAATATCTCGTCTACCAGAACTGTAAGCTCTGAAAGTGGATGCTTCCGACAAAGTCGTTCTGTCGGCTTTCCTTTAAAATCAAGGAGATTTTACCACCCATTGTCGGTGTCTGCTATGCTCCCTTAACTCACCATTGAAGGTTTGAATATACTATCGAAGACGAGCGAGGTGCTGTCACGAGTGCAAAATCAACACAGCAACGTATCTCGACGAATTGTTCCACGGGACCGGCGCTAAACTGTATTGATATTGACATCCATATAGGTATCGAGACTCCCGAGCGGGCGGAATATCGTGGCTGGCTGTTTCGTGACCCGGTGTGGCGGCCAGGCGGGGGCCTGGTGGAGTGCCCAGCCCTGAACATGGTTGTCGATGCTGGATGCTTTTGCCAAAACCAAGGCGGAAGGTGATTCGGCGCATGAGTGCGTGGACATGCGCCTCTGTGCGAAGTCCGATTTACATGCGCACTTAGCTTTAGTGAAGTGGTAGCTGCTGGAGCACCTGGTCCCAAGAGAATCCCGAGATATTCATTAGCCTGCAGATGATAGACCGCCAGATTGACCAGGATGGTGAATCTCAGTAGCCCCTCAAATCCTCTGCTTTCTCACTTCACTACCTATGGCGCTCGAAGCCAAACAGGGAGCAATCTGTAGAAACAAGGAGGATTCATCCTCCATCCATACACCTAAACATCAGCCTCAAGAATCAAAGCCAAGACGTACATATGAGACGCTGCTGGGCGTTTATCGAAGAAGGTCGAGTCAATGCGCTCCGGCTTCCCTCAGAAACATTGGATGTACATGCCCACACTTCTGGACCTGGGTTGTGACTCACTTTTGGCGCATGGATATTCAGACATGGTTTACAAAAGAACGATATCTACATTGCTCCCCATGGATACGCACTACAAGGCACTATCGCAGGGAATTTGTGCGAAAGCCATCCAGCCTGATGCTCAAGTTCTATGGTACCGCAGAAGGGAAGACCAGCCACCACCGACAGGATCGATTTCCTGCACGGGCCTCGCGACAACTGCAGCAGGCCTAACAGCTCGGAAGGCATAACTCGATATCACATTGGTTCCAGAGTGCATCAGCCATTATGCCGCTGGCTCAGATTTGAACAAGGGGTCAAAGTGGGATTTTGAAAGATGTCTCCCTCCTATCCAATCACCAGATCTGGAGGAGAACCGCCACCCGTGGATGAGAAGGACCTAGCCAGTGGCATTCATCCATATCTTACAATCTTCAAGAACTTTATACTCCGAAGTTCAAAGGAGCCCTGCGGGCAAGGCAAATGCAACTTTTTGGTCATGCGGACTGCCTTCTTTCAATGGATCCCACAGCTTGGTAGGGCTGTTTTCAAGGAGGTGTCTTGAAAATGCCACCGCCTGTCTTCCCGAGGCATGTCGGCTGCGGCCATGCTGATAAGGGAGTTTGACCGACTTTAAAATTACCATCAATGGCGAAACGGAGCGAGTTGATCATGCGCGTTACAGTGGTGTCTGTTGGACGGGATAACACGGTCATATTTGGATACCATCACATTATCATGAACCCAGACTAGCTGGTCTACATTCCTACATGATTTGAAGTGTTTCCTATAAGAAACCCACGCCGGGGTTTGGCGTACGTTGACTGGCTGGCTGATCGATGCTGGTCGCGACGTCGAGAATGGGACGCTGCAGGGGCTGGGTGCCGATGTGAGCTTTCACCACCTCCAGAAGTGATGCCTGTCTGCTTCCCTCTCATGAGGAGGAAGACCGGGCGCCAACGGATAATTTCAAAGGTGCACAGCGGCGCGGCGTATTAGCATCAAAGTCGCGGACAGGATCAAACAAAGCGAAGGTCACGCGATCTCGAGCACGCCGTTTCATTTTACCTTTAGCAGTAGATTCTTCCTTACCGGATTACTCAAAGTCTTGAAATCATCAGTATGAACGACGCGAATCGCAAACCTCAACAGTTCATCAGCACGATCAGCTGGCCTAGAACATGTTGCCTCTCAGGTTCCACGTCAGCAAACGGACAGCTTTGCCCAAGTATTGTTCGAAGACATCTACGAAGGTTCTCACTGCGATTTCCATTCCTCAGTTTCCTCAACTTGGTCGTGGACGCGCTCAATATCCACGCAGGCGTCAGATGTCACGCCTCTCTTTCAGGTTACCGCAAACTTCGCGTAGGGAATTGCAGGGAGAATGTCGGTTGATGACTTTGGCACCAATTACGATATATGATGGGCAGCGCACCATGCTGATATGTCCTTCCACGTCACGCCGTGGAACGGCTCTGTATTGTGGAACTTGGCATGGTGATTATTTGTATTCACTGAAGCCACGGGATGGGTCGGATGAATACATCAAGTTACTTGAGATCCTATCCTCGGATCCTTCGTCCTATTCAGGGCTGATCTTTCTCTGCATCTCGATCAATGAGGTTATTCTCTCTGTTCCGGCGCAGTCCACAGCGCAGGCCACGGCAGCTGAAACTCCTTCCGCCGAGGTTCCAAAGGCCACCGGCTGATCCAAGCCGCCTTGGCGACTAGGATCGCCGTGCTGATGGGGAACCGGAGAATTCCACCTACCGCCGCAGCTGAATAGGCATGCCATAAATGGGCTGGCGTATAGAGTGCATCGCGGAGACAAAGTCATGATGGCACGCCGCTACGTCGGTCAAACGGTACGGCGGGCAGCGTATGCGGTTTTGCCGCGTTGGGCTGTTTGCGGTCTGGGGCGCCATACTGGCGGGGCGGGCTGACTTGATCGAGAGGCTTCTGCAGTGAAAGCGATCATTGCTCAATGCTTCCACAGCCAGGAAGCCTCGGGAACTAAGTTGGCTTACCGTCATCAACGTCTGCGAGTGGTTGGCTCGGAGTCTCTCATCCATGAGACGTTCAGGGGCAGCGTCCCGAGTAGGACACATGCATCTTAGCGCAGGCCGACTCAACGGACAGCCTAGAAAGTCTGTCTGCCTCAAGAATTGGTTTTAAAGTAAACTGCCAATGAAGAGCTCGGTCTGGATGGCTCGACGGTGAGTCCTACAGCCAAAACCCTAGGGATTCGACGGGAACTCCTGCTTTGGGCTCTCAATCGCTACATTTAGAACTTGGTAGCAGAAGCTTGTCCATTTGTACCTCAAATTCGAAGGATTTGGTCAAGGTTGCCGAGATCGTCAAGGTGCAAAGAAGGATTGAAGCTGCTCTGGCTGCTTCCCATCAGAGTACCGCGTGGCGCTCCGGCGCGGGTCGCTATCGCACTGACGCTTACGCGCGTACTGAAGTGAGGCGCGCACGGACCAAACCAAGGCGGGGTTCGCTCTATGACTGGGAACGAACTGCCTATGGTGCAGGACTCTACATTGCGACGGAGATATCCGTCATACGACGTTTAAGGACGATGTCTGCATCCTCACAACTAGAAAGACACCGCAGCGATTGGAAGAACAATCCGCAAGCACCTCTGGCAAGTGGGCGCAGGCTACGCCTGCGTTCCTGGAGAGTAGAGAATTATCATCAGCGATGCCCGAGATGCATTGGGGTACCTGAATGGGGAGCAGACCGGTTTACAGGGGTCGTGGACGATCCTTGCTTAGCCCTGCGAAGATACCAGCCAGAGGATTGGTTCGAATGACGTTGTACCGTACCTGGGTGACAGGCCCAATTAGCGGGGATGGTCTCGATTATACCTGCGGTCGGATGGACGGAAACCCAAATTAAGCTACCGCCCGGACTTCGTATTGATCTCGAGCTGGCGGCGCTACAATGAAGTAAACTGCCACTCCGAATCTACTCTGTCGCGGTGCGCTTGTCAAAGGCCGGGGATTCAAGGGTAATGCATGCGTTTGTTGCTACCCTGGGCCCTGGATAAAGCTGCTGAAGTCTGCCAGGCCGCAGCAATCTTCGCGCCGCAGTACGGCGCACCTGCGGCGGTCAATCAAGACGGTACCAGGAGAAATGAATGGAAAAGTTGATCAAAAACAGATGACCATGCCAGACTGGCCTTAATCTACCCACGGCTTCAGAACACACAAAACGACCTTGAACGAAAGGTGAACGCTCAACCTGGCAAGAATCTCGCTGCTGTGAAGCGAATCCAGCCTGAAGTCTGGCTTTTCATGGGGAAATTCTCTACTACTGGTCCGTGCAGGCGCTCATCACTTTCATCGGCGTTTCACATCACGCTGGGGCTATTTTGGTGCCGATACGGCACGTGCGGCACTCGAGTCCCAGGCGAAAGGCCGAAACACGCTAACGTCGATCAACTGGCGGCTGGAAACAGCAATGCCCCACTTGCGGGCTCATCGCCAGTGGTCTGCAACGCTTCGAGCGCACTTGCGGCTACCCTCAAGATCAGAGCCTGCTGAAATCTCCTTTCGTCAATAGATTTCAGGAGAATGCTTCCAGTGCAGTTCTCATCCAGATGCCAAAGTCACGGAAATTATTACATCACTAAATGGAAAAAAAGAGCAAAACGTACTTTTACCACCGACAAAATATCTATATTCACGCTATGATCCAATATACAGAGATGGAAAAATTACTTGCGATACCCATCGACGTGGTGATCACGCACGGTTCCAGCGGTCAATATGGCTTGCAACTCTTGGAAAGCTGAACCTTGGCTCTGCCATCGCCGCTTTTTGGTTTATACGGTCCCAGGTTAAGCTGCACTATATCTTCAGGCGGAGTCATTTCTCGGTCCGGAAGGGCATCCTCGGGCCCATGCCGTTGATACTGTGCTCACTCCTCAGGATAGGCAGCCTCGCCGCAACAAAGATAGACGGGGAACCATCGGGCGTTTCGCCGCGGGCCGGTTTTCGAAAACATCAGTATTCGCGCCCCTGCACGCGTCGGCGTGGAAACCTGCTCTGACGCGCTGGAACTCTCTCCACCGGCTTCTCTGCCACTCACCGACACCCGCCACGGCCAGAGTGGAGGAGATGCCGGATTTTCAAGAAAGTAGAGATCATCCGCTGAAATCCGCCACTTTAGTGACCTCAAAAGGTTATTCTGCGAACCTTTCCGCGGCCCTCCTCAATCGTTTAACATCTCCGAGTAGCATCCGCACCGCTCCCTCCAACAAGTCCGGAATACATGAAGAGCTTTGGAAGTACTGGAGAAATTACACGGTCCGTGCGTTCCAGGCTCTGTTGCGGGATTAGATTGCCTACAATGAACAGAGCATTGAACCCACTTATTCCAGGCTTTTTTTGGAAGCCATTGGGCGACAGCCAGGACACAGTTAGAACCATCGTATCTGGTGAGCCATGATATTAGGCCTTCCGTTGATAGTGGCTATTATATGTGTGAGGTCTCGGTAACGAGCTGAATGCGCGGAGACACTACGAAGTGCAGAAAAGGAAGTGTATCTATATGGGAGAGGAAGATAAAGACCAATATGTACATAACCTAATCTTGCTGGCCTTCAAATTCAGGCCCGATAAACACTTCGCGCACCTGACTAAGCATCTGCCGAAAGCTGCAAAGGTCTAGCCATCAGCGCTTCCTGAGGCAGCCTCCTAACAAAGGAGCACACAAGACCCTGTATAACTATGAGAAACAGGATACAAGCATCCTCTGGCAGCACTAGAAATTTATATCCAAGTTAAACCAATGCCTGGGATTAGATAAATAATGGAATAAAATCTGTAACCATATCATGAAACTATAAGCCCAGTTTAATACCTTTTTACCCAAGCATAAAATTAGGAATAAGCGAGGAGGGTGATCTAGAAGAAGGGTGATAGGCAACTAATACAAGAATCTATTATATATATTAGGAGTTGGGAGTCAGGAAACAGAAGGACTTACAGGACAAGAAATCCAACCCAGGGAAAGGGCTGGAGACGAATATAGGAAATTAATAGTTAAGGCTGTGATACAATTCCTTCTCAGCCACAAGGCACCGACCTAAAAACAAAACAACAAAGGAATACTATATGAAATGCGACCAATAACACTCATCAAGAGGAATTACATACAGCCTCAAACTGCACACAACTTCAAATATGCAAAATAAATATAAGTAGCAGCCCGTTAAAAGCAGTAAATAAAATGGCAAGCACATCCTATGCACACGAATCTATACCAAACTCATGGGCATGCGATATAATACGATCTAATCCGGGCAACTATCTAAGCAGGAACTGTCTCTTAAATGCATTAGCAATCTCATGCGGCTGGTTTACTGGATTGAAACCTGCATGCGTAGGCTTCATAAAGGAACAAGAGCGGCCGGATCGGTTTTGGGTAGGGAAGAGTCGCCGGTTGCGCGGCATTGCCGTAATTTTGAGGCCGTAGCTTCGGTATCTGGTTGTTCCGGCGCTCCATACAAAGGCAAAGGCGGCGGTATTGATGGGGGGACACGCTCGCCGGGTGTTTTGGCTTCTGCGAAATAAAAGCAGATGCTCTCTAAAGGCTGCTCGTAGATGAATGGCTGGCACATGGTTACGGGTGCCCCGATCGAAACGCGGATTTGCGTAAATTGCGAAGCCTCGAGCACACGTGCCGGGCGTCGATAGGACGCACGCACGGTGCACCTCTTGACCTTCAGTTCGTGCAGTTACAATCCACCGAGGATGTGCGCACATGCATTATCAGCCCCACAGAGTAAAACCGCATGTGATAAACAACTGACAACAAATCCTAAAGGTCGCTTCCTTCGGCACGGCTCCACAAATATACACGCACGACACTTGTTCGGCAGGGCGCTTGTCCGCGCAGATTGCTCCAGCCGACCGGTGCCGGGTTTTCCGGCATGCTCCGCCATGTTGCAGCGCCGTTTCTCCTGGAAGCGATTGATTTACTTTTGATGCAACCACAATATGATGAACCAGCAGGGTCGCTGCTGCCAGCTCCATCTGGAGGATCAAACGCCGCTTTACAAGAGGGCGAGAGCGCAGAGGCATAGAACCGGACAATGGTGGGGATGGAATCGATGTTGGAAATTGAAAGGCATCAGTTCGTCGCCACCGCCTAGCCACAGCAATCCGCGGGGGAATTATCCCGAGGAACCCTGCTTAGCGGCACTTCTGGATACTTCTCCACGAGCCAGCCGTTTGCAACTCGTATCCTGGTACGGTCAGTGAAGATTTTTGATTCTGACTAACAGGCGACATCGCATTGACGCGACGTGCTGCTGGAGCATTAACCAGGAGCTATTTTGATATCGTTATGCTCACGGATAAGGGCGTGGCTGTCCACGGATCTCGCGAATGCTTTGAATTGCGTAATGGTCGCCCAGTTCACTATAATAATGGCCGGGGCTATATGCCGGATTAAACCATAGTGCTACGGTAATGGAATGTACTCGGCTATTTCCTTGCTTTAATCAGTCATCTCCAGTATGAATTGTACTGTATTCCAGTTACCTTATAAACCACCACTTTCTTCTTCCACTAAAGCACCATTCATGGGTTATCCATGATGGCAAACAATTTCTCTACAGAGCACCTTAAGTAACCTGGATCGTGCGTCAGTGTCTCCATGATCCATGCCCGGCTGGAGTTGGGAGCCGCTGCAGGAAATCGGACAGCACCCGCATTGCACGCCTGTTGATGGGCTCCTGGCAGAGATGCCTGGTTGCTGGAGCAGCCAGGACGCCGCCACTGGGGTCGTCGTGTTATCGGTAAAGGTATCTGTCAAGGAGAATTAGTAGGGTACTGGTAAATGATGTAAAATGATGGTTAATAATGTTGGACAGCCCTGGTTACATATCCTCACCCATGGTGGCCCGGGAGGAATGGCCAAGCTGACATGGCGGCGAGGCAGCACTGCTGCGTGCATGGGCGGTGGCGGATATGGCGAGCATACAAGAAGATGTAGCCCAATCCCAAGCAAGAGTTGCTGGGGGCCTTGACGGGGAAGGGAGGCAGGCTTGTATCTGTTGGACGATCTGATTGTCTCGGCTGGGAGGCGAAGTGCCGGACTAAGTCTCCAAATGCAGCAGGCATATTATCATCAGCAACGAGGCCTTCATTCCGTCGTGTGCCATATTGCCAACTAGTAGTTGGCGTAGTAGCTGCAGCGCGTCATTACTGCTGATGGAGAGTATCATCAGTCCCGTCAGGATATATACCCCGTCAGTGGCAGGGCAGAAGCCAACTACCTGGACCAAAGGAACCGCCGCCAGTTCCGAGTACAGGGACTTCCCTTATAGAATAGTGACTGGCGGTTGAAAACACTCTGGTTGGGCGAGGCGCAGGCGGGGAGGTTGGTGGCGCTCAGTACCTCTTCTGTATGTTTGGTGCGGTGACATTCCGGCGCGGCATCACCGCTGGGAGGATGAGGCCTACTCTGTGTTATACGTATTGATGGGGTTTGCCGAAGACTAAGTCATCGCAGAGAACAGTAACTCGTTTCTGTTCACCAACGAAGATGTTAAATTCCGGCACCTGAACTCTCATAGCTGTAATCCTATCGGATCCTTCCCACCAGATTGGCAATGTACTTTTCATCCACCGAAAGAGCTGCTTCATACCGTCATGAAGAGCCGATGTACTTATCCATGTATCTTCATCGCTGAGTTGACATCCATCCATAGAAGTCAAGTCCTATTTCACCAAATCAAAATTAGCCAATCCATCGACATTTTAAGGACCGTCGATAATAAGACCTATAGTTACTAGCAACAAAATGAATTTCTCATGTAGGCTTTCTGGCTTGCATTTAAGACAGTCAAGTAGGATTCATCAGCTAGGATTATGAATGTTATCCACTCCCAAAGCATAAGAAGCACCGCCATACAACCAATGGATCACCGCAGGGACATTATCGTAGCCTCATTGACGCCCTCAGGTACCTGTACATTCAAAGAAAGACGGTTATCACGGCCCCAAGAAGGAATTACCGTGAAACCTGAAATAAGATTGCCACTGATGGGACATATTCCCGCATAAGTGGATTGATACTCATCCATGGTGGCACCCTCATGCCAGGGGTTTTCCAGGGTTTGCAGGCGTAGATCTCAGTTGGGCTTAGGCGAAACAGATATTGTTGTGTAGTTGGCTATTTGGAATGGATAAAGTCGTGTTGATGATGAATGGGTGCGTGTGTAGCGTATCCCAAGGTTGATGTATGGGAAGGCTGTATTTAACAGGTTACTGTGGTTGTAGGAGGGAGAAATGGTAGGATAGCAGAGCAGCATGTTAAAGTCGCTGTTTGCTGCACGTTTTTCTGCGAAGACGCTGGTGAGTGGTTGAAGTCCATCTAGAACAGCAGCGCCTCGTGAGATATATCTGCTGGCGGCTCACGGGTATCATGGCAACGGAGTGATCGCTGGCACTTATACGAGCATACGATATTTCATTGTGGGACAACAACCATTAGTGGGCAGGTTGAAATACCTCAAGAACGAGCATCGGCCTGCACGGATTACAGGTGGTGGTCATATCTCATGATCGTGGAATAAAGTGGCTATTTCATTGTTGTCTGACACATTTCAGACTGCGCAGTCGTCATTTTGTTTCTGAGAAACGCTGAATTTGGACCGCCTGTTGCTTGACCCGTCCTCTTCCTCACCCCTTAGGTGTTCGCATGATTGGCACCTATGGCCCTTCGAAATCTGTGGTGGAATGAACTTTACAGCAGATGGGCGAGGCGCATTTATTGACCTAAAGATACTGGCCTTCAGCACAATTGCTTCTTCGGCAATCCACCAGCGATCACCCGATTGCTGGCGTGATGGCAGCGCGGTGGTGGCGCGGCAGCCGGTGGTGGCGGCAAGATCTATTCTTTGATCGCCGCGTGCAGTAGATTCACGGGTGTTTGTTGCTTCGTGCTAACAGCCGCCGGTTGTTGTCTTCCTCCGCCCCGGTCGGCAGCCTCAAGGTGAAGCGGCAGCTCCTTCCTTGTCCGGCAAAGGTGCTTATTGCTTCGACGTTTTCGTTTTGCAGCTAACATCAAGGGGTTCTACCAACTTCCATCTTAGTGATTAAAATATCAGCCCAGCACTTCAGTTACAAAAGGTACGCACCGCCATCTCCTGTAGTTCCTGGGGCAGTGCGCTGGTGTTGGACAGCCAAGGGCTCAATGGTAGTTAACGTCAATCTTGGGCACTCACGCAGCAGCCAGAAGAGGGCACAGTGGTCATTCTCTCGCTTAGCAAAACGGATGAGAAGAGGGCCACACAATCTTCCTTTCGGCTATTGTTGAATTCTACGTGCTCATCCCGCACAAAAACTCAACATTGCCACAGAGTCCCCTTATGGACCCAATTGTTAAAGAAGTAATCATATACGCCTTTGAACTTTGGTAGGGTTTACCCTGGAGCCAGTAGTGGTAAGCCATGCCCGGCTGGATTCCTACCACTCTTACCGCGAAACAAAGCTGGGTTTGCAGCCTTCCGAGATTTGCCCACATCCCGTCAATATATATCACAGCATCAAGGAAGGGAAGCGGTACAGGCAGGAACGAATGACTATTAGATACCAGAATAAGACGATAAGGTGTCACCCCGGTAGTTGAGTAGCATTTACTCTGGCTACTTCATGGAGGAAGGTCCACTCATCATGGATCCATCTTTTGAATTGATATGGAGTAAAAGGTATGCCTACGGTTTCATCTCTTGCGTTCACATCTAACCCACAGCGAGGCTAATGGGAAATGTACCCGCCTCCGGGAAGCTCGATAGAAATTCGGGCGAGGTACATCCTATAATCACACGATTTTTGAGCTGAATTTCTTCAAATTAGCTTTCTCTGGTAAGATTGATTGTGCGCGGGATCTGCAGAATGCTATTACTCTCTCTCTCTATGGCCAAATATCTTATAATCAGTAATTTCCACACCACAGCCACCCCAAGTCTGCCTGGCTCTAAGTTCAATGGAGACTGCATGCATGTCTGATGATGTGTTGCTGAATCCCAGTTTGGTCAGGCTGTAAACATATTAATGTCTTGCCAAAGGCGGGCAGAGCAATGACACTAGAAGCTAAGAGCCTGGCCCAATCTCATGGCTAAGACAATGAAGTTATTTCAAGTGTCAAGTCCTGAGATGGGATTCTGGCTGCATTCTTGGTGGCCAGGCGGTGCCCTACTGGGACCATGGGATCAGTCTGGCCGGGCAATGTGTTAGCATGCATGGCCAAGGATTCGAGAGGCCAAAGTCACCGTACGGACGTTGAGAGGAGCGTGGCGTTGCAGGCTCATGTTGCCAGATGAATCACCGGGAATGAAATGTGGTTTCTATTTACCTTGGACGGGGTGAGGAATGGCGTTGTCGCAGCTGCGTACCCGCACGGCTTTGATTTACCGCAGCAGCTTCGGTCGTAGGTGTTCCTAAACCGGTATATATTTCAACTAAACAATGTCAATCGCAGTATATATACCATAACCGGCGCGCCGTCTTCCACGCGAACGGTTTGGATAGCTAACTTCACCTAATTTGATGTATGTACTGGGCTTTAGCATGTTTCTGCAGGGAAACGGCATTCCGCTGAACTTCTCTCAATAATCCACCGCAAAAATTTTAGAAATCAATTCCGTTCAGAAACAGGCGTTGAGGTAACTATGGAAGCTGGCGGGCATATAAAACATCTACAAAGTCTGAAGGGCAGAGGTGTCCTTGGAGTGTACCTACGTTCTGGAACAGGCGTTCTAGAATATGGGCGAAATTGCCAGCTGCCTTGATTTTTCTCCACTGGAAGCTACATAGTTCGTGGCTACCAGGTAGTGCGGCAAAATTTTGAACCATTGGTATTGCAAGGTTAACTTAGGCGGGTTTGGAAGGCGGGATCCACCCTTGACACAATGCCAGGTGTTAGTGTTGAATTAGCTTAAGGTCAGGCCGAATAAAGTGGCACGTTTCTTCACAAGCTGGAAAGAATCCAGCAGAAAAATCGCTGATACCGGCGACAGCACCCTCCAGCTGCAAATCGGCACCTTAGCTATGCTTGCGCAGTCATTACCACGATTAATTCATCGAGTGCTTCTTATGGTAGCTGAGAGCCATGCCTTAATCCCTTATCTAAAAGTACTCGCACAGGTTATGCTGCCAACGCTATCCGGCGCGACATCGTGAATCAGAGGCTATGATGGGCGTATCTGCCGCACGGTTATCGCTTACGGCACACTGGGCTGTAGCGTTGGCAGTAATATTCTCAGCAGAACACCAGCAAGCGGAATGATGCTTTCTCAGCGCATCGAAACGCAGTTGTATGGTGTCAATGATTTATTTACACTGGATTTGGTTACGGTCGCGTGATAATGTTAGGCCATTATTTGCGATTCTCACCGGTGCGTTGATGCCTCTTTCCCTCTCAACTTATCATTTCATCTTTATGCTGGAGTTTTATTTCCATCTCCCTCTACCATGTTTTCAATTCTCCATCTCTGTTAAATATATCATTCCCCAGATGAAAAAGAGGGCTTTGTTGTGAAAAGTTTGGATACCTATCCTTTCTTGTTAGCTCTTTGGGGCGTCGATACTTCTTCTAAATCGAGCGAGTATTTGTTATTTTGCGTCGATTTGAGGCTGGTTAAAGGTGGTAGCGCGTCTGTCGGTGTGATTGGGCTGCGAGAATTAAGGATGGAAACAGTTCGCTATACTATTAAACGCCCGGCTCGTCGCGGCGGCTATACTCTTGTCGGCACGGCGACCTTCGGGCTGCGGTTTATTGACGCACCCACGGGGTGGCCACACGGCATCTGTGCTGTCTCCAGGGTCACGTATCGCTCTGGGGTTTTACCGAGTATCGCGACGCCGTACGTGCGTCGCTGCCGGGATGCAGTAATATCTACTCAGGCGCTATCCACACTTTCCAGCTGGTTGATCCGGCTTTGTGCCTTCCACCCGGGGTGGTTCGAGGCATCTGTGTCTATTGGCCGAGGACGCGACCCTGCAACATCAACGCACTTTCGCTCACCCGCATTGGGATTCTTTCCCCATTTGGACCCTACACCCAAAGGAGTGCAACACCTCCTCGTTTCAACTAGACCTTTCGCTTGCCAGAGGAAGAGTATAATCACGAGGACGTGACTTTAGCACCACCAAAGATAGGAAAACAAGCTCTTTCAACCCCGTTGATTTATTATACCCTGCCTGGGTGACTCGGGCATTTTTGCTGGACGCATTTAAAATAATGCTGGCTTTGACGTCGATGCCATGAGGGTCATTAAACTCATAACCGGCCCAAACCGACAAATTTCACCATGGGAACTATCATGTATGTCATGGATTATGCGTGGGACTATCTCAGACGTCATTACCCACATCATTCGCTGCAGATTGGAGGAAGGAACAGCTTTCGTTCCGAATTTTAAAGCTTCTCCGGTACATCATGCGTGATGATGGCGTTTAAATCCCCACCATTTTGCATTTCGTACTGCTACTATATACCAGTTTGCCGTATGCAGATGATAAGGCATTACAGAGGCTGGAATTATCAGTTCCATTTGAGCGGGCGATGCCGTGGGAATTTCGGCATATCCCTACATATATGCTGGCTTCAAAACCCTAACAGGTTCAGGGTGGTGAGATGGAAGTGGAGTACTGCTCAATACCGTTACATTTATGGCCTTCCATGGGATATAGAAGCCAAGTTTAATTGTGTTTGTAATTTAGACCCGTCCTTGCTATAGATTATTATTTAAGTGTGGATTTATATCAGATTGATCTTGTGTTAGGAATAAGAAGGTGATATTCATGCGTGGAATTCAGTAACAAGAGCTTCAATAATGAATTCAGCGCAATGTTTGAATGGGGGTATCTATCTGGGAGAGGAAGGCCAGACGTATATTGCAGAACAATAAAGCGCTGGCCAGCAGTTCATGCGCAAAAACAATTTATGGCGTTACCGGTTGGTAGATCACCGTACATTGTTTTACCACCCATTCGGCCGGATCTTCTCTAGTTACTAGTTCATTTATCCAGGCGATGCTTTCGTTTCAGTGCCTTTATATGTATACAATATAGCCAGCAAAGACAGTGGAAATGGGAGAATCAAAAGAAATATAGTAACGATTTATTAGAAAAAAAAGAGTTATTTCAAGCAAGGATGAATACATTTGGAACGAGGAATCAAGCAATACACAGGAAGCTATCTGCCACTGTGACATTGCTGAAGTGATCCGTTAATGTCACCTATACTCTCCCATTAAGGGGCATTTCATAAGTAATAGAACCTTGTGTTGGAGGACCCGCACTCATGATAGATGTGGAGGTGAAGACGGGCAGTATGTGAAGGGGCTGGGGCGTGCCAGTTGTATCGGTTAGTGCTTGACACAGGAGAGAATATGAAACTGTGGAGGTATGTCAAGGGACGAGAACCTGGTGCAGACATTTATCTCACATGAGAAGAGACTACCCACAGCACCAGGAGGATTGAACGTTGCGTGCTGAGGTCTCCCTACTCTGACCCATCTTTGCTTCTCCCATCCTCGATGCCTGTGCCCATCCATTCTTCCTTAATGCTGGAGTCAGGAAATATAAATGAAAGGGCATAGAAAAAGTGCAGTTTAGTAATCTGGGGATAGCTGGGGGAAAAGCCGAGATGCAGATTAAAGACACGGATGTATGATTTGGGATCAAAGGATAGAGATTATGCTTAAGATGCTGATTGGAGCTGAGATAGAATAAGAATTTGAAACGATCTAGAATAGCCCGGGTTTTGCGGGATCCGGATGTTTAATAAAAGCATGGGGAGTCGATGAATTCCCCAGGGTGGTGCTCTGGCATTATTGGGGATGGATTGGTTAACTGTTGGTTGAAATAAATATCAAACAACGTCTATTTGCAGGGAGTTCCGATGGGATCAGCCAGCAGGACCCACAGAGATTATGATGATTCCAATGAAGCTCAATTATACAAACAAGCAAATATAAAGCAGCCTACCATGCTCGTCCCCGTCTGCCTATACTTCTCTCGAAAGCTGAGCGTGGGCTTTATTCCTACCCAGCGGTAAATGTCTAAAAATAGATCTATCTAATAAATCGGCTAGAACAAAGCAATAGTTAAAGAAAAGCTCCAACAGAAGTTCTAGTATTAGAACGAAAATTATCGGCGTCAGACAGAGAATAATATTAGCCAAGAAAAGACATCACAAACACTTTGGTACACGTAAAGATGGAGGAAGTTTAAGTGTCGATAAAACACTACATTAAGAATTCGTAGATTTCTACTGGGCCAAAATTAAATTAAGTATATATGGTAGAATGTATTACCGTAAATGGCGAACATAAATGCCAGTTTTGTTTTGTTAAAAGGATATATCCTTGACGATAAGATTCATGGATTAGAAACTAGAGATATCTGATAACATCACAATCTTGAATCCTATCCCATAATATCGCTGGTGTATTCTATCTGTATACTATCTGCGCCCTCTCTGTCGACATGCCCCCGCACGGTATACTGTTGCGATAAAATGGCGTCTACCATCCTCAGCCCACCTACGTCTAACACTCCACCTGAACGCTGATCATCAAAATATCCACTACCATCACACAACCTACTCGCCACTATATCGTCGCTGAAGATACCATTCCCCAGCAGAGGCCCGAAAATCTTCCCAGGCTTTGGCCCGCGGAGACCAACATACTGAAGTTGCGTGGGATCCCTCCTTCGGCGGCCCGTGTACCAAAGGCGACGGTGGGTGCGTGAGCATGGCGGGGGCGTTTTCGGTTTTCGGAAAACCGGGGATACGGTTGAGGGCGTGTCGGGGACATTTCTTCGGTTGGATGCATTCCCTGCAAACGCGCCGAGAGCCTCAAAGGAATTTTTAGGAAAAAGCAATCCAGGGTTAAGATCAGTTCTACCAGCCACTTCCACGGGATAGTCCGGTTTGCAGAAACGCTTCCTGCTTCAGTCGAGGCGTCGGATCTCACCGTGCTTGAGGTTGTTGGGATATGTTGCTTGAGGTGGGAACCCGGGCCATTTGTCCAGCGAGGCTGGGAGACCCATGAGTCCTCGGGTGCGACGCCCAGACCAGGAGGTGGCGCTCCTTGCTGGGTTTTGCATGGAAGACGTGGAGTGCATTGGGAAGCCAATTGAAATGATCACGCAGGTGAATGTCTCGCCAGTTTCACGTAGAAACACCAACTGATGGGGTTGCGGTGGTGCGGGGTTTCTGTGAGTTGGCAGGCGTGTATGAGACATGGAGGCGTGCGCTGGCGGGATGAAGCAGGTTGCCCGGTAGCTGGGAAAGGTGTCATGCATGTAATGCCACGGAATCATGGGTACGTGCTGCATAATACGGTTTGGTAGTGCCGTATTGATAGATTGATTACCGTCAGGTCGGCCAGTTCCGATGAAACCGCCTCTTCTGGCTTATAAAGCATGCCATTCCCAGAATTTGGTGGCCCCGGGGTGCTGCTGCGGAATGGCGTTTCCCTAAAAGATCCAAGGACGATGTGGCTCAGTTTACGTAACTCTAGCTCCAGGACAGTAAAAGACTTCAGAGGTATGAAGTTGTATTGACATTTTGCTTATAATTTCTACCTCGAATTCAGCCGCTGTGACTAGTCACAATATAGAAAGGAGAATCTAGGTTGCTGCAGTATGAACAGAGTGTCAGTAGTAAATGGGGCGGTTCGGTATATTATTTTGGGATATAATAGTCATGCAATGCACATGGGCCATTGCCGTTAGGAAAATCAAACATACAAAATATTCTGAAATTGTACCAGAGTAGATATCACGCTGGAAGCGCCGCATGCAAAAAGAAAAACAAGATCAGAAGCATGCGCCTCCATCATTCCGTGAGTGGAGCTACATGGATCGGTCACAGGTAGGCCTCCGCCTCTTGCCGTTTGCATCTTCAAGCCTCCCGGACCGCAGCTTCGCTGTACGTGGCTGAGCCGTATTTGTCAGAATCTTCTCGTTCGAAGATCATCACATCAACACGTTTCGGAATAAATCGGATGTTGAGCTACAGTTCCTGGGCCTCGCTTCGTGTTTTCAGCCATAACGCGTCCGGTGCGAATTTCAGCGAACAACTTTGCAAGCAGGCGCTATATTTACTCGTGAGTCTCAGGTCGAGGACTTCCTACGAACAGGATTAACAATATTTCCAGAGATTCCATTAGGGATGCACGCCCGTCCTTCCGGCAGTCCATTACTTGGGACCCACCACTTTTGCACCTGATCTTGAGAATCCTGACTCAGGATTCTGCTCTTAATATGATGTCGATGCGTTTGCGACATGCAGGCGTTTGTTTCTCGCGCACGGGTCATTTCATTGGTTTCTGTTGTTTTGTGAGAGATACATGTCGCTCGTGTGTTAAGACGCGGTAATTAAGTGAAGCTGATGGGTCTTTAATGTCCATATTTGGGTGGCATCTCGGTTGGACGTTAAGTATGACCGTCGGGGTCACGTGTAACCGTGAGGGCTGACCAGAACCATCATCCATCCGCTCTGAGCTTCATATGCTCACCATCCTTTCCTGGTAATTAAGTTTCATCCCCTGGCCCGGATTGGCATCTTATCGAGCGATGTTTTATCTAATTGCCCCTAATTAGAAGTGGCCTGTTGGGGTGCAGTAATGCAGATATCGGGCTCGTTGGCACAGATTTACATTCTCCAGGCAGGCCATTATTTTTGATTTCATGTGCTTTTCGCTATATTAAGTGGGTTTTGTCATTTCAGCCTGTGCTGTTGGCGCTCTCGTGGATAGGCTTCTATCTGTATACCCACTCCAATACCACGTTGCAATTAGCAATACACTTAGCCTGGTACGGTTTGCGACGTTTGCCTGTTTGTTCGCGTTATTGAGTTGTAGGAGGGTTCATCACCTCAATAGGCTCCGCGTTTCCGTTTCTGCTTTTTCCGCGTGCCTTCAAAGGGGCTTCATCGTATGCCAATTCCCATCGCGCTGTTGGGACCTAGAGTTATGAAAGACGTTCCTACAGGTTTGAGAGCCATCGGGACGCGGAAATTAAACAATGCCTTCATAGCGCAATTTACAGAGTTCCATATTAAAAGGGACATGCGGTAAGCTGGGTCCCGGCATTCGCAGATATGAACAAAGGGGCCGTCGACATCGTGGTAGAAACGGCTGGGCCACTAATTGACTGGGAGCGTCGGCTGCTTTCCCATTTCGGCGGCTGCGGGGATATGTTCTCGTCAGGGGATTTGAGTGCAGCGATGTAGAGCGATTAAAGATCCCGTCTACCATGCGACACGTGGATCCTCAGGGTTGAGTCAGCGGGATGGTCGCTGCCCATTCCTGGGATGCGGGGTTCGTTGGGATATTCGTATGTGGGGTTAGAACCGTCTTGTCGCCATTTGGATTGCTGCTGTACTGGATGGATGGGGGCTGCAGGACGTTGGAACAGCTGGTTGTCGAGAGTGTCTCGCTGCTTCCGGCGGTGTAGTAGTACGGAGTATCATCTATATGTTAAGATAATACCTTATTATCCAGATTAGTAGTACTAACGACCACATCTATCTCATGTGGATCTCAAGGTGCCCAGGCACTGCAGCATCAGAGATATCATCGCCCGAACGGCTTACGAATACCGGTCTTAAACCTCGCTAATGTAGGTAGCCCGAAGTGGTTGCGCCAAGCGGTAATTAATCGGTGAAGTAGTGCCCTTCTGCATGGAGCAGCCAGAGCGGATCCCTTCCATTGGGGTCTTTCAATGGATTGGTGAAGGTACCCGTATGTAACAAAAGGTAGAATGGGGAGAAGCTGAAGAAGACTGTGGAATGTAATTGGAACCATCTTAACAATTGTTCGATTATGCATGCTTCCACAGCAATAGAAGTCTAATCCATGATATACATGATCCCAATATAAACATGACGTCAAATTTTTGAGATACAATTACGTTGGAAAGTCTCTTGCAGAAAACAGCCAAATGCTTTGTCCTTGTTGGAGATTTTGAATGCCGAGAAGTAAAATATCGTAAATTAGGATTAATTGCATCTGACGTGTTTAGCGGATGTGACGTATTGTCGGATCGGTTTGATTTTCAACGTCATGAGGCTGCGAGAAATACCTCCCGTTCGACGACGGTGGCGGGTTCAGTAGTTCTACAGCTAGATAGATATTTTCGGATCTTGTGCCATGCTATTTTTATATGTACCTAGTTAGATGTGAATGGAAAGTGTTATAGCACTATTAAATGAGTATTGGCTCATGTAGAGTTCTCACTTGAATTAATTGATAAAGAAGGGAGAGAAGGATTCAACAGAACATCCACTGAATCGGATTATGCTCCGTCGGCACCGTATGGTGTGCGTGGTGTTTGGGCGGCCTTAAATCTTCTTATTTGGAGAAAGGATCCGAGTAAAATTAGTAGCCGAGAGAACATGTACTACCCGGTACGTAAGTAGCCATTCACGGGGCCTTGCCGTTTGTAGGCGTAACCATGGCTCTCACGGTTGCCGAACCACGGCTTTATAATCTGGGCCTCCGCGGGATGGTTAATTCCCACAAATGGGATTCTGGTGGAATCCAGCCCTCTTTCCAAGGATCAGCATATAAAGGCAGCCAGGATGCTGGTCCGCAAACCAACTCGCGCCACATTTCATCATGCATATTTTTATCCCTAATATCCATTTCTCTATGTAGCTCTAGTCCAGCTGTAAATCAGGCATGCCAGGCATGCAGCGTCCACGATCCAGGTCTGATCCCGGCGAGAGTCCGACGGTGTCTGCTACAAAACTTTCTCAACAGAGCAACAATATCTCATATACATCTTCACCTCATCCATATCCGAAGGACCATGCCAGGGTATAGGGCCCATGCTCCCGAATGGTTCCATCGATTGATAGTGGTCGTGACGACCTCTCTGGGTACCCTCTACCTTCCCTTCCAGATAAATACTCCGCATACAAACCTCTAATCAATCCAGGCCCCAGGACGTCCGGCTCATCAGTGATGATCCTACCGCGTCTACTACTCTGTCTCGGTCTTCCGGATCCCAGGAACTCGGCCATCGGCCTCTGCCATCCTGATACTATGGATGGGCATGGAATGACATAGCTTACGAGTATTCTGATCTGACAAATACTACGATCCTATAATACCATTGTGCAAATCTTCAACGATAGAGCCTTTGCCACAGCTCCTTCTGGACCCCGGCATACAGGTGGGGTGGACTCCACCGCTATAGAGAATGTCGTCTCTGACAATATCGTAGCGATCCTAATGGAAGTGTGCACTGAATTGAGGTGGGATTTCATATAAATAGGGAGGGTATTACTATTTTGTTCTTCTCAGGAGAGTTGCTTCTGGATATGATCGGGAGGTCGTTGGGCGCAGGGAGAGGAGTATAAGATTGGGAGTGTGTCGATCGAGAGTAGTCCGACAGGTAGGGTTGTGAGTTTCCCTTTTTGCTTTTCTTCCTTGCTGTGCTTGGAGTTGAGGTGAGAGAATCAGCTTATGGGTAGGTGGAGTCCCCACAATGATATCCGCGTGCACAGGCTGGAGGGGAACGATTGTACTGGAAAGTCAGGAGAATATTTGCCATGGACCTGGAGAACAAGTATCAATTGCATACTTGAAGTACCAGTAGCGAATAGAGCTAACTAGCCCAGGGGCGTGTTCACTATTTGAAAAAGGTCCTGTCCTGCTTATCACTAGGTCGATACGAAAATTGGCTATGGAATGTAGTCCAGAATTCCTTAGATGAACACTATCATTTCCTCGGCATTTGGCCTGTTGTTTAGCTCAGTATGAATACAAAATTTTAAGTTATATATATTCAGTTACACTATGAACATTTGGCTTCAATGCAGAGGCAGTATTTAGCGCTAGAGTAAACCAGCCATGACTTCCGTCAATGCTTCTTCCTCCGCCTGGAATGCAATCCCCTCGGTTCTGTCTCCATTAGCCAGCCCGTCATTTCGGTCCCGTTCGAGGGATCAAAGTATAAACCACCCCGCTGGATTCAAAGAAACTGGTAAAGGAGTCCTCGCTAATGTCGACTCCCGAGCATGATCGTCTGCGGTCATCGTAGGTGCGGGGAAAAGGACCGAGATGCCGCTGCCTGCGGGTGGGTGTGCGGAATGCGGGATTCTGCTGCTGCTGGTCGGTTGTGTCGAGACGGGGTTGGCCAGGGGCCGTTGGTAATGAAGCTGACTATAGGCAATTCAGGTACTTTCTGTTGAGAGTGTTTTCGTTCTCGTTGATGGCGGTACGTCGCGTCCGGTGGCAGATTCAGCCTGATCAACTTCAAGCTCCCGGATAATCTTCTGTAACCAAATCTAAGTCCGGAGCCTGGTCGACGGTTCCCGAACCATGTTAGAACGCCGCGTAGAATTCGGACGACACGCCTGACTAGGTATGAAGGTATGTAGCACAGCTAGGAATAGTGCCGCCGGGGCCGGAAATAAAGGAAATGATGAACGAAGCCTGGACTGGCGGAAATAGATCTCCGAGGCTCCGTGAGAAGTAATCCAGCGGTGCTCTTAGCCGTTTCGACGCTTAACCAAAAGCCAGACATTAGTCTCGATGCTCTCTCAGATAGCAAGTTCTGTCGGTACACGAAAGGGATACGAAGTTGATTTGCCTGGAGAGACAACAGAACCATAACATCTCCACGTTATCTGTTTGAGGGCAAAATCCACGCTCCGATGGATCGAAGTATGCTTTCCGCAAGGAATCCGACTGAATCCATTGCTGAACTTAGAGTGAGATAGGAAACAATAATCCGAAGTGGCGGAACCCGAGGCGACTACGCCATCACTCACGGAGTACAGGAATCTTCGTGCTCAATCATGAATATGCTTAATCGGCGGGTCCTGGTACGGCGTGATGGAATCGCCTTGGCTCAGGAAGATTGGTGTCATGTGTCTGAGTCCTGGATGGCGGGCAACATTTTCTGATGACCATTTTTCTGTCCCAGTACGTAAATGCACCGGAATAGCCGGCTGGCCCATCTCCAGTTCTCGGGAACACTCCTCCTGTTCCTGCTCAGCCATGTATCTCTTGACAATGTAGACCGAGCTGCATGGCGGATCACGGACAGCCTTCCGATAGAGACGCGGAGATAACCACCGTCATCACGCGAGGTACGAGTGGAATATCGGCTACTCATTAGCGGGCATTCCATCACAGACCACCCGACTAACAGACCAATGAAGTTAAAATAGGTAGTTCCTTCATATCAACCTCCGCGATCTTCAGCCGCCCCGCAAACCGATCCTCGGCACCTATCAGCTAAAACGCGCGTTCACCGCTGCGTCCATTACTACGATTCCACTAACAACGCCGTAGCCGGATGTGTCTGGCCGCTGACATCTCATACCGAAAGAACCAGTCCTGTTCCACGGCAACGGGGACGCAGGTCCCGGCCGACCATCCCGTTAGTGTTGCCAAAAGCCTTCTGCGCGTGCACTGTAGGATCAGCGCACGGGTGCATCAGCCAACGCTATTCTCATGCGCCGTCACCGGTCGCGGCTTGCCTCCGTCCCAGTCAGCCATCCCGGCGGATTAATGGGCATGTCGCCTCTGTATCCGACTGCGCGGCGGACTAGCCGCTGCAGTGGACGCGAAATTAATCCCATCGCTATCGTCGACACAGACTTTGACATTGGCAGGACCGAACTCTGCGCTCGTGAGATATTAACGACAGCGACTGAGGCCAGTTCCTGTAATCGCTGTAGACCAGCGTTATTCGGCGGCGGAGATATAGTTTGTTGAGTCGGAGGTGGGGTAACGCTGTTCGCAACGCTTCCACTAGATGAGGATTCAACCGGCGTATACGGCGGCCATCACGCGCATCATACCCGAGCGTTTTCAATCTGGTAGTCGACTGTTCGGAAGGTCGAGGTCGAGGAATCTATCGTGACGTCAATGATGATGAAACATGAAATTCTGCTTGCCGGGATTATTTAAATACCCATCATCCGCGCTGGACTCACCTCCTACAGATTCACAGCGTTACTCTCGTCGCATGCGCATTCGGCGTGTACGCACATTCTATATCGTCGCGCATCGTGCACCAGATTGGATCTCGCTGCGACACCAGTTTCCTTCGCTTGCACTCGTTACTAAAAATTTCATTAGTTTGCACAGTTGCGAGCCATGGATATGCAGGATCAGGCTACAGCTACCTGGAAGGCGTGCAACCTAAGGTGTATTTAGCTCGTTTTTTGCTCCGAAGCCAGTTCCGACGCGTGTCCACCTCGTTTTTGGCGTGCCGATATTAATGTCCATGGTAAGGTCTGACTGGGGCCATACAAAATGGATTATATTTGCTCCGCCAATGCGAGGCAAGCTCCGCGGATGGCAATTTCCGGGGTCTAATCAGTGCAGGTTGAATGCAGCGTGGCGGAGGGTTTCCGGTTCCGAAGTCGAGGTCGGATGTTTGGGGAAACGCCCAACACTTTCTTGTACGGTATCTTATCGTGGTCACTATCGTTATGCGTGGCTGGGCTGTTCGGTGATAGATATCTATCATTCTCGATATATACAATATCGCTTGCAAATCTCAATGTACAGTCGTAAAATCGCAAATTATAGAGATTACAAAATCGCCAAGGTAGTCCTCTACATATGTGCATTGCGACAGCATTCCCCGCCAACCACCTTGGATGCGGCGTTCTTGTCAAACGGCACATCCAGCGCTGGGTTCACCGTGAAATCCGAAGGTCGGATCATGAGCTGGAAGATCTCAACAGGCTAATCTAATGTTACAATCATAGTAGATTCATGCATGTATGGAGAACTTACATCTGGAGCCAATCTTCCACGCGCAGGTTGGCGTTCGAGCGGCTTCCGCCACCACGTCCATTGTCGTCCACTGAATCTCCGCGTGAACCGCGTCGATGCTCACGCCAATCCTCTGCTGACTTTTGCGAGTGTGTACCCGTCCTCCGTACAGCTCCCAGTCGCGGTACTTGGTCCGCGGAACATGGTGCTGCGAACTGGGCGCGCTTGGCTGGATCGAGTTGGGGTCTGCTGCTTGATAGCTGCGTTGCTAAGAGGATAGTTTGTGGGCTGCGAGCGCCCTTCAAATCAGGATTGATGCGATGCGGAGTTGACCATTTTGATTATCCTATTCCATCCAGGCGGCATCCTAGCGCGTCCTGCACGCTAAGATAATGGTGGCCGTTGTCACCTGTGAAGTTGCCGTTAAGGATTGGTGACTTCGTTCACTTAGAGCTGAGGTGCGATTCCTCGACGACAGGGGTATCGCTACCATCAACGGCGGTCGCGGTACGCGACGAAGATGTGTTGATGATTCTGGGCAGCTTACCTCCGCGGCCACGTTGCCGTATTCCGTATGATGTTGACGCGTTCAGGATGCCAGTTGCGCGCGACTCCACGGTGATGCCACCTGCAAGGTCGGGCTTTGTAGGCAAACACGGCGGCACTCGTAGTTGGCCAGCGGTGATAAAATTGCACGATTAGTTCCGGTTGCGGGTCTGCAGCGCGACCGGTGCGCCAGTGGAGTGTTTCCGGCCGGTTCCCGTTGTCCTCCTCGTGCAAGCAGATGGCATTCGGTAGCTTCTTTGCCGTGCCATCGGCAGCTTTAGTCACGAAGGCGTCGAAATTACTTGATGACACCCGTCGCGCACCCATTAGACAGATTATTCTGGCGTGTTTCCACCACTTGCGTCTGGGGATCAAAGGCCTGCTTACGCGTGGAATGGAAGGGCGGGAGTCGGCATACTTATGGCACAGTCTGCATGGTTAGCATGGATTCATCAATACTGATAAGAAGGCGTTTCAGCACCATCACACTGATAGCCAGGCGGTATAGGCACTGCGTCCCATCACGGCACCAAACATCATGAATGAGTGAAAACCATGCGAGGGGATTGAAGCCAACGCGGAATCTCCGCGCTTCTGCCACTCGACCAGCGATTCGTAACCCGGAATGTGGCGGCCCTTCAGGTTACCGTTCAGCGGCTTCAGATCCTTCCGGTAACGCCGGGGCAGCAGTTCCGGTACATAATCAGATGCTTGCGTGTCCACGATAATATCCTGTGAATGTCTGAGTCACGTATAGACCTTGCTTCCTCCCTTGCCTGCACCTACATGGCAGGACGATCAGCGGATGATTTTCTAGGTGTGCGCATCCCATTAGGGATAACAGGCAAGAGGGTAGGAGTAGAAATTAGCATCGTCACATTCTTCTTGCCCGCGTCTCGAGCAAAACCTGGCTCCCTGGAAGTATCATCGGTTCTCATCACAGGTAATTCCAAATGCCGTATGGCCAAGGCTCGATGACGCGAAGCCTTCAGGAAGGTCGAACTCCGCTAGAGCTTACATTTGAACAGAGGGAAACCAAAGCATCAGCTCCACGGGATGTCAAGTTGCTCTATGACATGTTAGTTAGTCTTTCTCAGGGGTATTTCGCTGACGTTGACTCAGACATGCAGAAGTGTGAGGGCTGCGTAGGTTGGGGTTTCGCCACAAACCTTTGTGGCGTACATTTTCTGGGTTTCCCTTTTACGTCAATTACGGCCTCTTTCGTATGATGGGATCAGCATGGACCCAATATTTGAGGCTGGCCTACAGGGCCATGTACGCGCGCAGGACGAGGAGTTAGTCGACTTGAACATTTTGTGCTCAGCGCGAAGTACTCAGTTGGACCCAGGGAGTTCCAACAAGTAGATCTCGTGAGGAGATAATGGTGTTAGGATGACATGGGGCGCGGCATCCCTTGGGCGATGTGTGGTCTCCTCCTCGTGAAGGATTACAGAAGCGTGGATGAGGCCCCATTATCACCGATGAGGTATGTTTATGGTGCAGAGCTATTCTGGCAGATCGAGACATCCTCTACTTACGCCCATAGCATATCCAGGGGGCGTATTTGCCGAATTAGGAAGTCCTTTACCGAGGGATTCGGCGTCGGAATCTGTGGTTTCGCTGGGCGAATGAAAGGCGACAGGAATTCCCATAAAATACAATTGCCAAAATCATAATGAGCTTTCCCCAACTTGCGGTTTGCTCAGTTTGGCTTACGACTGTATCCACGTATTAATCCATTTGTGTTATTGGTATCATATGTAAAGCGTCATCATCGTTCCCTTCCGCCATCCCCGTTCCAGAAATATTCGCGCGTTGGCAGCGGTTTTACCCAGTGGCTCGCGGGGTGAGTAGCTCTCACCAGTTTCTTGAGTTTCTCAAAGGTCCCAACCAACGGGCAGCGCACGTCACCGCGTGCGCGGAAGCGCCGTTCGAAGTCGCATGGTTGGTACAAGAGACACGGTGCCCTGTGGTCGTAGGTGTGAGCGACAGGCGGTGTGCCATAGCATACTACGGTTCTCGACCGGGCCGCTGACTCCGGGTTCTGGGTCGCCCACAATCTCCGGTACTCAGTCATTTTACGCTCCATGATTACCGTTTCAAGTATTCAGGCGATCGGCGTACGGGTTTTGGTCCTAGTCAGTCGTTGCGCTGGTTCGTCAGGTAGCGCCGCTGCACCTCTCTTCGTCCGCGCAGCCATTTCACCAACGCCTCCGCATATCTGCCAGCAACGACTTATGCATGCTGATAACGGGCTGACTTCCAATGCTCACATTATCCAGGCCGGATCCGTGGGAGATGAGGGATTCGTATAGGCCGTAGCCCTGACAGCTACCTCTCTGCATGCAGTGCCCACCCCAGTACCAGTCCCGCGGGATCGGCCTTCAGCAGCTCTTCATACCGCTTGCTCGCGGCGACTCGATATATTCGCCATGCGACCCGATTTTCGAGCAACCAACGGCTCAATTGCAGCTGCCAGAAATTGCAATCCTGCCACCTGAGGCAAAAAGAGTTCTCTGCCGCGGTCTTCTGCTCCCCAGTGAGCAAGGGGATCCAGAAACTCTAAAGGACGCTGAAAGCGGATCAAAGTGGTCCAGAAGACGGAACAAATTATCCCATACAAAGTAAAATTATCGAATTTCAAGGGAAGACAAAGACCATTCAGCAGTCCGGTTCCATTTCATGCAAATTCCAGCGGGAGGGCAAGCGATCGGAGTCGCCAACCTTGGGCCGCATCCGTTGCGAGCACACCCTCTGCATCAAATCGTGGCAGAGAGTCCTCAGGAGGCATCTCATGGTATGATCCCGGCAGTGCTTGGGAATATCATATACATGGGCTGGAGACCATGGAAACGATATTAATAAGGTTCGAGATGCACCAGTGACTATGAAGTCTGGGTTGAAATCAGGCGATCCATCAAACCGGATCCGATCTTTCCAAAACTACTTGAATGCGTGAGAAGGTGAGTGGGAGTGTAATGCCAGATATTATCTGTTCTTAGCCCGGCGTTGGAACTGCGGCGGTGTCCGGGCGCCTGGAAGCAGGTGGAGGTCTCCCAGTCCCCAATGATAGGTCTCCATTCTCTATTTACATTTTGAGGGTGTTATATGATAAAATGAGGGTGAATCTAGCAGGCAGTCCTTGGCCGAATGCAGTACTGATATCAAAAATGCGCCACCGCAACCAGAACGCCCGTAGTTTTGCTATCATTATACACTCTGTATCGACCAAGACTGGCCGCATTTGGTGGGAAGCTTACTAAACTAACAGGCACTGGCAAAATATTGACAACCTAGAAAATGAAATCAAAATCCCTTCGGGGTGCAGGGTATACCACTTCTGAAATTTAGCCGGCTCGAAAAGTGTGTCACACACATCAACAGCTGAAGAAATGTTGAGAGCAGGAGAGATCCATGGGATGGCCTACAGGCAGCAGAATCGGATAAAATAAATCAATACAGAAATAGCTCATATACATGCCGTGAACGGGTTGACGGCCGGGAAGGAATGAAACCGCCGTCCGGGTGGAATTAGGGTGATGGCGCCAGCAGAGCCGGGGCGGGGTGGGGAGGCAATTCATGGGACTGCGTTTCATTTTAAGATTTGGCAGCCTCTAACGATAGTTAACCGCGACGAACTGGCGCATTTATTCAAGTTACCCTAAAACAGTCTAGTTTGGATATAATATTTCTCTATGCCATGGTGGCTCAATTATACTCTGTACAAATTCGGCATGCTGGCTGGTAGGCTCTATTATCTTACTATTGGTTACCTCCTTCCTATCCAATAATCGCTGTATTTCTTCAGACACCTGCCGCACATACGGTGCTTGTTCGATCCATCCAATCGCATCATACTCGAAACTAGGATGATAAGTTGCAGATAGCCGTGGAGTAATGCTACGTGATCCTCTGTAGGGCGCTCAGGCGATAGCTAGATCCTTAGCCTAAGATGCTTAGTCGGGTGCGAAGTGTTTATATTCGCACCCGCCGGATTTCGAACTCTTGAAGGCCAGCGATTGGATTCTGCACAATATACGTGGCTCTATCTTCTCTGCCGAACTCCTTTTCGCACCATGGCGCCCCATTCAACCGTTACCGACCCCCACGCATAACGGTTCTAATCAGCTCACCCCAGCAGTAGCCGCTGAAAGGGCGCGCACCTCGACGCGTGCAGCGTGCTGGCTCCCAAGTCGCGAGAGCACCGGAATTCTGTCAGCCCCGTCTCAGAGAATGCGCATCTATCCAAACAACCTGATGCTTCGATGAATCCGGGCCCAGCTGGAAACAGTTAAAGGAAACAGCTGTTACAAAGACGATAGCCCTCGAAAGGGAGCTACTGGGTCCCAGCAACAACAAACGTTCTTCATCGGATAATACGTTGCCGAACTCAGGACCAGATACGCCAGCGCGGGAACTCAAAGAGTTGCGGAAATAAAAGGGGAGGGCATTGCAGAGCTTATCGATTATGAAACGCGTAGAAACCAGAGTGCAACAATTTCGCGGCTCAGAATCAATATCGCTTACCCGACCATGGAATACCACAAGAAACCATGCCTTCCGGCCTATGCCAGGCCCACGCGCATTGGAAACCGCCAGCACCCCAGCACATGTCTCGGAATACATGGGAAAGAACGTGCGGGAACCATCAGACATTTATCGCGCATGGAAACCCATTTCAGCGAACGAAATCGCTACTACTACTAATAATGATACGACGAAATTGGTGGAAGGTACAGCACATCTATCCGCCTATGGAGGCAAGCACGAGGAGGAGTCGCCGATAAACCTGCGGAGACTTTCATAAAATTTCTGCACTGCGCCAAAATTCGAAGCGACACTGTTAAGCACCGCTGAAAGAGATGCGACCAACGCTGCCGTAGGCATGAACCAACGGATCACAAGGCGATGCGGGGGTTAAAACGCCCATTATTGGGAAGTTCGAAAACCGAGCGCGCACGAGAAATCAACGAGAAAGGATCACCTCCGGACAAGGAGTCAAACCAGAGACCGCCGACATGAAGCGCTTAAATACCCAGCAGACGAAGAAGAACATATGAGAGGCCTATATCGCCCACCTCAAAACAATTAGAGATTCCATACCAGGTCGACACGCAAAGGAAATATCGCAAGCGAGAAAGGCCAGGAGAAGCCAACACAGCAAGCTGTGCAGGCGCAGGACGACGACCCCAGGCAACACTGGAAAGACTTAGCAACCTTCCAGTCCAGCAGGGCTGGAACAAGCATGGAGGAGGCAACAATCGCGCCTTTAAACTCTGGCAGAATTCCCAAGGTCATAAAGCGACAGCAGTCACTTAACTTGTGTCATGGAGATACTATGTCTGGGAGAAAGGACATGTGCACCTCCAATGTCCCAAACGTGCGAAGGACGACAACCAGAGCAAAACTAGGTGGCCAGTGATGCGAGCGCTGCAGCTCCGGGCACAGAGGGAAGAAAATCCAAAGATATTGCCATTATGAGGACTATGGTTGAGCTGCTGGCGCAGGCGCACTTCCTACAGCGGCGTTAATCGACTCAGGGGGTGTCAGAAGCCCTTTCTTTATCAACCGAAGGTTCACAGATGCGCACCTCGAGCCTGCAATATAGGCCCGCGGAGGATAGTGGCCTAGATGGTCACCGCATCCGTTGCTACGGACGCTACAGGCTGAAGGCAGCCACCCAAGATTGCCACGGTGTTTCGTAGAACGATTGAAAAGAACATTCGATGTGGTTGATATGGACCATTATGATGCGATTCTAGGGAGATACCCTTGGACGAGAGAGCGGGCAAATGTTGACTAGGAACTAGAACATGGGAATACCGGAAAATACCTCCGGAGAAAGAAGTCAGGGGATAATCAACGAAGCAGAGGTGAATCGGCACAAGAGAGGGAAAGATACGCAGCGTACGTATCCACGGCTTCCCGAAAATAGCCAAGGTCAGAAATCCGTGTGGGTTCGCAGGCAATCGGCGAAGGGTGCGAATACCGCAATCTACAGGGGTTCGAGATGTTCTTTCGGAGGAAAGTAAAGGGATTCTACCTTGCGTACGAACCACGACCCCGCTGGTGAAGTGTATACCGCAACCGGGAAAGGAACCCCTTACCGACCAATTTGCCTTGTCGAGAAAGTGAGGCTCGCAGTTCTGCTGGATATATTGGAAACGGCGCTAGAAAGGGATGGTTGCGTCCCTCGAAGCCCAGCTGGCGCACCTATTATCTTTATTACCGAGTCCGACGGAACGCGACTCTGTGTGGATTACCACCGCGTTTGAACGAGATTACTGTCAAAATCGTTACCCGCCTTTACCACTTGTTAAGCGAGACTATGGATCAGCGTAAAGATATATACCAAACTTGACCTATGAGACATATACCGCATCCAGATTAAAGAGGATGAATGGAAAACTGCGTTTTCCTTTGCTGAGATATGGTCACTTCGAATACTGCTGTCGTATTACCGTTCGAGACTTTAGCCAACGCCCCAGCTGCACGTTCCAGTCCTGCTGTTGTCGCTGGCGCGTTAAAGCAGCCTACTAGACCATTGCTGTACGGCTGTTTTATCTCTGGTGACATTCTTATATACTCGCAGGTGAGGAGAACATGTCGCCCGAGCATGTTACCGCAGTTACGAGACTGCGACAATTCGAACTATACTCACTGCCTGAGCAAATGCTCATTTCATGAAAAGTGTAATGGAATCACCACCGGTTTATCAATGCCAACACCGGGCATTCAGATGGAGAAAGCCGTGTGGCTACCATCCAGGCTTGGCCGGGGCCAGCAGCGTAGGAGATCATGATATTCCTGCGGTTGCATTTTACAGGCGTTTTGTGGGGTTATTCCCGCATTGGAAACACCATGACCTTGCTCACCGAGGAGCAAAAGGGGAAACAAAACAATAGTTCTTGAACCAACGCGAGGCTGCCTGAGGACGCAAAGGTTGCGTTTAATAGAAGCTAAAAGTGCGTTTTCCGGAAGGCGCACCATTGCTATCGGTATTATATGACTGGGAATGGGACCAGGGGTAGAGACAGATGCGTCCTACTGGTTTTCGCTAAATTTTGATAATCTCCCAATTACAGGAGGATGATAACGCGAATTTGAAAATCCTGTGGCATTTTCTCACGAAAGATGACCGATTCTGAACACCAGGTATGATACGCATGACCAAGAGTTGTTAGCGATCAGTGGAAGCATTCAAAAGTTTGGCGGCAGCCACCTCAGAAGGGACGGCAGGAGCCAATGAGTGAGGAATCTGACCATGCCAAAACCCTAAGCGGTTTCGTAGAAGCCCACGTGAAGGCGGCAATGGACGCGTCAGAGCGAGATGGGTCAGTTATGGCGCGTTCGATTTTTCATATTGAGCACCGACCTAGCAGGAGTAAAAAAAAAGACCCTGCAGATGCGCACGCCAAGTAGAAGGCCAGATTATCTGCCGGAAGCGCAGATGAAGTAAGTGATGCGTCACTGCGCTTTATTACGATCAAAGTTAAGAAAGAGTGATTAGCCATGGGTTAAGGAAAGAGTCGATGGGATGGCACTTTAATGATTTAAAAACCGCATGGGCGGCGGGAATAGCTAATGGCGGCATGGACACGAAGGCGGGTCAAACAATTAAATAAAATGAGCTCTGATGCGCATATCTCAATAGAGGTATGCATGCCCACACGTGGACAAGAACGCACCGTGGATGAGACTGTGCTGCCAGCGTGCAGAATTCCCTAGACACCTGGGTACCACAGTCTATGTCACCAAGGTTGTGGATCTGAATCAGCACCTCCAACATTGAGAGTCATGAAATTGGACTATTTGTGCAAGTACCAGAGAATCGCGAATTACGTGTAAGCAAAGTTGATCGCAAGCTGGGGACCATAGCAGTCGGCTGCCCGGGGAATTGGCGAAAATGGCTACTCAGGTACCAAGGGTCGCGTTTGTACCCAGAATTCCTGCGTGGCACGCTGAAATTATGAAAGCAAATCATGATGATCCTCAGGAGGACATTTTAAGAGAAAACGCACCTTGGAAGCCGTCGAACGCAAATACTGGTGTGCGTGGCGATGTGCTGGATTATGTGAAAATACCGATATTTGTCAAAGGGAGATTCTAGGTGCATAGACACGCTGGCAAGCTGGGCCTTTGCCCGGTGCCAGAGCAGCCTGGGAAGTGCTGGCTCTTGATTTTATTACGGACTACCACGCCCAGTTCCACCCACGAGTATATCTGCCAGCCCAGGGGGCACAGAGTTATGTTCGCGATATTGGTAGTTTGTGGATGCCTAGCAAAGTTCGCGCACTTTGCTTATTCCTTGCAATAAGGATATCTCGGCGCCAGAACTCGCACATTTGTGGTTTTATCAAAGGTGGTACCCATGTTTGGTAATCCAGAAGCGTGGGTGTCGGACAGGGGCTCGCTGTTTACCGGTGGCTGCTGGTCGACGCTGTGCTGCTGTTAGGATCAGAAGCGGAAACTGTCTACTGCGTTTCATCCGCAGACAGATGGTCAGACGGGCAAACCAAACGGTAGAGTATTGCCACCACCGAGGCCTATGCGAGGTTTCTTGCAAGATGATTGGGTTGACTGGCTGCCAGTAGCACAAGTTACATATAATGCTGCGATTCATTTCATCCCGCAAAGACAAGAAGCCCATGAAGCATTGATGGGCTTCGTCCCTAACCTGAGAATCAATGTCGATCCCTGATCCCGGCTGGCAATACGCCAGCGTTGGAGCGCGCAACACAGCTCAGGAAAAGCGATCCTTGGTCAAGGATGCGCTGGCGCAAAAACCATAGCAAAGAGAACAATATAATAAGCGTCGGATCGACAGGTAATTCAAGATTGATCAAGTCATGCTACAGGCGAAGAATGTCTCTACGAGTGGAAACCCTGGCGGAAATTAGAACCACCTAGGCCCATTTTCCATTGGCCGATTGCATGGAAACCAATCGTACAAGCTTCAGCTACCTGCCAAAATATCGCCGTCTGTCCGTTTTCCATGTCTTTATTTGGAGCCATACCATGAACGACCAGGTCAATGGAGCCAGCCCCGCCAATACCAATTAATAGCGAAAGAGGTAGAGGAAGTTGATCAAATTCTATGAGGAAAAACGACAAGGTAGTGGCATGGCTGGTGGGCAGGAAGGGCTACATCACCTGATGACTGTGATACCCGCGGAACCAAGATCGCACGTCGAAGACGCAGAAGCCCTGGACATCCTACGAAGCACTATTACAGCACCCACAACACCCATTGACGGCGCACGCGCTACATGGCTAAAAAGAAAATAGCATTCTATTTAGCAGACAAAGATGGCGCAACGGCCCAATAACGCAAACCTCCACCCCAAAGGGAACAACTCAACCCATATGAAGGGGAAAGGACCGCATCAACAAAACGCGGCCCGGGCGACTGAAATTCGCAGGAACGGGAGCCATGGGCGAAGATGCGGTATAAGTGCGTTCGGGGACCGGGCGCGGTCTTGCTGCTGTCACGCGTGAGGTATTCCGGGGTTTTCAGGACGAGCCGCGTCTGTACTCCCTTGCAGCTTTAGCCGCCTCTCTATGCGCAGCAGAGGCGGCAGACACCTGGGGAAGTCCAGCAAACCGATGCGATGTTCAGTAACCATAGAAACAGCCAAGGACCAGCGGCAACCTCCGGAGCGGCCACCAGTTTCAGCTGGCCAGTCAATAAACACAGTTTTGTAAACGACCTGGCAAAGAAAACACCCGCGCTGACGCGGCGTCACCGCTCCAAGTGAACAAGGCAACGGTAGCGCAGGGACTACCTGCCCCCTGGGCCAAAGGCAAACCATTCAGCCTTCCAACATGGACCGGCGCAGGGGTGATGATCTGCACCTGGACGGCCGAAGCCGCCGATGGAGACAAAGGGGCGATGAAACTTTTCACACAAATTAGCAATATTACCTTACGCCGCACCGGACTTACCAGACACGTCCGGAGGGCGGTCGACTCCGTCCAGCTCCGCCGAAGCAGGAAGGTGGAAATCCCCATTCCGGCAGAAACCGAGGAGCCAGGGCGCAGGTGAAACGGCATCCGTCTTCAGAAGGGATGAACGGAACTCCTGGAAGGCGACGGCGTCACGTAGGACGGGTCTCGATGAGCAGCAAAGAAACTTTGCGGGCAGACCATCTGCGAAACACATATTAATGAAAACAAAACATGCAGAAAGCTGGAGGAACCGTTACTATATTAGCTGGGGGCAGAGAAGAGTGCACTTGTCGCAAGAAGTTTGGTGGTTTAAGGAAAGAGAAAAGGAAGAAACAAATCAACTCCAAGACTAAGCTCCGGGCGAAAGGCGCGATTGAATGAAGCGGGCTGGCTGCCGTAGACGACTACCTGCGAAAACACACCTACACTCCTGCAGCTCAAGACATCATTACCAGAAGCATCGATCAACCACTGGAAAAACATTATGGGAAGGACTCAAAGAGTTGGAATCTGATGCATTACCATCATAACGCATATATATTCATGCTACAGTCTTTTTAAGGCTTCCGAGGGGCGAAGCCTGCGGAAGATAGTGTTAGGGCCTCGAAGCGATAAGCTAGATCCTTAGCTAAGATTCGCTTGAGTCAGGTGCGAAGTATTTCCATATTCGCACCCGCGGGCACAGAACTCTTAGCAAGGCCAGCAGTGGATTCTACAATATACGTGGCTCTATCTTTTCTCCTATGGGCACTCCCTTTCGCACCGGCCCCATTCAGCTCGTTGCCGGCCCCACGCATAACATCCTCCAGACTTCCAATTTCGATCCTCTATATGCGCCCAGAGACTATGAATACCAATAGGTTCGCTTCATTATTTTATTACTACACTCCGCGCGGCTTATTTACATTCAATTATTGCCTAAGCTGTTGCCGGTATCTGCTGTTCCTGAGGCTGTGTACTTTGCTGGAGCCAGTAAATTATTGATTGGTCATGGCTGACATTGGCATTTTACCTCCGTTCTACCTGGACGTATTGGGTTACCAGAAGGATTTTGTTTTATTTTTTTGCGTAACTACGTCCTTTTAACGTGACCAACCACCGAGCTGCGCAGACCATGACTACACTATCTGCTGCATTATAAGTGCTTTACTTTTACTTATTGTATGAATTGTCAGGGAGGCTGAACCCGTAGAACTCATAAGATAGGCTATGTACAAAGGGAATCAAGGAAGAAAGTGGAAAGAGTCGCGTGATATATGGGTGGGTCTCCGAGGGGCCATGGGGCCAAAAGGGCCAAAAGAGACGTAGGAACAGGACAATAGGGACAAAGGGACAGCAGGAGTAATTAGCCCAGGGAGAGGAGGTCAAAGGAGAAACCAGCCCTTTACGTGTAATATTTTAACCTTAGAGTGCATAATAAAATAGAAATATTCCCTTGATATATGAATATTTTAGAGATGCTAATAAATTTAATTGAATTTTTGTGAAGGATGGGCCGAGAGTCGGCCCAGGCTCAATCTGAATCCTTATCGGTGGCCTTAGAGCTGTGGTGGTATCTTGGCGTTGATGTATTGTGATCTCTGTGGACTGTTGTATCGTTACCTTATCTGTGGGCGTTCCTATATTATCTTGATCTATTCGAAGAAAGAGATCAAAGATGAATTTTTAATATATCTTGGCATAGATATAGTATTATTATTTCCTTCTACTATCTTACCTATAGCTGACCTGTTGGTTGATCTACCCAGCCAAAATAGATTTATCACAATTTTAAAAGATTTACTATATAGACATATAATACAAGATTATTTTTAAATGCCACTGTATTTAAATGTATTTTTTGACATTATGTGTGGGCTGGGAGCCATTTGACCTCCTCGGGCCAATATCCCTATTATCCTTATTGGCCCTGCTGTCCTACTGTCCTTTTTGGTGACCTTTTGGGCCATCGGCCCTGGATCCATATCGTGATTTTCAACGTTGTTTTGTTTACCAGCCATGCTGCCTTTCTTCCCTTCTTCAACGATTCTTTTGTACATAACTACTATCCCATAGGTTCTACAGGTTCAACCCTGACAGAAATATAATGAACTGGAAATCCTACCACAAAAGGATCAGGCTTAGTATTATATATATATATACCATTGTATTATTATATGATAGATTTAAGGCCCTATTGACATGTTAAGATGATAAGGCTTATAAAGAGTATATTATATGTATACTGTTCATGGATGATATGAAGGTAATCTCTTAAGCATAGCCTTTAATGGATGACATAATAATACCTGCCTATGGTCTAAAATGCCTCACTTTATACAAGAAAAGTACCACGAAACCTGAGTTATAAAGACCCTGAATCGCGTGCTCTCCCATAGCAGAAGCCCGCAGATCTTGCACGCCAACTAGCAATCTATACAGAGTGTTTGGTAGGTGCCGCGCAGGTAAGAAAGTGCCCATGTTATTTCCGGCACGAATATTAGTACTGGAGAGAGACAGGTTCTAGGACGTCGACTGGTTCGGTTCGAAAATTTACAGCAACCAATGCCACCCAACAGGGTCAGCCAGTTGTGTGTGAAACTAACCTGGTAGGGATTTGGTCTGTGATTATCACAATCAGACTTGGCTGAGATTTTTGAACAATACGCCCGAGGAGGTTGAGATCGACTACGCTTAGAGGGTGGCATCAGGGGCAGGCCCTTCAGGCTTCAGAGCAGTTCCGCCAACTCATTGGGAAAATGGAACTATACCAACTTAGCTAAACTCCTGCTGTTTTCTGTACTGGCGGTTGGGGTGTATTACGCTGTTGGCAAGCCCTATATTACATTTGACAAGGTATCAGCCAGCGTTTGGGATGAGGCGGAGAGTGGCATGGGGAGTGTTTTCTGATCAGACTCTCAGTACCACTGTGCCTGGCCATGTGGAAACTGGTGAGGAGCCAGTTGAGGGACTTGACTGACCGATCGGTGAAGTTGACTCCCAGCTGGGCCGTAACTTGTGCGAATCAGGTTCCCAATTATGCCGGTGTTAGTGGGCTCCCTGTTCCGCACCGTTTAAGAACGATAACATTATCACCGCAGCTAAGCGCAGTCAATGTCAATTATTTATGTACAACTCGCTCCGATACCACCACGTGGTGATAATACAAATGTCGGCTGTTCCTAACCAGTCATTGACTGTAACCCCCACTGGTAATGCGTAGATGAAAGGTTTCTTGGCCTGCGAAGGACATCGCTCTGACATTATATATTAACAGGCAGCAGCACCCACAACTAACTGCATAACTGTTATTTAGTCAAAGCGGAGCTCGATAAGGGGATGAAGCGCGACTGAATTACGCACGGCCGGACGATCGATATCCGTTTTTAACGCCAGCCAAGACATAGTCACGATTAGGGCGCTGCACCCAGGTCCAAAATGATCCAAGTAAACCGTAGCATAGACCCTTGCTTTCTCCCTCCTTTTTCTTCTGAAAAATGTAGAAAAGAGGTAATAACACATCTCCCATACGGAATCAGTCAACAAACGCCGATTATCCTGACGTCCAGGAACGCGCGCGGCGGTGACTTGTCAGGCGATTACCGCATCGAGCACAACAATACCGAGGTTAACGCCTGAGGGTCGATCCACGAGGAGGCGGGAATTCGACAAAATCAACTTCGTTCGTAGCATCAGGTCTGGACCTTTGTGGAAGCAGCAGGGAATGGGACAAAATGTGAAAAGGAAACCGTGCAAAGTGCGTGGTAGATGGGGCTAAGGCCGATGGCCACTGAGCAAATAAAATGACTCATTACAGACAGCCATGAGTGACATCCGCCTCTCAAGGCCACACATCGACCTACAAGGTCATCAGCCAGTCTACCCTAAGAAGGAATTTCCCAGTCTCCAGCTGCTTTTTGAGATTGCCAGCTACAGCAGCTGAGTGAAACTCACTAGGAGTGGAAAAGAGACGTTTGGGAAGAGAAGTGTGTTGAACTGGTCAGGAGAGGGGCGGGGTCTTGCAGAAATCTCAAAGCGAGAGAGTGGGACTGAGGAGTGGCGCTGGGTGGGAGTGATTGTGGCTCCGGGCTGCTCGTGAGCACTCACTGCTACACTCAGTGAGAGCGGGCTGCAACGCTCAAGGCCTGCTCAGAGCTCCTCAAGTGATGCCAGGCACTGATCAGGCGATGTTACCACCAGCAGAAGATTCCTGTAAGTCTCTAAAGTAATAGCATGTAATATTATATTAGGCTTAGTTTATAGCCAGAGTGTAAAGAGTTGTAAGCCGCTAAATCAGGATAGAGATGGGAACTACATAAAGCCAGAGGCCGCTCAGAGGCCTGGGTAAAATTAAGTCAAGCTTGCGACTATTTTACACTGCCATTCAAAAAAAGCCATCACTTAAGCACCATTTTGTTTTAAAACTAGATGATAAGTATTATAGAGTGCTTGCGGGCGTATCCCTGTAATGTGCACTAAGCTGTAGCAAAAGGTTACCAACCTGGCACCAATGTTGCATAGACCTATAAAAGACAGATTAAAGGCAGACACAATTCGGCCCTACGCTGCGGCTGAGTTAATGGATCTAAAGTAGCCAGTAAAGGACGCGCACCAGAGACGCGCGTTCGCGAGATAAAATCCAGCCAGTGGAGTCTAGACTCCGCTTGTAAGACGCTCAGGCACAAAGTACAATTATAGTTCCATATTCACCTGAAGATCAGCGATTATTCCAATCTTCCGATACATTGCCAGTCTCCCTACTTCACGGAAATGTGCTGGAGCTCCGTTTTTCGTCTCACCGGCGCGTTGATATCAGCCTGGTTTGGCGCTCCATAAAAAGAAGCGCTCGCTATCATCACTAAATCCCCACCGATGCAGGTATACATAATAAACTTGCTCATTCCTGTGCTCCCGCCTGAAAGAAAGGCGTCCTGCACTGCGCTGCAGTCTATGATCTGCACATTCACATGTGCTTGCGCTGCTTGCCTACCCGGATAGGGCTGCGGACAGGTTCAGCGACTTTTGCGTCAATCAGGAAGGACTGTCGTGATTGTCGTAACGGAATACTTCCGCCACCCAGTACAATGGTTAATGATCATGGCGTGGTTCGGAAGAGCCCCAGTATCGCCGTTGCTGTTGCCGTGTCGGCCTGGCTGACGGTGTTTTTACGATCTGTGGGTAACTGGAATAAAAATGCAATGCACTAGATGCCGCTGGCGATTTGGAACCCGATAATACTGGCTATGGGTGTGTCAGTTTGGAGGAAAGCTGATAAGATGTCTCATTCCCCATCGTCGCAATTTACCAACAGCCAGATGATCTCCTTGTATCAACCTACGCGGATCAGAATACCAACTATGATATCCATGAGTCGCTTCTATGACCATAGAGTTAGTAGGATTAGAATACCACTTCGCAGAGGCGAGGCTTGCTTCCACACTTTGGAAGTACAGCGGGAGGTAATACTTCGCGCCCATGGGAGACCATGCTGCGCGCGTGCAGCCCAAAAGGCCGCGTTGGTTGCAGTTCTTGAACAAGCCGAGTGCGGCATCAGGGGATGATACTTGGCTGGAGCGTTTTCACTGTGAGAGGAAGGAGGTACTTGCGATCATGGTGTTCCCAACCACAATCAGGCAGATAACCTTCCGGACTGTTCCGGGGAATATTGCGCCGCCGAAGTCTAGTCGAGGAAGGAGAAGGGGGGCAGCACACAAAATGGGGAACGGTACTTAAGTCCACAGCTTTAACTCCATCGCTTAGCTATGGCTGCAGGGTTATGCACGTCAAAGAAAAAAATTAAAAGAAACAAACGCAAATCCACAGACTAGCAGGTCGAAATCCAGAAACACCGCCGCAGCGCGGCAATACTGTAGATACTTTAATTAAGTGGTCAGTCGACCCTCGACTGCCACATCACCGCCAGGTAAGCCGAGGAAACAATGATGCTCGGTTGCGTACTGAGGGCGTCCGGGGATTGTAATCGTCACCATCTGGCCCTGGGCCACCGGCTGCCGTGCCTGTAGCGCTCGCGCAGTGATGAGCATCGCCATGCTTGGCCTCATCGCTGCGGGTTATACTGGCTGCGGCGAGGAGATGGCAAACTCCTGGTGATGGGAGGGCAAACACGACCCCCAAATATCGCTGCATTTCATGGTGGGCCGGCCCGTTGTTGTGGCAAGTACACCTGCCGATCCATGTGGCCCGGGCAGGAGTGCAGAGGCGGATATCGTTGGGATGGATATTTGCAATGATGAACTGATCAGATATACTGCGACAGAAAGGGAACGAGCTAGAAGTTTGATCACTTAGGCCATGGCTCGGACTAGGAGTGCATGCATGGGTGCGACTGGGATAGCAGCGAGACAACGGAGCTGTCTGCAGGAATTTTTGGTGGTCCTAGGAGATCCCATGAGCCTCTGACAGGGCTCTCATTGGGGAGATAAGGATGGTCAGCGTCTACCTCAATGGCGTGGATGGCTGTGATGCTGTGCGCTCGTTTTGCATGCGCCATTTCTAGTAGAAGTTGCTTTCTTCAAGATGGAAAGAAGTTACGCTGCGGGTAAAGGAATTTGTTATCTCATCGCCGGCGCTGTTGGCCGTCATGTACCTGCGCGCCCTTCCAGCGACGTCTCGCGCCGACGCCCGGAAGGTTCAGGGCTACACATCCGGGCGCAGTTAAATAACCACTATACGGGGAGCGGAGAGACTGTTTTAAAAGATCTATCCTGGAAAAAAGATGCCGCAGCGGAACCGCCAATTGGTATAGCTATCGGCGCTATTGGCACTATACAATCAAGTAGTATTGAGAAGGTTCGGTATCCGGAATTGCGCGAGGATGATCGCCAGTCCATAATAACTAGAGCCAGTGTCCATCTTTGTTTCATTTCATTTTATTTTAATTTTTTAATTTTTGGACGGAGCGTCTTACTTTATTTTACATTTTGTTGAATAACCACGAGGTATATTTCCGCTTGAATTCGCCAGATACACATAAGAAAAATATTGCAACTCAAAACAATGCCATCCCTTAGGTCTATTCCATATCCACGATACCTTGTGCCAAAGAGTATGGCTAATGCGGATAAAAAATTATTCACACAAGCGGACGGCATCATCCTATTCATTCTCGACCCATCCAACCGGAGTCAGGAAGCTCGCTATTCCATCTGCCATTCGTTTCGGGGTAACTCAAATTATAGGTGGCTGATGCGACCGTGGCATGTCCCATAAGCTGACCCCAAAGGGTTGCGGCTTGTCAAGATCAATATGGCTACCCTCCTTGTTGATCGCGTCCTCCTGAACTAGCCAAAACCAGAGTTCATAAAATGGCGCCAACGAAGCGGCCCTGCTCATGCCGGGTTGGCGCGGTCGGTGAATTCCTTGATGTCGGAAAAGCCTTTGCCCTCGGTCGAGGAGCTGGTCCACTGGACCCTGGCTGGTTTGACGATGGTGGAGAAACGTAAAGGCCTAATATGTCCCATTCCGACACCCCGCTACGGCGCACATGGTCTGACGCCACATTCCGCATCCACGATGCTGTTTATACAGGCCGTGTTGGGGACGTACATTCTCCGTTTCTTTTCGGATTTGATGCGTATCTTTGCCTCCTTGCCCAGTCGGGACGAAAGCAACAACATTGGCGGATCGTGATTACGGATTTGAATTCTGTTCCGGCAGCGCATAGGACTTTTGCTTCGGTTCGCGGGCCACGAGGCTCAGGGTCCACCACCTGATAGTGAGTTAATAGCCATCGATTTAGCGCATTCGCTGTACTAAAATGCGATCAAAGATGATTCCCACCATGGTGTTTGCAATTTATATTCTTCAGTTCGCCGGACTGTAGGACGGGTTCATTGCATGGGCTGCTTCTCACCGTTTATTTGCCTTGGATTCAGGAAACGGCGAGCTGGACAAAATATGCACAGTATTAAAGGGATCCCACAGCGGCGCAGAAACTTTCAATACTATCAAATGCTTAGAAACTCAGAATAATGGCCATCCAGAGAATCACAAAAGAAATTGCCGCGAATAGCAGAAGCAAACTAATTACCGTTAGCATAAGCGACCAAATCAGACTTACATGATTCTCGAGAACGCACCCGGGAACAATCACGGAACCTCAGCATCCCGAAACACCGCGTTGTATGCATCACTCATCATCATCCTGGACATCTTCCAAACGCGTCCGGTGATGTAAGTAAGGCATACTACCCATGAACACGACATCGACTGTCCCTCCGTGGGATGAGACTCAAGCATAGCCCACATCTGAGTGTTAGCTACGTAGTATGTCCATTAATCTTCACCGAAGAGAAAAGGGAAATTCACCGCCTACGACAAGTTTTCCAGATGCTACAAGTCCTTTCGCTTTCTTCGAGGTGTTTCCTGTACATTATTATTCAAAGCTGGCAGTAGACGATAGACAGGGCACTCACGGTCGAACCTGTTTCCATATTATCTCAATAGAATTAGGCTTGTCGGGGCAATACAAGGCTTCCCTTTCGTGCTTCTGATGCTATGCCTGCACGATGACCAATGACTCAGGGCACTGAGGTGTTTTGGAGAGGTGAGCGGAAGATAGAGGCGAAGCCATTTGAATAGACATATGAGTGTGCTATTGAGGACTAGAATGGAGATACACTACCAGGTTTTAATTGAACGAGGCTGCGTGGTCATGTGTCCAGATACGATGTAGGAATGCAAATGAGCCTGTCAGAGTGCAGGTGCAGTGGGAACAGAGCCAGATAAAATGATTGGCGCTATGAGAGGGTATTAATCGAAGGTGATTAATCTGTGTTGTGCACTTATCTCCACAATCCAACTCTTTGTTATTTAAGATATCTATCTTTTTAAACACTAATTTAGCAGGAAACGGCCCGAGCATGTTGATATTGTTAGCGTCCCAGCAGCCGAATCCACCTGAAAGAGAAAAGAAGGGTTAATATTCAAATGTAGTGATTCGCTGCCGTGCATGCAGAGTCTTGTCAGAATAGTCCAGATCAGGACAGTATGTGAAATATATATACTCAATATCTCTCCAGAGGGACGGGCAGAACAGTTCCTGCACACGGTGCCAGGAGGACTCCGCTATGTAGAACAAGTCATTGCTCCTGAGAAGGCTTGGAAGTCGCTGTCAAATCACCCATTGATGCAGCAAGCAATGGATGATTTGTTATGAGACACACTTTGGGGCTTTTGACTAGTTCACTTGTCCTACATAACTAGGAGATGTGAACAAAATGGGGGTAATACTTCTGTTTGGCTGCTGGATATTAAGGGGCAGCATTACAGCTGGATGGGACATGTTGCTCTCAAAGGGAGTTCAGTTTGTGTGAGTTATGCATGACAATTCACCTGGCCGTTATTTCCGTTCATTTATTCTCTATTATTTTACTACATTCAACTTCCTTTTCCTTATAAGAGGTACTCCCTACCTGCTCTAACTCCGCTTCATCCTTTTACTTGCCTCTTGCTTACCTCTACACCATTTATTATCTTATTTTATATGATATTCAATCCAAGGTACTCCGCATTAAGCAATACATCTTTCAATAATTCCGATTTACCTGGCTAATTAGTGGCGCGATACTTTGAATTTGCCGGGTATGCCTTTCTATTCGCGGGTTCCTTCCGTAACAATTTACGACTGGGTTTGGCATAGTATCGAATTGTCCTGGCACCAGAATCTATGATGTTGCCTGCAGCATCTCATCTGAAAATTGTCATTTTGCAATACAGTATCCTTCCCGCGAAATGGTGACTTTGGCATATTCCATGGGATGCTTCAAATTATCTTGCCCCATGTATGAATGGAGTTCTTTGTATGGAACCAAGGAATATATCTCATGTTAGCCAGAGAGCTGGGGCCGTTCTAATTGTATCAAATTCCGCCTGCCAATGATGCAGTATCCACACTGTTCTGTACAACTTTTTCTCTCATAAGCTGTATTGAGTGGTAGCCTCCGTATGGGCGGTTTTGGTCTATCGGCTCCGGACTCTTTTGGATATAGGTCACGAAAGATTGCTGATGGTGCACCGTTCCTCGAATATAAAAATGCCAAGAATTGGACGTGGCCGACTATATTTGTCGAAGATTCGTTCCGTCATATAAATGGGAACCGGCGTGATCGACAGAATTAAACCTACAAACAGACAAAAGAATGCTACTTTGACTGCTTTGGAGGAACAATAGCATTCTTGGTGCCAAACTTCCACACAATTTAATCTAACCAGCCAAGGTAAACACATCTCGATTAAAGTATCGGCTTTGTCCCCTCGGTGATTTAATAAATCGAAGTGTGCCTGGAGTCACTCAGTCAACTCAGAAGATACTCAACATTGGATATGTGGACTAGCAATCAACGGGCAAGAGTTGTTCTCATTTATTCCACGTCAACGCCTTGGGATGGTCAGGTAAAAAGAAACTTTGGGAGTTACAGCATATGCCATTTTAATATACCACAAAAAGCACCAACAGATCTGTATTAACACTAATTTTTGTATTTGCATTTAGTCTAATTATATTGTCCTAAGTATTCAGATACACTGAAAGGCATTATACACGACCAGCTCCTACCAATGCTTCAAGAGATAACTTAGACAAGGCTTGTCGCTTTAAGAGACTATGTACATTTATTGTTGAAGCTTCTATATGACTATCTATTGGCGGCTTCACTTCTAGAGACCTGGTTTTCAGTTGGTTGGATAGTCTTTGTCTTGACATCTACTATTATGACTTTCCAATATGTATATAAATCTAGATTGCTCTTGCAAACCAATTTTCTGGTTTTCTGGAGCACTTACTATAACTATAGAATGAAATGAATCCAGGGCATCCAGTCCCGGACATGGTTACGACCGACCATCAGCGAGAGGATGTAGAGTTGGTGATGTTTTCCACATGTACCAGACATACCATGCACGGTGTGAACTGGATGGATACTAATTTATCATGGATGCTGTCTTATAATGACGGTGTGGACGGGGCTCAGCGCCTCTCTTCCAATATCGCGTCTGTTTGGCAACCCACGTGGAACTTGTCGCGTCGAAGAGTGGTGAAAGTCCGGACTAGTGTCACAGTCACATCGCCTCCTTTACCGTCGACAAACTCCGAGAATTGGGCGGTCTGGAGGGATGGTACATCCAGATAAACGGGGACATCTGCCGTGTCTTCTCCATCCTATCGGGGCTTGGAGTGGACATGTTTTCCTCTCTTTTTCTCTCTTGCCTTTTTATCGAGGCCAGCTGCTTCCAGGATGCACTTCCACCTCTGAACCCACCGCCTACATCACCGACACCTCGCTGGACCGTACCGGTGGCATCTACGCCCGCATACAAAGGATCATGCCCAGCCCACTCGCGCATGACCCGATGTCTGCAATTGCTGCCCATCCACGCTGGAAACCACCACTCTCTGCCAAGTCCGGTCGCGAATAGCTCTCGGCGCGTCTGGTCATCACGGGTGTTATCTGCAGCGTCGCAACGTCGCTTTTTACCGTACAATATCCTGCGCAGCGGCGAGGTATTTTCTCCATATCTTAGATAAAACGATTCAATTGCACCACAGAACCAGCCTTTACAGCACGACGAAGTCCACGCTCATCTGTACGCCGCTCAGAAACTCATGGTGTTTCCCCTGCAAAGTCTGCAGGCAGGCTTTCGCCAACGAACCTACCAATCCGTTTCTGCCCAGACTCGTACGTTAACGGGTCATTACCGATACCCCAACTCACCATCGGGGCCTACTTGATGGTATCCGGCGTTAGAGTTCTTCGCGTCTGCGGCGACAAGCTGAGCTTGATCCGCATCGTCGCTGAACAATCCACACGGACAAAAAATCTAGCTGCGCACCAGTTCCTCACCATTAACGCAGAGCTCCGCGAAAGTGCGTACAGGATCAGCCACACCACAGAGTTCTATCTCTACTTCCACATCAGCAGGCCTCAGTATGCGACAGGTCGATCGTTAGTTTATAGCGCTGCCAGAGTTCACTGCCAATCAACGATCAATCGTCGGAATGGAACATCTGTCTGTATAATGCGAGAATCGCACAAGAATCAATCTCGCTTATGCTCTTTGATACCAATACATCAAGCTGGATGTCTACCTTCGTCCGCCGCCGATAACTTTCAGGCTTTGCGTCTGTAATGGATACGAGCTGCCCTACCATCCGGGGTGGACGGCTCTGGATGCCGCAACAATGGACGATGCGTACTTTTGAAGGTCTTCGTGCCGGTGATGACTGGGAATGTCGTTGCTGGTGGCGATATGTGATGCCAACGCGACGAGATATATCCAGCTTGTAGGGGGCTGTTCATCGGTGAAGATGGTGCAGGCTGGAGGAATTTGTTGCGGCAGATTCCGGCTGGTGTATACCATGCTTTACATTCATGATGGGGGATGTGGGTGTTATTTGGTGCGTTGGGGTAAACGCCAGGTGGCCCTAGTATGGCGTGATATCATCGCTATAGAAGTTGTGTTTCAGTTATACCTCTTTTCTTCCCAGGTACTGACTTTCACGGGGAGACATCGACGTCGGAACTGTACGTTCGAGTCTTATATGGCGGACGTGCGGTGCAAACTATACATGGAACGTGGACTGGATCGGCACATCTGAATTTTGTGATATCCTGGGGGTGTTTATGCCGGAGGTTATTATCTCATGTGTAAAAGCATGAACAACCCGCTATATAAATGCTACTGTTAGAAAATAAAATCAATCCCGCACCTTAATAACAAAGTAACTTCATCAGGTGTACAAGCTGGAGTAATTCCATGACAGCGAACCGGCGACTGACGCCTGCTGTCGCCTGGTCAGCGGCTCTGGATCGCCAGCCAGCCGATTGGGCCATGACTGGCGCGCATTGTACATATCTGCGCCAGAGGCGATGCCCGGCCCTTAACCAGAGCGTGACCACGAAGGTCTTTTCGACATCCCGCAGAAACGCTCGCAGATTGAGATCCGCTGCGCGGATTCAGGTGGGACAGGGGTTTACGCCATCTTGGTGTTTTGGCGGTGATCCACGAGTACTGGAATTAGGTAAAGGGGAAGGCAAAGTGTTACGATATGGGCCGGCTGCTGATGGGTATGAAGGTGATTGCCAGGTAGAGGGCGTATTTAGCCGAGTAATACTTGTTTATATATTAGATGTGGGTTTGAAATTCATCCTTTGATTGTCCATCATGAGTTGGAGTTGGTCAAAGGTGGTAGTTTTTCTGAATTCATCTGAATCCCATGCATCGATTTTCCAAATCTGGTTATGTGCGTTTGGTATGGATGTGGTTGATTATAGAGACTAAGCAATTTTGTTTTTATTTTACTGTTGGACTTTAGCTGGTCGTCAAAATACAGAGCATTCACGGCTATTATCGTTTTTAATCTAATTAAACCTATGAGTTACCTGGAACCAAGCACTTTGACTAAATTAGCAGGTCAATTGCTCCCGGGCTACTCTTATTTTGCGATGCTTCAGCAATTTGAACTGCGCGGCAATCTACGGCATGGCTCATACTCGGCGGCTGACCTTCTGGCAGGTTTTTTTGTTGTTTTTGTTGTATTAACCTGCTCCGTAGAGCCAGAATTTCACTGAAGATTTACGCACGGTTCCACCATATCGCGAGGTCGAACGAGGTTTAATGCATAGACAATGAGAAAATATATAGTTTGAGGCATCTGTCCGCTTGCAGACAGAATGGGCAAAATTAAAATTCCATGACTTGCATGACTGGGCCGTACGCCATGGATTCAAATGATTTGGATCTAATCGTGGCTTTATTCAGCCCTGTATTTTCATCATCACCAGTCGTCGTATCCCTGGTTCCAGCAGACTGCCATAATGCGGACCCAGACTCCAGCAGAGGGATCTGTTCTTTGACACCCTGAACCTGGGCTGCGGAATACGCGTCTTTTTGGTTCACAGGGAGTAATAAAAGGTTTTTGGGGCGATCCGTTCATACTAGGATAGTCCTATTCCTCTCACTGCAGTGATTTGCAAATCCAGCGCTGGCTTATCATTTTGAGGACTTCAGGAAGAAAAAGCGCGAGCAGTGGCTCTTTCGGGCCGCGAAAAGAGCAGCCTCCTTCAAGGAGGAGCCGCAGCGGTACATGCTAGTTATTGCTATTACTACGGGAACTAATGACTATGCAGTTCAACTGGCGCGTTAAACTCATCCACCACTCTTGGATATGGGGTGCGATTGGACTTTATCGTTGAAAAGAGTGACCGGATCTTGACCCATCCATCAGCTTGTTCCTTGTGCGGTGAGATTGAATATAGGCGCGTTATCCATGCTCATTATAATGCGAGTATTTTGTTAATATTCAGGATGATGGATGGGAATGAGACATCAAAAGCGGGTCGAATTAACTCATTGACGTGGATTAAGACGAAATTTGGATGGGTACGTCGTATGTTCAGCATTCCGCCTACCTGGGTTTTCATGGGGTGTACGGATTTGCCCGGATTGCGACAACCTTAATAGAGTTGCCCAGCAATGGACGAAGAAGACACCAGCCATGCCCTCAACCATACGGTACGTTCTATTAATATTGTCAGACTGGCGCCCCATGGAGCCCGGTTGCTGATCCATTTGCGCCATGCGCTATCATCGCCGCCATCTTCGATGTTGGACTGGAACTATTCCGCAACCCAAATTGGCAAAACGTATCATCCAACTTCTACCCTCGCATTCTTCCGGCATCCAGCAAAACTTCTTCATTCTCTTATTCCTGGGTGGTGCAGATGCCATATGACGCGGTACCAAGTCAAAGATACGTGACCATGACATTCACCATCAATTGAGCAGCGATAAAACAAACCTGTATTACCCCAGAAATTGCAGGTTTGTGAAATTCGATACGAAAGTATCCGGTGGATGCATGGAGGTATTGTATGATCGTCTTTTACCATTTGCGCCCTTTACGCAGTTGGGCGCGTAATGCTATTGGGTTGCATTTACGCTTCTGAGCGAACTGATAAGCAGACTATCTTGGATATATGTATGCATTCATGAATGATCAATTTCAAGGAGGAAATTATATGAATGCAGTCTAACGGATGGACGACAGCAGGATTGTTCAAGATAGAGAGAAGCTACGCCGATAGTGTCATCAAAGGGGCTCTAATGGCTGAAACTGATATGTGGCGATTCTTCCCTCTTTCCTGTATCTATTGAAGTAGGCATTCCATTCTCCAAAGTAGACGCTGGCACAAAACTATTAATAAGGTCCCACTCTCCAGACAGTATGGTTCTTCCCTGCAGCACTGGCGTCGCGGTGGAATGTACCACCTAGTCAGACTTTCAGACGTATCCTCACGGTGCGATGGATGATATAGATTTTTTAGTAGAGCAGGGCGGCGTCCACGGCGGTTCTATCGTCTCGGCTGAGATTACAAACATGTCGCGTTTGGGGATCGGATCGTTTTGTCCTGGGAGGATTTCTCTACTTGCGGCCCAACGGGGCTGCAAGATTGTGGTGGCCTCAAGATCTTGCTTGATTGTTGGGCTGGAGGAGGGTATCAGCCTTACGTGGTTCATTATGGTTTTGGAATGGCGATCATCGGCGAGGGTGGAGGTTGGGAGCGTTGGTGGATGATGAAGTACGATCTGTGGAAGGATGAAAAAAATAATGCAACCGGCAAAAAAAATTCTATTCTAGATACAACTCTCTAAGCTCATCTAAGTAGCATAGAATGCGACAGAATCCCGCTATATAAGGCCAATGGCAGATACCATCCAGATCCATTAATGTTGCCTATGCAGAGTGAGTACTGATAGCACCAAACCAAGAAATACTGGGGCTCGCAACCTAAAAACCGAAGCACGCGGCGGCGGCGAGAGCTGGCGTGGCAGGCCGAAGGTTGAAACTGGGCCGATTAATCATTGCATCCGCGGCTACGCATCCGTCGTGGAAGCATACGTTTCTCACTTTTTGAAAAGCATGGTATTTTTGAAATCAGCCAGAACAATCGATTACCCGAAGAATTATTTGCATAGTGACGGGAGGTCAGGAATATGACCATGGATGCTACTGAGAGGAAGGATATCCCTTGAGGGGATACCTGCCATTATAAGGACGACGGCGGAGGTTTTGCCGATCTAACAGATGAGTTAGTGAGCGGGTTGCAACCTATAAAAAGTTAGAGTGGTCTTACCAAGAAATTGCTTAGCTACGTTGAAAAGGAGGAAGCTACAGGGCGTTTGGAAGTGGAAGTATTGTGTAACAACGCCAGGAATTATCACCATAGTTGATCGAGGGGCTCCATGAGTGCATGGCTGAATGCCATTGGCTGCGGCATGCAGGCGCGAAGTAGTACCTGATACCAATGGTTCATTTAGAATTTGTGAGCTGGGGAGACGCTGGACCATGACTAGACGTAGGGCCTCGAAGATGATTCCACCGATTTGGACTGTTGAGTGTAGACATGCGTCTGATCTCTAGAAAAGAGGAGAGTCGTACTGAGAAACGAAAACATCGAACTGATCTCACCAAAGGGAAAGAATCACAACACCCACAACAAATTAAGAAAGACGTTGCCGAGGTGCCGTTAGGCAGTGCAATGCACCAGTATGGCGCTAGAAGAGTGGCGGCAGCATTGGTAGCCCTGAGGGACTTAGCTTCTGTTTTTGTTACTTTATTTTACTTCGTGTGACGGCAGGCATCAGATAGATGATACCTCAGATAGAGGTAGGCAAGGTTGCCACAAAGACTCAAACTGAACGCGGTAATTGGTACAATTGCTTTCCTACTCGGTATACATCAGCAATGGATGTGATACACTTTACCCACGCTTATACCACCATGTGCCAATTTGAAGATTGTCATAGGGACCAGTAAAGATTCCAGCGTGGAAGTGGAAATGGGCAGAACCTGGATTAGGTGACCCGTTGCGAGAAAGCCATGTGCCATGTTACGTCAGGAACGGCGCTGGACGTTAGGTTAGCCGACATCCGGTAGCAGCAGGCGGACTCACGGAAATCTACAGGCGGCTGAAGTGGAATTTGCCAGTTCAATACATGCAGGATTAAGTATATATGGAGCCGTTCTCTGAATTTTAGCGCTCCTGCAAGAATTCCATTTATTAAATGGGATGATTTGACCGCTCGATCTAGGCCCAATCCACCCAATCTAGTGACCTTGGTTCCGGTACGATTCTAAGCTACTGATCGGGCCGGGGTACTTTGGAGACACATGATGTAGAACGGGATGAAGCACATTGCTTTTGAGGAGCATTAGCATGGTTCCGCTCTCAATCGATCATCCATAGAGCGATATGGTGGTCGAGATCGGGCGATTTTGTCGATAAGGAGAGCTATCAGAATAGATGGCGAGAATGCGAGGCGGCGAAATATGTCGCGAATAAAGATGAGCACTGACGTTTACGCTGGCAGATGATCGGCAAGTGCACGTCAGCGGGATCGGTGGTGGGCTTGACGGTCTTCCAAGGTATTTTAAGGTTGGTGCGTCGCAAAGTGCTCGATGCGGTTTGGCCCCGGTCCACTGGTTGTTTCCAGAGTCCAGAAGCCCCATCTCCTTTTCATCATCCGCAGGCGTACTCTTTTAAAGTTGATATAGACCCACGAAATTGCAGTGGTTGGTCCTACAGCTTATACCGGTATGAACAAGATGCGCCGGAGTGCACGGCAAAGAGTGATAGAATAAAACAATTAGCTATATAGCGGGCATTTGTGACCAGTGGTCTTCACCCTGGATTAAGCCAAAGAAGCCACAGGAAATTTCCACCTGAATTTATCCTAAATAATTCCAACATCATAGATCTTACCGTGCTCTATCCCATTAGCTAGATTAAAATAGAGCAGACTTCATTAGCCTCAATGTTAATGCCAGGAATAAGCTCGACTTGTTTATCTCCAATGCCTTATCACACACCACAAATACCGTTTGTTGGCTTTTGCGTCCATTCTTAATTCACCAAAACTCTCGAGCAGCATCTCTCCGTGGTCATGGAGTAGTTATGCTTTGAACAACATGCTGTGTTTACCAGTTAATAAACTTGCAATTTATTTAAATTGCTGGACCACCGATAAGTTATACGCCAGCGATACAAATCCCTTCCACTTTAAAGTAAAACATCATGATATATATATATACAGAACACACATATCGGCCTATAGAAGAATAGTTATAACTATAATAGAAATATGCAAGAAGACGCCTATTACGGTGAAATTAATTATCTTTAGTAGGAATGGGCCTTATCACGTCTAGTATTAACTAATGGAGGAGGAAATAGATACAGTAATGAGATAGACAGACTCTGTGATTTGTGCATGGGATATTATGCAGTAAGCCAGTTAATACGCTAATCAGGTATTTTATATATAATTACTGTACTGCTATATTAATAGGATATGCTTTTAACCCTATATAGTAGATGAATTTGCAGCATATAGGATATACTCCACTAAAAATTATTTACTTAAGTTATATAAAGAAGCCTTGTAAAATATGTATACAGTTGGGGGTAACTAGAATTGTTTGGCGTGAGCTAGGCAATGGACTTGCCAAAAGGCGTAAAGATATGCCACCTTATACTGTATGTATATTAATATGTTATATTAGTAAATATATCTACTAATACATGCTGATTATTATGCCGTAGCAGCATTTTGCAGTCAGGTGCTGATAATAATATAAACAGTATCGGTAACTTTCGGCTCCTCTTTTCCAGGCTGGCTTCGCCAGAACCAGGTTTCCCAATCTTGTAAAGCATTTTTGAAGGCTGCTGGTTTACCAGTGCATGTTTGCTTACGGTGTAGCCGTTTTGTAAAGGCGGGTATGGTAGTATTGTACCCGGCTGAAATATAAACGTATTACTGGCGGCGTTGGATGGGGATAAATTTACTAAGTCGAACCCTTGACCCGATACGGCCATTAAAACCGGTATAGAAATGGTGCTCAAAGTAAAAATACCTTTTATAACATAGTTACGTCGGCCGGCACATGACCACTTACTGGCGGATATCACCAGTCTTTCCAGGGGACCTTTTGCCTCTTTGCCGCACGTTCACCAACGGCTTGGTTGGGAAATGATAGCTGACCCATAGCCACGCAATCACGAGATTGAGTGGCGTTTGTTCCTCTGGTGACTTCGGAGCAGGCTGTTGCTCTGGAAACTACGCAGGAGGAGGGCCTAATGGAACAGATAGTGCAGCAACTTAGCTAAAGATCTAACTGGCGGGTGAGATAGATGATGCAGCGTACGGTGACACTAAATCACTGCACCAACGCACTTTGGCGTGAGAACAGGTGCCGGGTGGGGTTAATGCTGGCCATGACCAGGGCTGAACTGGTTTTCAGAGCTTATCCTTTATGCTAATAATGCGCGTTTTCTGTACTGGATTTGTACCTAAGATGATTATTTTAAAACCGGTAGGTTTTGGTACTGTAAAGAGGAGCTCGTGTATTCACGTCTGCTCAAATCAAAGGGGTATCCGTGCCAGTGCTATTTGGTAGCCTACAAAGCACCCCTGCATTCTTTATAATGGTATTTTGCGCGATTGTTCATCTAACGCGTTTCATGGGGTTACGCCGGAAGGACCACGCGAAGGCAACGGATCGATCGCCATCGGTAGTTCGACCATGAGAATCCTTACAGGCAATCCACAATCTAGAGCGTGCTTCATAGTGATCCAAATACGATATGATCTGGGACGAAAAAGTAGTCGGTGACGTTTATTGATTTTGAGCGGAGTGGCGCTGCAAACCCGACGAATAATACCACTAGGGAATTTCACCTAATCAAACGCAGGCAGGAAGTCTGCCTCTGGGAGAAGAGTCCAAGCTCATGACGCGCATGAACATGGTTATGACGTGTGTTGAAAGATGCTATAAGTCTGCCAGAAGCCATTTGTTGCTTATGTCAGGAATCAATGCTTCCCTCTACAGAATTAGCACTGCCGCCAAAATATGAACAGACGGTACAGAAAAATAAGGCAGAGAAGACCGGCAAAAGAGTCAGCGCGCGTTGATCAGCGTCGAAAAGCGATATCTTACAGACCAAAATGCGCTTTCTGTTTTTGCTGTGAGGCAATGTCGCTTCTGGCACCGCTAGCCTATAAGAGGTTAATCACATTTTTTTTCCCGCCAACCAATCTGGCTTTTCTGAGGAGGAGGAATTGAACTATTTATAAGATTATCAAATGGGGAGAAAAAAGGCATGCCCTTGTGGACGTTACGTTCAAAACCATGGCCAGTATCATACAGATTGTGTTTGCGAAGTTTTTCTTATCAACGGGCGGCCTAACTATTATTGCTTCGTCGGTCGCCAGTTAGCGTTCAGTGCGCTTCCGACGCCCGCACTCTGGATCGGCAATGTGTTCCGGAGAGTAAGGAGTGAGACATCTCGGAAACATACATACTGGCTTGAGTTCCGGAACCACCAGCGATCGTCCTTTTGCCTAACCCACCTAGAGTTATGCGGCTCTTCTTTGTCAGGGATTGCTCCCGCACTCTCATAAGAGGGCCAGATGGTAATTTATCTGTTAGCGGAAGAAATGGTATTCCGGACGTTCCTTCCCTGGGCCTTGGCTGCGCTGGCGTTGTCAATCGCCGAATCCCTATGCTCCAGTTGCCGAGACCAGGGGATGGCCAATCAAGTTTAGGAGACGTTGGATGTATATCTAGTTGAATATATACGCTCCTTAGCGGAGCTACGTGCGTGTAGCTGTAATAACTTCCTCCACTGCTACAATCCCCATTTCCCTGTGCTGAACCCCATCCAGGAGTTTTTCCCAATTGCCCATTATATGATTTACAGTATATTCAGCCCGGCTTGTGCATACACACCAGGATTGGATGGTTTCGTTTACCTGACCCCTGGCGCCAGCGATATACGGGCTATTACACCGCACGGCTTCTGCTTACACTCTGCTTAGAGCTTTCCAAGGATAAAGAAAGAGATTAATGTTACCTATAACGCGCATGCCATTTGAAAGTGCTTTGCCATGTTCGACAAGCTACTTCGCGGCTCACTTAGGAATAACGGATCGCGGCAGCCAGTAATAAATACCAGAAGCATTCCGGTGCACCGCTAACCCCACAGCGACGTTAATTAATAAGACCTAACGAGAGTCTCTACATTTGCAATGAATGTTTTACTCTCAGGAGGCAGTGGGGAATATCTTATATGATTTTCTCACCGCATTTCAGATCAGTTCTGGGTAAAGGCATCACGCGCCACCACCGTGCCACCTCTTTACTCGTGCTCTTTCTAGTGTTAGAAACAATGACATCCACGTACCCTGGCTGCCGTTCTTCCGGTTCCAAACTTTCACAGTTACACCGCAATCGTCTCCTCTTCGGTCGCGGAGTTGGAAATCGTTGTTATGCTTTCCCCCATAGGCAGAGCCGGTAAGTACATATTTTCGTATCACCATCGCTTCAGATCGGTTCCTTCAGTACCGGACGCGCAGCATGCGCGCCGCAGCCAACCACCTTAATGTTCCATTTTGTTAAGGCTGAATATCAAGCTTGTTTATGTCGCCGGCGGGAACCCTCATTGTCCTGGTCGTTTCCGTCGTAGAATTTGCCTAGCGGGGTCGGCACTGTATGCTACAGGCACATTAGAACATTACGCGCCACTTGAGTTTGCGTTCTTGACAGATATAAGGTTGATTCAATTTTGTTCTTCCACGCGGATGCTGACCCATTGCGCCAACCGATCTCAAGTTGCCGTTACCTGCCTGAGTGGAGAAACCGGAACCCATCGCGAAGTGGCAAAATTTAAAATGGGCGAAGTAAATGGTTGTTATGAAGCACCAATGCAAATTATGGAATATACTAGTATGTCGCGCGTTTACTTGGGGGTTCCAGCTTGTAAAATGGTCCTTGTTCCTCTTTAAATATCCCTGTGATGGCTTCAATACAAGGGGACTCCAAGCGCTAGGAATTGAAATACTACCTCCACCCCAGTTTGCGGAACTGTTCTTGGCGGACCTAACCTACTGGAATCTAATTATCATAACAACCCGACTAGTATTACACAAGCATTCTTCTTTCACCTCCACAGTGAGGCACGCTGCAGCATTCATACCGTCCGTCAATATGCGGCTGGCGGCCTTGTTTAATTCAGGAAAAAGAATGGGATGGCCGTTGGAGATATTAGTTACAACAATACTTTTTCCGAAATACCGTTGCATCGTAGCGGAAGATTTTTTTTTTAAAAACAAACTTTCCATCAAAACTACAATTGACTACACCTTGAGAGTATCTTGGCTCCTGGCGAAGATCCTGAGACCAAAACAATCATTTTTAAGCCGAACCATCCAGTAAATGCCATTGGGAATGGGAATTCGTTACCCAGTAGGCTGGATTTTATCAGTTGAGCTGCCCAGCATATAGTTACTAGCGCTTGAACTTACTGATCCATGTTTACCAAAAGGTTGGCTTGGGCACGAAGCCCTCGTACTAGAAAACAACTCCAGCGTGACATGAACCCGGACAGTATTTGTACGAGTAATGGCGCAAAACTCAGATTCTAGATTTCAAAGAGGCTCCAGGATGTCTACCCAGTACCATTATCAATAGCTGATGATTCATATGGAACTTATGAAAGGTTGAAGCGATAAGCAGAGATGCTTGGTAAATTGAAGGCAATATTTGTAAACGGAGATGCATGTCAGCCGGGCCTTACGGCGGCTCCTACAGGCGTTTACATGACTTTTACCGCGATAGAATTGCAAGGAGTCGTCCGTAATCCAACCAACCACGAGATTCGTTGATCCATTACACTGCAAACTATGGAATATGGCTAGTTCACTACATTGTGCGTCAGCAGGTCTCGAAGGGACGTATCAAAGATGCAGCAGTGAGAAGATAGGACTTGTTATGGCCTGAGGCGGAGATGGAAACGAGCAAATCCTCTATTCAGTACCTTCGGAGAATACTACGCATGGAGAGAAGGGGAAGAGGATCAGAGATAAGCCGAAATTTGATATCCTCATTATACTACCTTTCCATCGTTCCCCGACCAAACGCAAGTAGATAGAACATATAACGAACAAACAAACTGACGCCAGCAAACCGTCTGCGCAAACAAATACGCTGCGCCAGTTGCCCTGGGATAACACAGTGTGAAGACAAGCTACCACCATTTACCATATAGAAAAGCATTAAGAAAAAGCTGGAGACCAGAAATCATGAATCTCTAGCAATTTACTACCGGAGTTACTGGGATGGAATTCAGGCACAGGACTACCACCTAATATCAACATAGGCGCGCATACACAAAAGGAGAAGATGTTTTTGCATTAATTAAAATATTGAAGACATTCTAATATGAACTACGATTGGCATTATGAAAACATTGCACGGGGGCTTTGCAATGTAGATGGTTGTGTCGGCACTTTGTTCATCAAATCCATTCGATGTATTACGCATCACCACCTACATTACTAATGCAGCGTATTAATTGGCTGAGTTCTGCATGGGTACTGTGCAGAATCCATGGCTTCCAAATGAAGGAAATGCTAACCCGAATGAAGGCTGCGTGGTTAGGGTGAAAGCCTGGCTTGCGGTTGCCGGATTCCACATTTTGGCTAAGTCTGCAGAGGAGCTTTGGTTTAGATGGTCTATGTCTTATTCTAGTTTTAGAATGTACTGCGTCACCGCTTAGTATGAATACAGCTATGAATTAGTGCGGCTTTACAACTATACTCAGCCGAGACCTTTTGGCAGATAGCGCTGCGAAAATAAAGTGCCGTGATGCGTCTTAATACTTATCTTAACATGGCATGGTGATGATATCGAGGCAAACGCTACAAAATAAGTTAAACCTTCTTTGTTAGGTAGGTAGTCGTCTTAATGTCATCCGGGAATAGGCCTTCGGCGGTATCTTGTGGATTATCTTATGCGCTTGAGGCGTTGCTGTTACTATAAGAACACACGCAAGAGACAGTAAAATGCCACATGCAGACGGAAGCGATCTACATAAAGACACCCGTGGTATTGCCCCGGCTTCAAGAGATAATTGGCCGCTTTGGGAGCAGAGCTTTAGCAATGAAGTTTAACTCTTGACCGCGCATCCCGGCACCCGCGATTGATCCGGCGTCCACAGGTTGTAGATTGTCGGTGTCACTCACGCCAGGCGACAACCGGTGGAGTACTCCTCGATTTAATCAATCAACTAAGCAGCCACTCCGTTGGGTAGAAGCGCGGAGGCTGCTTTCTGCCTCGAGAGCTGCCGTGGAGGGCGGGTGTCAGGTTGTCATGCATCAGCGTCACCTCTTGTGAATAAATGGTGGGCTTCCATGGTACCCCAGTGGCACTACCTGACTCATCGTCAGATCATTGCTCCTTTCTGCTCGCCGTGCCAACAGGATTTCCGTTGCACTATGGAAACCATATCAGAATATTGTCGAACTTATAATAGTAGCTGGTCCCTATTTATGTTGGTGTTTGCTGGAGCGTTGTTGCAGTTTGACAACTTAATATAAGTAAGTCTGGTGCCCTTTATACATTCTTATCATCTCGCTGCAGTAGCTAAGCCATTGCTCAGTATTACCCAGGAGCCAAGAGGCTACATCCAAAATGTAACGCGCATACAAGATGGCACGATCCAATTGAACAATAATGGCGAGAGCATCGTGTCGAGGGCAGATGCACAGCCGTATGTAGCACCTTCCATTACTACCAGCGCACTGGGGCTTGCCTTTTAACATGTTAAATCCCGCAGCGGAAAATTTGTTCACGAGGCCGGGCGACAAGAGGAAATCCCTCCCCGTGATCTTAATGACTGATCAGGCAACCGAATTCACCGTGAATTTCTGCGGCTGCGGCTCGGAACCTACTGATACAAAAAGGTACCCTTGATCTTGCCAGTCTAGATGATGACATCGCTGCTCTCTCTTGGAGGGGTACCTTTTCTGGTCGAGAAAGGCAGATACGTTTCGGGTGCAAAACATCAGGTCCGGCTATACTGTGACTGCGGATGGCTACAACAGGACTTTGGTAGGGCCCAGTACTGCATGCAAGGTCGTCAAAGGTTAAAACAGGAGTTTGGCTGAATTATCTACCATTTTCCCACAAAGCTTGGGCAGAGTTAGTCGCACTTCTGTGTATATTGACTGTACGCTATCTCTGAAAGATGATTGTGTCAGATAACGGATAAGTCCTGGAATGCTTTAGTTTCTCTCTGTTTGGCCACCCAATGTGCTTTTGAAATGCCTTTAAAACCTCTGCAGATTGAGAGAAGGGACCAGAACCACCCCGATAGTCCTACTCGCTTAGAAGCCCGCTTCGCCTTTTCCTCATTACTATAAACGCTAATAGAAGCACATTTTCAACTGTCGCTTTCTTTTTTCCTTTTGACTCTTTTGCTGGATTTGCTGATCGTTTCAGAGCCACAGCGTGCGACGAGAGCGTCACCAACGCCCTATCCAGATAAAATTATCCTGATGGATCGATCTATTAGCGGAAGTCGGTGAAGTGTTGACACATAACCCTTCTGTGTGTAATATAATGAGTTTTTCGGCCAGGTGGGAACACCACTCAAAGTTTCCGCTCTAACACCAATGGATGACCATGATATCATTATATAATCTAACCAGTTTAGGGGCCATAACTAATAGCCAACTGATGATACCGTGCTCCCGGAGGCGTCTGGAATGGCTTTGACTTTCCATCGCCCCGTTTACGTTTCACCAGATGCGGCGTCTGTGACAAGATTCATCGTCTTTCACTTCATGTGACCCGAGATTGGTTTGCGGTACATTGCGGAATTGTGTCTGGCTGAGTACGTGTTCTTATGGCATGCAGGAAGTGTAATGGTCATCCCACTTGCACGCCATTCACCTAAGGTCCCGCCAAACCATCCATTAACAGACGGGTTTGTGGGCTTTTCTACCAGTTCGCACTAATTTTACGTGCCCTTTCTTTACTTTGAAACGCAAACTTTTTGCAGCTGCCTACCAGCAAGGAATGAGAATTATATGGAAACCCTAATCTGCATTTTAGTTCTAATCGCTCTACTATGTACTATAGAAATATCCCTAATATTGATTTCGGCACCAGCGCCATCGCAATTTGGACTCTGAACAAATCAGCACATGGAAATGCCTTGACAATTTTGAGAGTGGTCGGGGTGCTATGAGAGAGAAAACCAAAAGGGCCCGTTAAAGCAAGGCAATAAATATGCATTATATAAATAGAGACTTGGAAGCCAAGGATGATAATAGGATTACATGAATTATCAATGGCTTGCTGGGATCCATTTTTCATAAATACTTTAAACTATAATACCTCATTCATATAAATACCGCCTTTCTTACTGTGTCCAGGCCCATGAAATATACTGGTGATGAGGAAGTATTCCTCCGAGTAGACTGTAATTACAAAGCGGAAATAACCAAACGACCGATATCTCATTGCCCACCGCGTTTTGCATGCCAGTGCAGTCTAAGCCCTCAGTGACGGTACCATTGCATAGGGGTGGATCATGGCACCCTATAATAATGGGGTCTGAAAAGTTATGCATTAAGCGTGCTGACCAAGAATACACCTTGGGGATGATAGGCCACAGGATGCAAATGGAAAATTGTTGACGCTGTTGCCGCGCAGCATAAAGATAGGGAAAACCAATTACTTTTCCTCGTGGACATTAAGCACCAGGCATGCATTGTTCACAACTGGCGAGTAAAGCCAGGTGTATCATCCACCTGGGGAGCCACAGCAAATGGCTGGGGGTGAAGTCAAATTTGGTGTCCGGTTTCTCTATGACTCCAAGCCTGGATGCATTCTAACGGGCCTGGGAGGCCATTGCTGGGAGGAGATGACGATGGCTCAAGCCTTGAGCTCAATCGGCCATCGATACATTCTCTAATGAAACAGAATAAAAATATCCATGATCCCTTCACATCAAGAAGGTTATAGACTTCCGGGACAAACTCTCTGGTTACCCTCGTATGTGGATTGCCACACAACGATAGAATTGGGAGAATATAGCGTCTACTATAGAACAATTAAGCATCAAGGGCGCGATCGTGGTCTTTAAATGGAAAACCAAGGGAGGCCCAGGATTGGAAGGATATGCTGGCTGGACAATTACAGATAAAGAGGAAGAAACACCGACACTGCAGGAACCTTTGGGATTCGCGAAGGTTGATGAAACCCCAATCTACGGCGGAAGTACTCTCGCATTTGCGAGACAATGAAGCAATCGTATTTGCCGCGGAGATCAAATGGCTATGAGACGCTTAAAACACACCGACCGGCAGGCCAAGCCCTTGGTAACAGTTGTATCACAACTATGAGAAGTAGTCCTTATTATTTGGTAAGTAGCTTTCAGGGGTTCTGGAAACAAAAAGGATAGTTGATTTGTGCTAATATAAAGGGAACTAAAACCATCGCCATGTGTGTGACATCCTGCCGCCGGAATGTAAATCTACCAAGAGTATGGCCATTTACCAACCGTGCACTCCATGTTCTGATTCCTTGGAACGTTGGATCAAATTTGCTGCGTGAAACGGATTTAAAGTGAATGTTTGTTTCCTTCCAATCTAAAACCTACATCAATTAACAGTTCGAGAAGGGACGTACAATAAAGGATATTGCAAATCTGACTTGACATTATACACCGATATTTTAAGCATGCATCACGCCAAAAGGGCTAGCTTATTACCAATTTTTGATGCAGATCTAAGTTGCCACGCTGCGAAGGACCCTTTATGGTTTGAGGTTCTCCAATTACGTAAACTGTGGTGTTCAGCATATCGAATATATGCGTGATAGTTTTGGTACGGGAAAGCCGTGTACTTTGAACAAATCGGTAGCAAAGAGAAAAGTTTGTTAGATATTTACACGGATGTCCCCATAGTTTATTTAATAATTATTACAAAAGATCTTTTATGCATTTCCAGCACCCTTCCACGTTTTATGTACAAAAGGTATATTGTCACAGTGTAGTAATGTAAATGAATTGAAGTATTATTGCCATACAGTTGGTAGTGTTACTATATATTAATATTCCCGGTATCTCCGGCTGGCGGGATTGGTGTGGTTGGGGCTGCCTTCTTGCTCTCTCAAAGGAGCCATTAGCAGTTAAAGCTAGTGTTACTAATGGGGAAGTCTGCGGTGCAGTTATTTTTATCCTTTCCTTTGGAGGGTTTTGGGGGCGTAATGCGGTGGTGTTATATGCAATAATTAGCTACCAACTGGTAGATCTGGAATTAAATCCGCATTAAATAAATATGAATCCAAGTAAATAGTTTAACCCCAACAGGAGCAGCGGCCGGGGTTGGAATAGCGATATACAAGAAACAGCAAGGTAGTTGGTGCTAGCCAGAAGCGATTCTGTATGTTTTTATAAACAAAATGGTCTTCGTTTGAAGCTGAATTGAAGTCATATTTATAGGCTGGGAGGTTGGCGTTCTATTGGGCGGGTGCCGCCAGACTTACAGTGTTGCTAAAAAGCGGAGCTTGCATAAATGATGACTAAGCGAGGTCAGGGCAGGCGTGGCATGTCCAACATTAGTTGAATCCATCTGGAATGGCTGGGCAGCTTGCCCGAGCCCTGCGGTGTGGCTGGTATGCCCTGCTTCTGCCACATTCCTTCCCCTGAGCAAGATAATCATGGCGCTTGCAGCGCGCATTGTGGATATGTGTTAATGTGTAAGACATATGACAGACCGAGAGGTTGTGGTATTCAATGCTGGTGAGTCGGTAGAGCTTGGATGCGGTCGCCAGGGGTAGTGGTGATGAGCAGTGGAGGCGGCGGGGACCGGTTTCCTCTCATTGAGCCGGCCGTCATATTTCTCCCCTATATTCCATTGGGTTCAGATGTTGCCTGTTCGCCATGCGGAATAGCTTGGCAACTACGGCTGGGCTGACTAATTCTAGCATCCGCGGGGATACAGCACGTCTCTATATTTCTCGCAATACGGCCAGAGTTGTATGGCGGCGTGATCAGCAAATTCAGTCCATCCACATGCCAGTATCATCGCATCCACGTATTGAGGCATCGCCCGGCGACCTGTGGTTCTCAACCACAATGGGACCAGGTGTTGGCGGCGTTCACCAGCACCACCACATTCATTTCGGAACAGATAGCAGCCGTTGGACTACGCTGGCATTTACATTTTGCCCAACGATGCACCGGAATGCCATCCTCTTTAGCCACCGTCTTCTCCGTAACCATCCTGCGATATGCGCTCTGCCCGGGAATCTGGGCATGTGGTCAGATCCAAATCAATTCCACTTTTCTCGCTACGCCGCGCATCCCCACGCTGGTCGCCGTTGATTGAGAGATGACGGGTGCACATCTGCGATACCAATTTGCGGGTGATTGACGTACGCCAGCCACTGGGCTGGATTTAAATGACACTTGATTTGCTGCTGCGTCAGTAGGCGTATCGTTATCTTTTGTCCTGTTAGTTTTACACCGATGGTATTGCTAAGATCCTATAACATATGCCTAGCATATCCACAGAGCCATATCACCTCGCTGGGCGCATAAGCCCTCAATTGCACTCCCGATTGCAACGATTGTGCCTTCTGAACCAGTGCGGAAGTAGCTGATATTTTGCCAGACCATACCCCGCCAGGGACGTAATTGCATCCTATGTGCTCTGGGGATGGCACCCGCCCGTGGTTTTGGTTATTTACTATCAGCGACTGGCGTCCATGAAACCGCATCGGGAACGGTGGCCAGGCTACTGCTTTCTGCCTCTTGGGCCCGTTGGTTGGTGGATTCAGGTAGCTGTCAGTCCATATGAATAGGTATTGATGCTGGACTACGCACAGCATTCTCTATCTTGGGAAGGTTGCTCGGGAAGCTGGAGAGTCTAATAATACTTTGAATCCACTGAATAGGACATATAGCCTATATGATATTCGGCATCTTGATATCACTGCTCATGTGGGCTTTTTACGCACGGTCTCATTTGGCTGGTGTTTGCGCTGGCTACTGTTGTGCCAGGCTCGCCGTTTCCTTTCTTCCAATATGGGCTGGTGAGTTACTTTTCACGCTGGGTGGTATGCAGCCGATACCATGCTATTGGGCGTAGAGATGGATTTGATGTTTTGGATGCGGACGGTATTATGCGTCTCGCGTCACCGGTCTTATGCAGTAATATGGGTCTGACTGGCGAAGGGTTCTGGCGCACTGCTGTGGTAATGCTGGCAGCTGGTGGTTTGCCAGCCGGACTGCGTGGAGCATGGCAGGGTAGTTTGTTTCCCACGCTCCTTGTCTGCAGAACCTTAAATCCAAGGCAGAGGATGAAGCTATCACGGATTGATCATATAGATATATACTGAATCCGGAGTTTTCATATCTCTGATTTAGCTGGCCGGATAGATGGGGAGTGCAAATACTCTGGAACGGCAGTGGACGAGCTAGCCCGATGATATTCTAAATAGTGGAAATTTCTTACATATAATATTAAAAACCAATGGCAGTAATGTGGTTTCCATTTGCTGTATATAGAGTAAAGAAGCAGTATATTCCTTAGAATATACTTTGAAGTATCTGAGTGGATGACCTCCTTCCGGGGTTCCTTGCGTTTATCCGCATGAAACGTATTCCGGGTACAGCCACAGGGCTTTATTATAATAGGTATGTTTGAGAGGACATACGCCGTCTATTTTGGCGTAGAAGTCCTCCTGATTTGGTCGTTTCCATTCTTTAGCCGGAACATTTCTAGCCTCATAGAGATGGGTAGGCGAACAACGTACGACTTCATTTTTACTCCCCGCATGCTGTGTATATATAACGTCAGGACTTTGTTGTCTGCTCTTAAATATTAATATACTCTGCAGGCACTTAATGGCCAATAAATTTCACAAACCTTGATCAGGTAAATATTATTTTGGACATTACTAGATATTATAGATATGTATAAATCCAAGAAAACGAGGTGGTGCCAATTTAGTAGAAATTCCTTTAGCATGTCTAAATATCACGAGGACGTTAAAGCATGGCCGGCAAATTTTGGCGTGTTTAGTATCTATTTCAGCAACTTGGAATTGTATGGGGTTCGTTTAAATTTTTAATTGCTTGCATTAATTATAATAGACGCCATTTTGGCAATCAAATCCATTGTAATATCGACTATAGCCGCGCCGGCGAGTCAGCACATTAGTGCGCTGATTCTAGATTGATTACCGAAATAAGACCCACTGGCGCTTTGATCCTAGCATGCTCTTGAAATTACTCTGATAATCAGTTTGCTTAGGTGGTAGCAATAATTTTTCGGCTCAATGTAAACTCCAGTAGGAATCCTAGGTCAGCGTTTATTGCCAGCCAGAATGATAAACAAAGCAGCCCGTGGCATGTCTCCACTATAGCCAGAGTGACTTGTAACAATTTATCTATGCGTCAGGAATATGCGGCGCTTTGAGGAAACGCGGTGATTTTTAATGTCGGTATTCTGCTGCTGCAACCCCCGCCTGGAGATCCGGGTGTCTTGCAGCTCAGGTGTGCAATGCTTGCCTGACCTACATCTCATCCCTTTGGTTTTTAATACGGTTGCGGTAGTTGGTGCGCTGCAGGCCCGCAGGTTTGGGGACTGTCGAGACTCTCTCTGTGTTCTACCGTGGCGCACCATGTATCCCTCTGGGCATAAATCCCTCACTACGCTACCGAGATAGCATACCCCTCGCTTTCAAAAGTTCATTCTCCTCTTTTGGTTTTATTACTTCCTTGGATCAAGTGACTCTGTCCAGCCACCTCAATTCCGCAATCATAGCCGATATGAAAGGCGTGGATACCGAGAATCAAACCAGTCACCGAGCAATTACGGCATCAGCAAGCTTGATGCGGGCCATAGTTCCCGCACGTTCTTAAGGGTGCCGTTTGTGCGGGTGAAACCAGTAGCACGAAGAACTCTTGGTACTATATTACCGTTCTCCAAATGACACTGAGCCCAGGCGCCAGCTGCATCGACTGATTTTAGCAAAGCTGCCCTTCGAGGTCAGTACCGGCCAGCATCGCTTGACTGCCGATTTTGCGAAATGCAGTCACCCGGCCGCTTTCACAGACGATCTTGAGCGGCCGAAGGCTGGCAGGTTGTTGTTGCTCGCTGGTAAAACAGTCAGGTTTTATCGGCACGGATGGAATTATGACAGAGAAAATTGGCGCCACTTCCAGGCGCCACGCTAGTTTGGAAGGCCCAGCCGGTACAATTCGAGTTGTGCGGCTGATAGTTGTGAAACTGAATGGACAGCAATGGGCGGGGGTGTAGTGATGTTAGAGCTGGAGATGATTCAGGATGTCGTCGGAAGCTCTCCGGGCTTTCGGTATTCCGGCCTCCGCAATTTGGAAGCAGGGGATATAGAATCCAGCAGCAGATCAACAGCCTCCCGATACACTCCATTTTGCGATGATTACGCCCAATCCTAGTCCGGCACTTTTACGCATGAAAGCGCACCAACTCAGTACGGTCTTCACGAAGCCGCGATGGGAGGTATCCACTCCAGCCATAACCTGTATCGCTCGCATCATGTGGACATCCTCATTCTTTATCTCAAAATGGCCCGGGGAGAATGAAGCAGTTGGGTAGTGGTGGGTATCTCTGCCTGCTCCAGACACAGCGTCAAGGTCTAGTTACACTCGATTGGCACGGTTGGTGATTATAGACATCTTCGGGCGGCACTGGATGCTGTTTGTATCCATCGTCATTGATGTCGCGCGCATCCATCATGGTAAAGTATCCTGTTCTGGCGGTTGTAAAACTGCTAAGTGGGAAGAATATTGAACATGAGTACCCTTCCTAGAAGAGGAAGTCTTTACACCTGCTGAGCAACTGGGGATCGAGTAGGGCTGTTTGTTCGCTTATATTCTTTTAACATCTCGGCTTTCAGTGTTCCGTCCGGCTCAGCCCGCGTGGGAGAAGCGGTAATCGTTCGAGACCTGGATGCATTCAAAAGTAGCATTTACGGCCGGAAGTCTTAGCTTTACGCGGCGTTTCCCAGGCGCGCATCTTCATCTGCCGGATGTCGAATTCCAACATTACGAACCGCAGACTAGCCGCCAGGCAGGGTGCCGAGAATCATCACCTAATACTCTCTTGAACGCGTGGATATGGGTGAAATTACGCAGTTGGTATCTATCATCTCTGTTCTCTCTTCGGTATGTTTGTGCTATTTGAACGTCCGACTCACGAGGTCATCTTCATCGGCCACTTTGATCACAGGCCGGATTGAATTTAAACAGGTTTACGTATTAACGTTCCGGTATGCATCGTATTAAAGCTGACCCTCGCCAGCCAGAGATATTTCTAAATTATACCGCCATCGAACTCTGGAACCTCCGGCCTCGTCTTCTGGCTATCCCTCACAGCACAAAGGCGTCAGGCTGGGCAGATGTAATAGTTCATATCAAAGGCCACCAGCAACGATGTATTTGAGATTGTTTGGAACATAATTCTTCTGTTACTGACAGATGAGCGTGTTTCCATACAGCACCAGCTGGAGGATTATAAAATTGTCGGCTTCATCGAGGGGAAAGGAAGGTGTTACTTGGTGGTTCCAGGGTGCGGCATTCATCCAGTCACGTTCGTATATCCTCTCCCCAGTGCTGCGGCGGATCGCTCAGAACCGATGGCACGGCTAATTAAGTGGGCGAGTCTGCGTCCTGGGCCTCCGGTCGGCGTGACGGGGCCCACTCGGCTCTGGGCGCGAGGATCCGCCTACGCAGGTGGCGCGGGTGCTCCGCGGATCGATGTACCAAGCTCATCGAAGAGCATCCGGAAGCAGATCGCGTTCGATTCTCGTTGCCGAGGCGAGGATTATCCACCCGGCGGTCGACGACATCCTACGCGTGCCACGCCACCGGATGCATCTCAGCAGCAGCGCATCCTGCACCAGGTCGGTGCCCAAAACACCGACTGCCCGCTTGAGTCAAAACCGGGCGCTTTTTCGCTGTCGATAACGATCCCCGCTCATACGGGCGCCAGAGCAAAAGAATAGTGGCGTGGGGATAAAACAAAGGGATATAGAATACATGCATCTTCCAGGAACATCTACGGACTCTACGGTCAGATCCCACCCACAACGTTACTGGTCGGGGATATAGCCTCCTTGGAAGTCATACCTGCGGTCGTGCATAACAAGGCGACAAAATTTGGTGGCGATGGGTCTCGAATGCTTACCCAGCGTATTGCGACCGACGACATCCTCTCGCCATGAGAAGTGAGGTCTCATGGGTGAGAATTCTCTTGCCACAGGGCAAATGCCGGAAGGCCGGGTCGGTGCGCCAACGATAGCCAGGCGGCGGGTGCCGTGAAGACGATCTCGATACGCTGGAAACCCGCCGAAGACTCGCCGGGCGCGAAACATCCCTCCGGTCATCGCGGGAAGGCGTCGCTGCGGCTGAGAAACGTGCCGCACGGCTGCAGCATCTCCTGGAAGAACACGTAGGCTGGCTGCGATTAGCGCCAGCGCGCCTGACTCGTCGTCTCGAACCATACCCAGACCGAGGAGGTGGAAGAGCCGCCCTCAGGGTTTAACCGCGGGGCTTACAGACAGCCGTTGATGCGAAATCTCCCAAAGGTCTCCCGCGAATTGCACAATGCTATAGTCCACGACACCCCTCACCATCTGGGGCTGCGTATAAACCAGTCGAGATGCAGGTAGCCTCCAGCATCCACCGAGAGCCCTCCCGGAGACGCTGCGGCGCTGTAGCGCAGAGGAGTATCAGGTGCGGACCACCCGGAGCTATGAACATCGTGGCGCGATGTATTACGAAGTAGAGGCGGCATAGCCCAGGTTTTCGTATGGCGCTTCTGGATCTAATGCCCGGAAATAGCGGGTACCTTGGCTCCAACGGTATCTGACCTGGGCAGAACATCGGACGGGACGAGGCCATCCCGATGTACAGGGCATGCCATGGCCATGTATGCCGACTGGGGCAGCAATGTCCACCAGGCGCAGAACTGCTTCGATCTGAAAACTCTCGCTTCGTATGATGGAGTCAGGCACCGAGTTACCGGAGAATGCGCACGATGGCAGGAACTGTATCGGATAGTACGTTCTGGAACTGCCGAGAGGATGATCTCCAGGGTTGTTGAAGTCGTTTAAAGACAGATATAGGTGATGATCCATGCTATTAGCAGATATTGCGCTGTGACGTTCCCGTTATCATCCTATTCCCAATTCTCTAGTTCAGGCCCATTTCTCCGACGTTGCTGCCACATCCGATTAAGAACAGCAAAGTCAGGGGACCGATCTAAATGCCGTGGGACTCTCCGGTGCTGCGCATATGCGGCGCGGTCTTCTCATTTGACGTCGCGTCTTCGGATCGATTTTTTCCTTCGAACTTTTTCTCTCCCACGCAGGCGCCCTCATTTAAGCATTGGCCGCTCCGTTGAATCATGGGAGGGCTGGTATTTTGTCCAGATGGTGGCGATTGCACCTTTCGCGTGGGGTTAAATTCCTCATACAGGCAGGATTCGGCTGTTTCTGCCGGGGGTTTTGCCGGCCTTTCGACGGTCGCATTTCCATGATTTATTGGTGGATCGCAGTTGCGGGGTCCGGGTAAAGAAAGAAGGAAATAAAGAAGAGGGCGGCATAGGTAGTCCCCGTTTGCGATAATCTCTTTTATCCTAGTTCCTACCGAAACGTTGTTTACATTCATAAACTCTTAGCATTCTTTCCTTATGAGTATTTCTTGCCATGCAGTGATGACAGAGTAGAGTGAGTACTGTGATCAGGAGGCAGTTATACCGCCACGGGATTTTCATCATGGTCACCGAAAGGAAGAATAAAGTGAAAATTGGCATTGCCAAGAAGCGGACTCATGGGACTTGCCCAATTGAATGGGGATTGGCCCACGATCGATAAGTAATCCTCCCTGGAGTAGCTAGGCTACGGTGCATCATGGATTGATCAGGGTTTGATGACCCTGGAGTAGTTGATCGATTATAGGATATTAATTATATTGATTCTACCACATCCCATCCAGTGTTGTATACTATTTAATGGCAGTAGCAGTAATATCAGTACAGAGACTATGCAGTGCAAGCACAATTCTCTTAAAAGGAAGTTGTAAAAGGAGTATGCGGGTGGTAAGTCATCTTAATTACCAGTTCGTGGGGCAAAAAAAGGCTGCCCAAAAGATGCGAAGAAAAGGACCGGGAAGCCTGACAAAATTGGGGGCCTGGGGCCAGGGCTCCAGATGCACCTGAACGTGTCGCTTCAGGGGGAATGTCTCATCTCATCCAGCCACACTGCGCCATAGAGAGGGGAGGGTGCTGCCTAGAGGCACCCTCGGGCGCCCCCATGTGCCTTGTTGTCCCTGGATCACTCAGTCAGCCACGATTGTCCTGTACAGACACACACAGCGAGATGCGAGGCAGTCCCGGCTGAAAGCTTCTGCAGCCCTATGCCACTGCCGGACTCCGATTGGGGTCACGATTGGGATTTATCTCCACCGGGCACCGTATCTTCGTTCCTTGTCGTTCGGTTGGTCCACGCTAACTGGACGCTTCGCATTGACGAGGCTGTACCAGCGGTGGATCGAGTGGTTCCTTGGGATAAAATAAATAACAATGCTCTTCCCGTCCGTTCTTCTCTGAGCTGTGAAGTTTCACCAGATGCCATGCGGACCGCCAATGAGATCCCTCTTCACCGTATTCCCTTGCGGCAGCTGGTCTGTCCCAGCGCCATACCTCTCTCTCCACTTATTTTGCGCGCGTCCAGCATTACGGTTTGCCCGGCCAGTATCTCCTGTCCTTGCCGCTCGTCCCAGCATCCACGGTCGCGGCGGAGGGTGTCTGCCAACGGACCATTTGGCTCAAGATCCGTCGCCGAGGACCCTTCAACCCCTGAGAGGATCTCACGGGCCGATAAACATCGCTATCGCCCGGCGCCGCCAAGTACATCGATGCGCATTCCAGCAGCATCTCCAATATCCCTGTCGCCATCATAACGTCTCTGGCGGTGGTTACCGTGACCAGCGGTGCCCTCGGCCTTCAGTCGCACCGACAATTTACCACGCCAAGAAAGGGGCCAGCTGGGCTCTGCTGATCGGCTACCGTCTCCGGCCTCAGCGTTGGCGGTTAGCTCTGGGTTCCATCGTGGTTAACAACTTCCGCCACCGTCAGCGCCTGCAGGAGCCGGACGGAAAGATCCAGGAATTTGGATAAGGAAAATTTTGTCCAGGGTCCCAACTTCAAGGGCGTGCAGATCCTCCAGCACCGCCAGCTACTGGAAACATCTCATCAAAGCCGGTGGACGCTGAAGAAGCCAAATACAACACCTCCATCACTGACTGCAGAGATTCGATGCCCTCTCTCCACCCGATTCATCAGCTCCACCACCGACGACGGTGGCATCGATACACCTGGTCACTCCATCACGCCTGACCGACACGACCAAAAGCGCGGACGGAGATGCCTACACCATTGGTCGTTGCCGACGGACGTAACCCTGGCGAAAGGTCATCGGCACCAGCACCGCAAATCTGCGAGTTTCGCCCTGGAATTCGGCACCTGGGATCCCTCCCGTCTACGGCTTTTGCCGCCACTGAATTCCTCGGCTCTCGATTCGGGGACGGCAAGTTAGCTGACGACGAAGTGCGTGCGAGGCTTACGATGGCACCCAGCTTCGTCATGGGCGGCACCTCCTCGTCACTGTTCCAGCGGGGTCTCCTGCGTCTCAACAGACCGATGCCCCACGACTTCGTCAAAGGGACACCATGTACCAAACTACTCAAGAGCATGGACAAAAGCGGGCGGTTTAATGGCGGTAAAACCACGGCTGCGCTGCGCGGCACTTTGCGCTTGCGGCAGCGCGATCCGATGTTGTCGTGGGCGGCGGCGGCGAGACGGTCAGAACATCCCTGCATCCAGTGATCCAGCCCAGTCGCCATGCGCTCGACGTCGTTTTTCGCTGTCGATTCCTCCGCGAGACACCAACAGCTGGCCCAACCGGTATCGCCAGTCCACGCCTACGAACGTAGTGATCTCAGCATCCCTGCCGGCCAACGGAACCATCTTTGCTGTTCCGGACAAAGAACACATTCATTAATCTGGGTTTTGAACAAACGTCCGGCTTTCTTCCGGCTGCGTTACTGGGGCCTCACCGGCCCATCGCCCCTGATCGGCATCTGCCCCAGCTCAACCCCCACCGCGCCCACCACTCTAACCTCACCTACTCCAGATGGAGTACTCCGACTCCGAGCTGACGATTATCATCCTGGATAAACGCAACGTCGTCGCTCGCGGTAATTCCTCCTGAACTGATGTGCATCGATGTGTCGGCTGCGCGATCGTCTCTCGCTCCGCAAGAACAGACCAGTACCACCCTGCACAGGCCGCACGAGGACTTGTTTTAAAACTACTGCTGGAACGGCACCGTCGATCAGGAGCCGAAGAATTACAGACCAGGTTGCAGATGGAGGTGCGTCTTCTGCTACCGCGGGCATCCTGAATCGAGTATTCTGCGCTGATTGCTTGTCTCGGTCGCGTTCTTGATGACCATATAGATATTAGTCACTGGATGATTGGATTGGTTGCCGGGTGGCTGGTCATTTGCGTTTTCTTTCTGGCCTTGAATATATACCTTGATTTTTTCTTTGTCTTTTGCCCTTCTTTTGTAGATAGTTTTGCATAGCTTATATAATTGCACCTTGGATATAATAGAAGAGAGTGCATTAATAGGTACCACTGGACTTGTATGTACTCGTAGTTCGGCCAGAGTTTATTGGTAGAGTCTTAGGCACGAGCATCCTCCTTGATATCAGCGTGGGTCCACCTACGAAGGTATTGAAGGGATGATTGACGTCCAGCAGCAATGAACTCATTCTCCATTTTTGCAGCATTTAACGTAGCACTACGAAACGTCCAGGAAAAAAAAAAAGGTGATACTCTTCCGTGTATGTTTGCATCCAGTGCTATTTAAACCCATCCCGGAAGGGTTATTCCAGCCGCACCCTGTTTTGTTGCCAGGGTTTTCAATAGGGAAACTATTGCTCATGGAGTTGCATGGTTCTCCGACTCCAATATTCGCGAAAGAGGGGTACCTCTCCTTTGTAAATGGTGCATCATTAATTAAGCCGGCTCTTTAGAGTCGAAGCCAATAAATGCTACTGAAGTTCTGGCATCCGTTTTGCGTCTCCTAAGCCAGGTAGGCGGTGGCTGGATTGTGTCGTTGGTTAGCCGTTAAATTTGAGTTCATGACCGGAGGACATAACTCCAGGTACAGTCATTAAATTTCCTGAATTTTAGACTGTTTGCAGTCGTCGAAATTCGCTGAGCCGAAAGAGGATATGCTGAAGAAGAACAACGCTATAAGAAATATGGCGCCGGTTATTACATCAACTGCAGGGAGCTACAAAAATTGGGAATATTTGTCCTCCTTTGACGGTAGGCTGCCGAGTGGCATACCTCTCACAAAGCACCGGTCAACTTCTACTACCGCTCTCAATATACTCGGCGGGCAGTGAAATTACTTCCGGCTTCAAATATATATCCATTAATCAACTGCCTGCCGAGACACATACTGAGGTAGTCACACACAGACCACCTAGGTCACCTGATCACACAAGCAAATTAGGCGTCCTGATACAATGATCCATGGCCAAAAGGACTACCTCAAAATAGTGCTAGCCAAAATTTCTAGACAAAAAATCTTTACCGTTCAGAACACTCTAGGCCGAAGAGTGGTTTCAGTTGATGATACCACCTTCGCCAGCGTGTTTGTCGGCTGGCAAAATCAATGAAACGGACGGGTATGCTAGAATCTACAGTACGCGTATTTTTAGGGACAGGCTAAATTAAAGGCTCATTGAGGTATTCTTGGAGAGGCTTTCCCTTTTACGGTAGAGCAAGCCGTCAAAGTGTCAACCAGGATTAAAGGCGCTCTAGATTAAGCCACCGCCATATTCACGTGAAGTTTTCAAAGTCTATTCTTCAACCGGAATTTTTATTTCTAAACTATGCATCTCACAAACTGCGTTACTTGCGGCCGTGGTCTCCACGCGCCAGTATGACGGCTGTGTGCAGTATTTTGAAGCGTGGTTGATGAAGTGCTCCACCAAACCACCAGCTAATATGGTGCGTCCTGAAGGGCGAGGATATGCACGCCGGTATTTAATGGCGATCTTCCTTCACAGCCCCATGTTGGGAATGTCGGCGGACATGCAGCCAGCATTCACCCCAGCCAACAGCCTGTTACGTGGATCATGCATAGTTCACCACAACAACACAATATGTACGTCAGTGGGGATTAGCGCTGCGGCGTGCGGGGTATGGTGTGGATAATCGGGTTATTTTCCCGTAGGGTTGCGCGGATCTGTCTGCCGCTTTATGTTCACTGTGCTGGTATTAGGCCGTTGTACAAGTTGCATGCGGGCATTTATCTGACTAGTCAGATGGAAAATGGTAACAGAGGCTACCAGTGCGTAATAAAGGGATAAAGCTCTCTCCAGGGCCGTCGCCCTATGCAGGCAATTTTACTATTACCTTCGCGCCAGGCGACCGGTTCTAATACGAGTGGAGAACTTAACATGGAGTGGGAGCCCCTTGGCTGTTAAAATTGGTGAAACATCTTATCCTGCGGTGTTGGTAGCCGGACTGGCGCTGGACGGACCTAATGGCGTGAGCCTGCGTGATGATAACAACAGATCTATTTACCAATAATAACATATCGTGGCTAATTTTCACCTCATCGGTATAATTATCTACAATGTCAGCACCCACCCTCTGGCGCATTCCCCGGTCCCAAGTCCTTCGCGGCGACACGGATCCCATACATACGAACCATCAAAGGGTCGACATACTTTACCCCAAACCATCCGGGGATCTACGTAAAATGCGGCAAAGTGATTCGCGTTGCCCGGACGAACTGTCATTCGTCGATGGCGACGCCTGGAAGCCATATATGGAACTCGTCCGGCCATGGCCAAAGCCAGGGATATTACCGTTCCCACTACCGCAAGGCCAATACAGCGTCATCCAGTCATTGCGGATGAATTCTCGATTCAAGGCGTCTACTATATGCATTCTCCGAGAGCTCGCTCCGAGGCCAAGAGCCAATCGTCAGAGGCTACATCGATCTTTTGATTCAGCGTCTGCGCCCGAGTGCAATGATGAGAACAAGCCCGTCGACATGAGGTGGCAAGTGGTACAGCTACCACGTTCGACGTTGGCTTATCAGGGGACCTAGCATTTGGGAACATTTGCATCTCGAAGGTCCAGATACCATCCATGGGTGAAGTTTATCTTGCAGGAACATCAAATTCAGTGCCTATTCTAACCTCGTACGGCGGTTGTCGGCCTCAAGCCGCTTATTACACTGTTCATCCACCCCAAAATTATCGCTGGCAGGGTGCAGCATGAATTAGCAAACAAAAGGTTCTGGGCGGTTAAAAAGCTCAATGAAGGCCGATTTCTTAGCCACATCCTGAAACATCAAGACCGCGAAGAGACGCGGGATTTTGGAATTAATAAGCACAGCTTACTCATTATTGCCGGGATCGAAACAACCACGCTTTCGGGTGTTGCTTGTACTTGCTAAAGACCTAATAATGCATACGCCAGGTTGAAGAGAGGAAGTGCAGACCCGCACGTTCAAAATCCGATGACGAGATATAACTCTGCGGGCTTGCGATCAAGCTGACGTATATACATGCGGCGATTAATGGACTGAGAATGTATCCTCCTGTCGCTGTTAGGTTGCCCCGAATTAGCCAGATCAGGGGAGGATACTATCGCATGAAGAACTGAGTTCCTGGTAAGTACCTAAATTCTACGATCTTTGATCCTTGCCCAACATGTTTTCAAGACGTGCTTCCGCATACATATCCAACTCTTCAGCATACTGCCATTCATTGTCAAAATTTCTACGGGGAAAGCCTGATAAGCTTCATTCCAAGAGCGTTTTTGGGTGACCTCAGTTTTACGAAACGACAGTAGGGCAATACTTCAACCGACTTTGGCTTTGGACGCATCACCGGGAACTGTATTGGGCGCAAGTATGATATTTACCGACTGGAAAGCAACTAATTCTTCGTTAGTCTGGCATACGTTGAAGTGCGTTCATTCTTTTGTGGCGCAGGTCGTGTTAGCACACCCGGCATGGACACCATGTGATCCCAATTTTGTGTGGACAGATCAAGACTGCTTTGTTCTTTGGAAGGATAAGGAAAACCAGCTTTGAAGGTAGAGATTCCGAGAGGTCTGCATTTGTCTTACCAGATCATGCGATGGTAGATGTGATGCTTTGCCGCCGCCTGTGGTATATTAGTCTACTACCCTGTAGTCAATATCGAATGCCAGAATGAAATTAAAATTGAGCATAGCTACTGGTAAAGAGCTTTTATTTCGTTCAGTTGCTGCCTACTCTATTTCGTTTGTAGCAGCGCACCGGCGGCATCTTGCCCGGGCAACGCTGACCACGTCTGTCGGCTGTTCTGGGAATATTTCTACATATACCTGGTATAATTTTATTTTATTGATTTATCTAGAAGGCTTTCATTTACACTTTCACGAAAATGAAGTACAAAACACCGATAATAAAAGTAACTTCTAGAATGGAAATTACGTTTTATTGACGCTTCAGCTGTACATCCTATCTGAGAGCTCTATGGATTTGATGACACTACACAATGGCACTTATAGGGATGACAAAGACTGCATCAGATTGTGTTCGACCCACAGTTAAAGGGATGTGTGCGGATAACAAGTCGAGACCCCAACCGTGATGGGTTGCAGCCCGTTTCCATATATTCCAAGATCCTTTAACTTCCAATTTCCATCTTGCCATTGGGACGATGAAGATCGGCTGATTGTTTCTGTCTGGAAAATCCATGTTTCTTAATGAAAGGCACTTGAGTGGTGCTGATGAAGAGTACGGTACCCAGAGGAGCAATACTACCCGCATCCCTGTCCTCTTTGCAGGCCACGGATGTTGGAAGAGAATCTACAACCGTAGAGGCCATTTACAACCCCAGTTGGTTGAGGGGAAAGAACGTCCCGTGTGTGTATGCCTGTACTTCGGGACCGGAAGGAGACTTATGGATCCCTGATATTTACCATACGATCCTACTAAGAACTTATAGGCCAAATGGATGCCTCTTCGAGTTATCCACACAGTGTCACGAGCAATGGAATATAATGTGTGTCGAACAGAACAGGAGGACTGCGGAGCACTATGCGATCTTGTAACGAAGATGTCTGAAACGGGGTATGAAGCTCTCTAGAATTACATGGGCATGACTCCAAGGATAAGATGTCAGCGCTGAAATAGGCTTTAAAGCTATGTTGGAGTAAGCATGCGAGAATCGACGATGCGACTGCTTGAAGGCGCACTTCGCAAAGCGGCAGGTGCGTCGCAGGAAAACTGTTGGCATTGCCTTGCTTTACAAAACAGCGATCCCTGCGATGGCGCCGAACAAAATACTTTCCGCTAAGATGACGCATCTCCGCCATTCTCGATACATCCCGTAATCCCCACCGCGGCGTGGACGCCTGCTGCCGTCATGGACTATTCTCTCGCAGCCCTCGGCCTTCGGATGCAAGGCCACCTTCCTGAGAGGAAGCTGCCAATGCTCGTCTGATATCAGGAGTTCATACCAACCCACCGGCGCATTCACGGGTGAGGACGGCCTGGTACCGAGGCAATCAACCCTTTTTGATCTACCTACGCTGGAAGGGTGCGATTTGGTAGTCAGCTTGGCTGCGGGTTGTTCTCGTGGGAGCAGGTTGCAGCTCGTATGAGTGGATTATCAGAGGGCAATTTGATGTATGATCTATATATACTAATCCAGGCTGCGATCTGTAGCACTAATACCATGCTAGTTTGCAGCTAGATTACTTTCCACAAACCGGATAAAACCACTGTATCCACCAATGTTCGAGTCCTAATCAGGTGGAAGAATTACATCATAGTAATTTTTATTAATATGAAACGCGTGTATTGGCCCGGACGAAACTGCGATCCACCCTGGCTGGTGATCATACCCTGGCTAGTGGGCCATTGGCGGATGGATTCCAGACCCTTGCATGGCACTTCGCGATCTTCCCAGTGCTCACAGAAACCATTTTAGAGCTCCCTCTCAGCATAAGAAGCCTGAAGCTGATCCACACCCACTGCCATCACAGGAAGAAACACAAGGTAGGCGCCGCCAAGGAGCTCTGAGTTTCCTGCATTCCTGCTCCAAGCCTCACCCAGGACTGGAAGTGTCAAGAAATAAAATAGGAAAGTGGATCCATGCCAGTCAGAGAGCTCCACAGATGACAGAGTCGCTCACGGAGGCTGACAGGCGGAGTCTACATGCGGCCGCACCGCGTGAGTCACGGCACCTAAAAACTTCGTCTGAGCGCGCAGGAGTGTCTCCCTCAGTCCGCGGTTGCCTCCTCCCAGTGTTTCGGGAATGAGTCTGGATACATCGCGGAGAATATCTCTTTGAAGATTTCCGGAACATATCAGGGACTTAGTGCTTTGATGAGAAGATTCGGTCCGATGCGGAAACCCGCATTCAATCAGATGTACAAAGGCGTATCGGAGAGGGACATTCATTCATCAGTCACCACGAGTCATCAGGATGTAGGACGGCGATGAGCATCCGGAGTGTTAGCCTGGGCGGTAGGAGGAAGCGTACGCATAGAGAATGATTAGACCACCATCAGCAGCACCTGAACAGGGACTTGAGTGAGATGTGAAACATCGGTGGGATTGTTTCACTTTGCAGCAAAGAAAGGAATCCCCGTATACCAATGGCCCAGGCTCATCTAAAATGTTGAATGTTCTGTTCCGCCGTTAATTCATACTGCTGTAGTACAAAATGGTATTTGGCGAGATTCACCCGCATATATACGAAAGGGCTAAGCGGCAGTCTGAACAGAAATATATGATCCCTTTCTGTCACCATCTATTACCATTCTCCGCTGCGCGTACGGCAGCACCAGTGAGAGCTCCATCATTTACCTAATCGAGGGACCTAACAAATATATTTAAATCCGAAGGTATATCTCCGTTGTATATACTCTCCTGTTTCCTGTATGCTGTTGGTTAATATTAATGTAGTTGATGGGTTATAAGTAATTGCCACGGTAACCTGGCGGTTGGCGCGGAAACAAGACCGAGGCACCTCAAAGTCGAATATCAGTGTCATACGCTCTACTAGGGTCATCAATATCCATATGGCATGTATGCTCAAAACTGTATGGAATATTCACCTACCTAATAAAACAAACCTGGAATAGATGCATTGGGCCATGACATACTGTGCAATAAGACGGCGCTTTGAACTCTGGCTGCGGCAATAAGAGTGGCAGAAAGAGCACTTACGATCTTGCAGTTACTAACCCAATTACCTGGCTTAATTCTGCCATAGATTCGGTAGCTAAGCGCTTACTTTATCGAAAACAGTTTCGAAACTGTTGGGGTAACAATTAATGTACCCAGGAGTAGGAAATGGCACGGTGTTATTACCGGGTGCCACCTACCTGTCTGATGACGATATTTACCTAACCGCGTCGCGCACGCCAGCACACGGAACATAAAGACAAAGAAATGAACAAATCCAGTCAGCAAAGGCTTGCTGGCCGCTGCGGCATAATGCAAGGGACGAATGAGGTGATCTGCCGACTTTCATGTACAAAACAAAATCCAGAGACAAATTATAAATAAAAGAAAAAGCACCGCATCGCTGAGCCTCGTCACTGAAACGGTCCTGAGCAGCGTCGATCCACTCAGCGGTCCGGCGGTATGCGGTAGCAGCCAGTCGATGCCGCCGATCAGGGAACGACGGGTACCCGCACATCTTAGCGACCTTACCAGCGGAGAATCAGCCTTTTGCGCTGCGCACGTTAGCGGTCTTTTCCGGGTTCCCCGGGTAAGGACTCATGACGCTGTTACATTTGCTGTGGTTGGACGGCAATTCCTGTGGATGGATGTCGACGTAGCAGCTTTATGTCCATCGAAATGTCGTTTGCTGTTGAACGCGGGGCTGCCATCGCGAGCGTGGCTGTGGTGATGCTACTCAGGTAAGCTCTCCTCAACGTATATTCTTTATTTTCAGTACTTGCTGTACCCTACCTCTACGTACGCCGCAAATACCAATAATGCTGTATTCCTCTCAGTCTTCCCCGGCCCTCCTGGCCGCTCACTTCAACTCGTCTTTACCTTCCCCAGGCCGGTGAGGCAGCACCGACGATAATCCCCTACTCCAGGGCGACAGCGGACCGCCCTGCTCCCTGCATAAGACTCAGCCCTCCACCGGCGGCATCACCCGGCCTGGCTCCTGGTGCTCCACTGGAGTCCTGCCCGCACGCTTCACTGGCGCAGGCAGTGGTGCTGCTGCGGGATGGGCGCTGGCGGCACCCAGACCGGCGCTTCGAGTCATCTTCCACGCTGGCCAGGTGACGGCTCGGTCAGCACTCCAGGTGGCGTCGTAAATACCACAACAATCTCGGAACCGAATCGAACCATAAACCGCTGATGCATCGACGACTACCCGTTCCACTCTCCTCGTCTGCCTCTCACTAGCACCAGCGATACGTCATATGATCCACCACATGGTGGCGGCGGATCCTGCCAGGACCAGTTCCTCAGCCAGTCAAGGCGACGCTTTCGCTGCCGACTGTCGATAAGAACTGGGCTGCCCTCCCTTGGATCACTCGCCTATGTTTTGCCGAGATTGTCGATGCCAGCGGCTCTGTAAAGCGATGTAGTTTGATCTACATGCGATGGTAACGATATTAGATGACTGATGGATTAATCATTTTATTGAACTGGAATCTTTGGTTTAAGATGCAATGTTTCGTTCTTTTGATTGGCATCTCTTTCGCGGCCTGCTATACCTTCATGAATTCATGTGCATCATTCTACAGGCCTTATATAACTGACAAAACTGTCCTCTAAGAAAGTGTTTGATCTACATCCATATTATGCGGCGGTGGGCTTTAGTAAGGGCCGAAAGGATGCGAAGATAACCTCGCATTGTAATTTATAGTTCCTTCTATGAACGAGACCCAAAGACAAGTCTTATCCTTGGTACGAAGAGTCGTACTATTTATTTTTAGTACGCATAATCTTAGATCCATGGATGGCGTACCGTGTGTGAATAAGGTGAATAAGTTTAGTCGACTAAGATGCCCTGCTTATGGAGTTCACCGTGAACAAAAGTATATCCTGTAAGTACCACAGAAGTGGTCTGAACTCCGCCAGACAGATGAGTTCTCGTTGTTTGCGAGGCTGGCGGCTGGAGTCCAACGCATTACGGCAAGTTTGCTGTCATCTTAGGTTGATGGCAACGCCGAGTAGTGATGATGACCGTGTCTACGAGAAAGCGGGAGTAATACATATGTCGCAACCTCTAACAAGAACATGTCAGCTACTTTTATTTCCCTGTAGGAAATAATCAAGGAAGCAATCGGACCCACCATTACCCCTCTGTGAAAATATACACGATTACTACCCTTCCCGAAGCGCCGTGATGTTACTCTTAGGAATATTGGTTATCCTATGGAAATACTATAGTAGCGATGAATTCCTAGATCATCTGTGAAAATCTTGCCTTAAAGTACTTATGCAATGAGTTACGGCGATTGACGGCCACTGGTTCCGGGGCTGACGTATTACCATGAGAATCAAGATTAGGACCATTCGATGCAGGATATGTTTCCCTGGTTGGGGAGGCTCCCAAGTATGCTCCGTCAGTCCTCAGGTTTGTTAAGGTTGAGAGTGGTGAAATTCCGTTGCGCTCTCTCGTCGACTTATGCGCATAATAATGATCTTCATTTATTGTTTTAGGGATTACAGGGGATTTATTTATAATCTCCGTCTCGTGGGAACTGCCCCGGAATGTTGAGGTCAAACTTCACGGCCATGTTAAGACGATAGAGTTATCTAAATGGTATATGAGATATCAGTATCATCCAGTGCCTATTTGGATTTCTGAGTGGGATTAAAAGGCGGGTGTAGTGGCACAGTGTATTCATATATATAACTGAGCGGAGCAATGTCAGGGGATATTGCGGTATACGGGTGCTGCTCCGGACCGATCCAAAGATAAAATTTGCCGCCGTGTCCTGGTGCCTGTATCCTTTCTAGGGCCCATCATGCTGTGGGTCCTACTGGAACAATGTGATTTACTTCCGCAAAAGGTTTTGTTTTTCTTGGTAGGCATCAATCCGTGTATGACTGTCTAGGCTGAAGGTAGGTGGAATATCTTATTGATCTTATTATGGAATCAGACTGCCTCCGAATCCTCGGCGGAGCGCCGGTCCCCAGTCACCTGCGGTACGTGCAATGGCGCACAGAGTCAAGGACTACTACGTAGATGGGCCAGATGGGGGCCTTGTACCCACCCATCCATTATAACCAGCGACGGGTGGAAACTGCGTCTGGACCAACTCCACATCAAATCTGGCCGACTTGAACGCTGTCCCGTGTATCTTATCCACCACTGGCACAGTGACGCAGGGTCGCGGTCTCTTCACATCGGCCAGATACCGCGTGGATCATAAAGTGTGATCTGGAGTCAGAGCCAGAAGGTCATCCCACGGACGGGGCAGACGCGTCCAAGAGGCGGCCATCCACCTTATCTTCAGCTCGGGTGGCGCACGACCATATTTGATTCGACCTCCTAGAGGATACCAATGTCGGAATGAAATAGGAATACCTTTGGTGAAGCCAATATCCAGTATACTAAGTAGATCTTCCTAATGCGGATGGAAGTAGCGCGGAATCTTTGTGAACAGCAGAGTATGCTGGAAATCCGCTCCTGCATTTGGTTGTGTTCCAATGAAGGAATTTGGCCAGCCCGGTTGCTCCAAGGCTAAAATGCAAACCAGATTCACTACCGCGAATCCACCAGCTTTACGAGTGGCGGATTCTGCATGACAGGTGCGGTTTTATCTTACAGCAGGTGGACCTTCAACACCACGCCGGGCTGCCAGATACCTTTACTGGGCCATCGATCTTAACCATACATTGCTTACAAAGTCAAAACAGTCAAAGAACAATCCGGGAATAATGGCACAGCATATGACCTACCGGAAGTGCACAGCTGCCCATCGACCACTAAACAATGACCTGTGAGGTGTATCTGGCAAAGCGAAAGCCACTGTGCAGGCGATCCAGGGCGCTTCCATGGTCCCGTTCTGCATTTTAAAATCATTTCCGGTAAAGGGGCGGCCTGTTATAAGGCTGGCGAAACCGCTAAGTGTATTTTGCGGCACAGCTTGATGCGCCGGTATTGTTGTCTCGGCAAGATATTAGTGTAATCGCGTTGGGACGATGGCCCGCTCGACAGCGCTTCGATCCTCTAACATCTAAGATTACCATAAGCAATGTTTAACAATATATTAGCCAGAGGCGGTAGTTCACACACTGTAACAACAGGATTTGGCTGACAGATTCCCCTCACCTGCTCTATAGCCATTGAATGGGCCCTGCGCACTGTTTCGACGTTTCTAGAATCCAGCCCTGTTTCCCGGCATATTCCACAGAGTGGTAGGTACTTATCACCTATTCCCTCTAGGGATATCTAATGCTCACCAGACAAGAGGCAATGGCTAGATGATACCCATTATGAGGGAAGCATACGCTATATACGTATTGCTGCAATGTTGGCGTGGTTCTTATAAACTGCAGATTACCCCGGACTGAGCTGCATGGGTCTGCACAGGCTAGCCGAGAGAATCCGTATAGCGGCTCCGCTAAAATGGGCCAAAGTATATGTAATTTGGGTACGTGACACCAGCGGAACTGCAAGGATTTGACGCCATACTGAAGAGTGGGTCTGTACTGGAATATCACTAACCTGGTGGGGATACCTGAAAATAAAGAAGCCAGGAAACAAGTGGTACGGGATCATTACGCAGACAGTGTTTAAAAAGATGTTGCGGCAGCTACGCATCCACGAAATGCCGATACCGTTGCATGTATATTTTAGGTGATACCGAAATTCATTTTGGATATTAAGGAGGGAGCTGAAAATATGTTCGGGACTCTTAGGAAGAGTAACCACAATACAGACTGTAACCTGTACAAAGTTAAATTAAAGCTCTTCGTTACATTGTTTAATGCATTATTATTTGACGCACCCTATCCAGTCTCGGTGTATAATCTGACTGGATGGTGCATTGGGGATTGGAGACGAATCCACCACAAACTTAAGATCAGAGGAACAAGGATCTTGCAGATACTGGAGCAAAGCTCTATGTGATTTTGGGAGTAGCCAGCGTCAATAAAAGTTGCAGTCTGAATTCCCTCCGCCGATGAAGAGCTGCTATGACACATCACTTTGGTCCTGGATGGGGATTTGGGAAAGATAAAGGTAGTTTGTCATCGAGTGTTAGAGTGATGCAACTAGGTCGGCCGCCTTAGCGAAGACGTCTCCTGATATGGCTCTTGAAGAAGGAACGACCTTTGCATTGGGAGCTGGAATAGGGCGGCTTGGCTCCTTTGGGCTTTGCAGAACAACTGAAATAGGGACGTCAGGATGAAGTAAATACGTCTCTATATCGAAGAAGTTCAGAAAGAGGTTGAAACCAAGTTAACGCTCCCGGCAGACCAACCCGTTTTTCTAAGTGGTTGGTCTTGGTAAGTTAAGAAGTCTGTTTTAGGTTCAAATCCATCGAAACTGAATATTGGCCAGGCCAGACTGGGGCTTCCTGTGGACTCAACCACGAGGTGCCCCTAAAATGCTGACTGGGGTATCTTAGTAAAGGTACCTATGTACAGATTAGAAATTTAATACCACCACTTTTAAAGAAATTACTACCAGTATTATAAAGAGGACTTTCTTAATTTCGGTTCCGGGCAGAACACGAAATTCTTTACTATTCCTGGTAGAATTTGCCATCCTCATTTATATCACAGCTTCTACCTAGTACCGTGTTTACCCTCTATTCCCCCTACTTAAAATGCCCGAATACTTCAATCGCCACTTGGGGTGTTTAAATTGCTTGGATTGCTTGAACCTCTGAGAGATTACGAGGAAACTAACCCGGGGCTATGTAAACATTCAAAATAGCTCACACTCGTTTCTCCGATGGAGCATACGAGATTATCCATGATGGCAATGGACCCTCAGGCCTTAGCTCAGGCGTAGCTGAAATACTTCTATTTTCTCAAGCTGCCCGAGTAAAACTTTGACCCCTTAACTGCAAGGCCCCGGCCTCGCCCGGTCGGCGGGTGCGGGGTGTGCTCTGAACCGTGGGACGGAACCGGCGACCCCGGCTCTCGTGCAGGGCGCCACAGTAAGAGTCTGAAAATCCGCTTTTCTGAAACTGTTTTGGCTTTTGGCGACGTGTCAAGCCCTTGTGGCCGTGTCCCTGGTGAAATCACAGCAGCCTATCCACCTTTACTGCGGAAACACTCCCGCTATGCTGAATCTGGATGGAGGACTTATCACAAAGAATCGTGGTGGTGATGCCTCATAACTACA